TTTGGCACGAACTATCCAGGTGGCCTTCTTTGCCGACAGCCCTTATTGCTCCAAAAATTGCGCTGGATCCAGACTGGCCCGTGGCTGCGCATTTGATACCAGGAAAGAAGTATTCCTTGACGATGATGCCCGTCTTGGTCAGGTCCAACGCCACAACATACTGGGTCTTCACCTGGAAGTTTGTGAGGTACTTTGTGAGCTGCTCCTCATTCAAGCTCCGCTCATCTTTGGCCGTCAGCGTCAGATGCTCGCTGAGGGAGTGATGCAATTCTATGTTGACGCTTTTGACGAGCAATTGTAGCTGGGCGAAGAACGCATTCACCGAGGTCCGATTGAATCGATCATGGCCGACACTCGCCAGGTAGCACACGGGCTCAAAGGCAATCCGCGCCGTAGATCCTGATCTCTGGAAGTTCTGACTCAGTTCGACTGTCATGTTACCGCCCAAGGTGCATCGGTATACGTCTCTCCCTGGGGTCGGGTACGGACCAAGCACTGGGACAATGAGCTGGGCAAAGAGACACAGGTATTCGTATTGCTGATGGATGCTATACTTCCCGTCGACGAGGAGTTTTGAGAGCATGGGCGCAACATGATGCCAGTGCTGGTATTGATCCATATCCGGGAAGAGAAGTGCCTTGTTGAGTGTTTGGTAGGCCACATCTTTAGGGATAGGAACCTGTGACTGTCCAGATTGATGCGTTTGCTCGTCGACGGCGGGCGTGTCCGAGGCAGCTATGCCATCAGGAGAAGCAGTCATCTTGCCGTCCAATTGCGATTCGATATAGGGAAAGTGTATTACGGACAGGAATATTGTGTCGTATCGTAGGAGTTACTTTTTATATATTGTGCAATATGAGGCTCGAAGGACGCGAGACTAGATGGGAAAATATGAAAAAAAAGGAAAGGAAGGGCAGACCCAGTTCTTTTTGTGATAGAGGGACATACATCCTCTCAACTTGATGGCCGTGAGCGGGGAATATGCGTGGTGCTTCGTCACGGAGCCATTTCTACCAGTTGTATCTCTTCAAGATGTGTAACACTCGTAAACATGTTGACGTAGTAGCCAGAACAAGTCGTCTCCAGCCAACCAACGGCGCTTCCAAACAGGATGAAATGGCAATGTGGATCAATAATGCAGCGAGGCATGGCGGTCACTGCGGGTCACTGCACCCTCGAAATACTTGCCTGCGCCGCCTATGCGGAAATGATGGATCGTCTTTCGGAATATTTCACACCAGGTTCGTGCTTCCCAGCATGATTGCGTCGAGGTCCCAGATGGATGCCCAGCGATCGGCAACTACATGATTGGATTATACCGGGACCCATCGGAGGGGCTTGCAGTGGTGTGTGATAACTCTGCAGGTAGGTGGCCCATCTCGCTACACAGAACTCCCCATTGGGCCAGGCCTGTTCATTATTAGGATTTGAACCAGCAGTTTGGCTAACACAGCAACACCAATCAATAGATTATTTGTCGCCGGGATAATGTAGGTAACCCACAGTTACATATACATAATCACCTGACAGTCATCAACCTTGTTTTGCAGCTCAGCCATGTCTTTCTTGACGTGGATATAGAACTCCTAACTTACACGTCAGCGTATTTAATAGATGCCTCATTTACTCATATGTGTTACATGAAGCAGTGACATGATGCTTATTCCTGCGGTTCAGGTTTTACTATGCAGTCATTCTCTACCAACTTTGAAACAATCTATTCATTTGTTCTATCCAAAGGAGGGTCCCTTATAAAAGCACAGCTCAACAATGCAGGATTAGAACAACTGAATGGTCTCTGGACATCGCAGGTTGCAAATAAAACCTTAATCCATCCGCCTTCCTCATTATCACAGCCTCTACTCCTAGTTCAGCCGCTGGTAGAAGACAGACTGCGCAGTTATAACACAACAGAGAGGAAGCAATAGAGCTGCATAGTTGCTGGGCGTGTAGTTTCTTCTGCCTCACGTGCTGGTTGTGCCAAGCTTGATATGTAGCATAACTCTGCTTGTGTCTGTGTGTCTGTGTCTTCCTCTTCCTTTATGGCATGAGACGGTCAGAATCTGAGTTTATGATAGATAGACTTATTTCTGCCCCTGTGTAAGTAGGGGCACTAGTGAATTCATTGAACCTAGATTTTCATAACTTTTGCCCCCTACCGGCTGATGAAATAATCATTTGAGACAATTGTCACAGTGATAGGTCGTTAGTGAACTAATCAATGTCCGTAGTACTCCGTCTACTCAATAGTTTCTCCAAATTACACATATCTTATTTTCGAGGGGAGGGGGAGGTGCCAGCCCCCGTAATTGGTCTACTCTCTCATTCATGCCTACATGCTGAATGCTGGTAGTTATAAGAATTAAGTACACTTTTCCCCCTAACGTGTTTGGAGTAGGTTCTTTGGAGTGGTTTTAACTAAAATGAAATGAAAATGGAACCTTATAGATCAATAATGAAGTGTTAAGAAAAGAAAAGACACATACCTGGGGTTACACTAGTGGCGCACTTCTTGATCAGAGATCCAGGGGGGACTGGCTATCGAGGAGCCACATTGTTATTAAAGTAAAAAAGTGATGTCTACTAATGTCAAAACTTGCACCGAGTGGCACTCTCCTATTCACCGCTGACTATAAATTCTTGTGCTCAACCATCAGTTAAGCTATTGCTCTAACTTTATCCCACTCAAAGTGACAGTCGTCCCTCTCTTCAGGCTTCCGTGGCCTTTAATCTGTCTTGTGGTACTCACCCGCCATCATGAAGGTTCCTGTGGTTCTTCTCACTTTTGCTGCAGTCGTTTTGACCCAGGAAAATGTGCCTGGAAATGTTTGTGCTAGCAAGGAAGTTGTTGTCTGCGAAGGACAAGGCAACGGTGGTCTTATCACTTTAGGCAATGTCTTACCAGGGGCAGTCAGCGAAAATTGCGCAACTGGTGATGTTTACTGTTGCTCACATGATATTATTGCGCAGGTATAGTGCATTACCTGTTGCTTGAAGTTTATGGCATTAGACTGACAAGGGTTCCGATAGTCTGGCCTGGTTGACCTGGATCCTAACGCTCAATGCTCTCTCAGTCGTGTTCTATAAACCACTGCCCATGTGGTGTCTCAACATCCACTCTTTATTGTGCCTCAATCGCTTTCAATATTATGAGACAGTACGATCTTCTGTTGACAGGATAGGGCGGGAAATAGCAAAATGCCGCTCGATCGCAACAGTGTGAAAGAAGAGTCTGGCTGACTGCCGAGCTCGACACTAGCTCCTGCAGTATAAGTTCTGCAAGATGATGTAAAGCTAAGGAAATATTGCAGGACCTAAGATTCATTTAATTGCACTGAATCTTCCAAATTCCAGACTGCGAAGCCCCTCGTTATTGGAATTGGCGTACCTTTCGTACATGTATCATACCTGGACGGGACCAAATCATGTGATAATCTGATTTCATAATAGTTTGATTACTTGGTAATATTATTATTCAGTATTCTAAATCATTGATTAGGGGTTTAAAAAGCAAACCTGTGTTTCCAACATGGAAGGCGATGTCGGGCGCCACTGTACGAAGGAGACCGCAGCGACATGGACTCATCTACTCGACACAAGCAAGATACGTATTTGCGTACAGGGTCTGTGTCGTTAAGAGGAAACCAGGCGGCGTTCTCGCCTAGCAACTAGTTTTCCCCGTCTGAAAATTTGGAACTGCCCTGAGTTGAGTCTAAACTAAACTTATTGGGAAAGGATAACAACTAAAAGGCGTATGGTTGAGTTCCTGCCAGTGGGAACGAAGTGGCCTGTTATCTAAGGACCTAGACTCTAAGGGATGAATAGCATCAGACAAAGCGTCCAGAGGGAAACACCTGTTCGCGATCGATGATCTCCTTAAATGATCCACTTCAGGTTGGATGGTGTTTCAGATCCCGATCAACCGTCCTAAGCGAAGTATACCGACTTGGCAATCACATGGATCGTCCCGAGTGCGGTTTTGCAGCGGCCGACTACTAAAGCCGAGCATACAGATCCACATTCGACAATCGACAGATGTTTCAGTCATAAGGCTAGCCATACGCGAACCGGAATCTTGCTGGCCTCCCCACATCGAATACTACTCTAAGGTTCCTAATTTTAGCATGCCAAGCAGGGGAATTGCTACATATTACCCTTTTAAGTATAGGTTCCTCCACGAGGCAAGCCGAAAGGGGACTTTTTGGAAGACCAAAACATGGTGAGGAAGCTAACAAACTTTATGGGCGGACCCTTGTAGATTTACACTGGGAGAATCCTGCCAGAGATTCTCTATTATCGAGTAGACGAACGAGAAAATAAAGTCCCTGGAGGAATACACTGCGTCGCCCGGGTGCTGCTACTGGTCAAGGAGCTTTTCAATGACTTCTTACAATATAACACTGGACGTTTACAACAACTATGTACATCGTTTATAATCAGGAGTAAAGGTTATCTAAGACACAGCGATACGTTGAATCCCGAGAAAGACTTATCGTAGATCTTCGGCAAACTGTGGTTCCCCTGCAATTTACCTAATGGACCCTTGCCCGAGTCTCACTCTCAAACAGCATCCAGAAACTGGCCTGCTTGATATGTCAACTTCATTGGACGTTTATCGTCGTGAAACAAGGAGTTGTACTCATGACAGACTTAGTCTGGGTTTTTCGTCGATCAAACCTTCGCTACCCTCGCTTAATGAGCGAGAAGTCTACTAAGACGTCTACATATGGGTTCATGGACAAGCCTAAGCAAGCAGGAGCTGGCCGCATCACATGGCTGTGTTTCATGTGTTACTAACAACAGCTTTCTCGCACAGCATTGTGGATTTGGTAGAGAGCTAATGCCTCATGGGCATGAGAGAAAGGGGGTGAACCAGTTCAAAGCGGAGTATATAAGGATGTCTGGCGTCCTGCTCTTTCCAGTACAAGTCAAGCAATCCAGCATTCATACTTTGGTCAAGAAGTCTCCACTATTCTCTCTGTCCATCTCACTTCGTCAATATGTTGATTAACAACATCATCACTGTGACAGCACTACTGGTGAGCCAGGTTACTGCTCATGGTCTAGTCACCCGTATCAAAGGCGCCAATGGCGTCAACATGCCTGGCCTGACGAGTGAGTTCAACCTTCTCCCTTGCCTGGGTCGCAATGATTCTCGTATTAACGGTGTTTAGTCATTGACGGAGTACCGCGGGACTGTCCCTCTGCCGCATGTGGCGGACAAAAAGACACGGCAATCATCCGAGATCAGGAAATGGGAGGTATGAAGGCTTCGCCTTTAGGCCGTACTATGGGCGCTGGTCCGGTGAATGCGGCCACAGTCATCAACAAGTTCTTGGGCGCTGCGACGGAGAAGCGGGGTCGCGTTTCCCTCTCGGACAGACGTACGAGATTGCTTCCAATTGCAGCATCAATGAGGCTAATATGTTCACAGGTCGTCAACTGATCAACGATGCTGCAAGTGTAATTACCAATGCTGGTGGAGCTATTCTTAACGGTATTTATTCACTGGATGAATCAAGACGAAGCAGAACTGACTTTGCGTAGGCGCCCAAGATCTCGCAGACAAAACCCCGCTGGGTGGCGCTATCAAGAGTAAGGAGCTCCATTGTATTCAGCAAACCCGAGGCTGACATGGGAAACAGGTGCCCAGTCCACTGTTGATGATGTCCTCAGTATTGTGCCAGGTCTGAAGTCCGGTGCAATGACAGCCCAAGGCACCAGCGAGAATGGTGTACAGTTATATTCTGGCAAAGGTGCCAGCACGGGCCTTCCCACCGCTTCTCCAGATGGCGTTGTCACAGTCATTTATCACCAGGTAGGCCGATTCTCCCGGAGTAAATGGTCCAGTATTGACTTGTATACTCTAGGTAAACCAAGACGGCGCTGGACCCCTCACAGCCGACATTGATCCGTCCAGTGGAGGAACCAACCCAAAGGCATTCGTGTCGGCCCAGGTGATCCAAAACATCCCGGGTGTGGCTGGGTTCTCGACCTCCAGCACTATGGACTACGAGGTCAAGGTCCAGGTGCCTAAAGGGATGAAGTGCACTGGAACAGTCGGTGCCGCCCAGAATGTCTGCATTGTGCGTGTCCGGAACACTGCCATCTCCGGGCCATTTGGTGGCTCTGCTGCATTTACGCAGTGAGGGGCGATAACTTGTAAACGGTTGGCCATGTATGCTGTGTGCGTCGGTGGTTTGATTTATCGTGATTTTTTAGCCTCTAATCAAGGTCCACTGCGGTATATGTTAATAGAAGTGGACCCTTAATCAAATAGTCTGAAGATTCTTACAGCGAAGCAAGTACTTATATATATTCCACGGACTTGAGACTCTACAGCTGCTTGAAGAGCTTATTCGTTGAATAGGCCTCCCTAAAAGTCTGCTCTGAGCTTGTCCACAGAAGGCAAAATACCATCCTGCTCAAGAACCCTGAACGTATCCTCCAGCTCTTCCCAAGTATCAGCATAACCATCCCATCCCAACTTCCGAGCCTTGCTCATTGTCCCAACACAGCTCCAGTCCCTTCCCAGTACAAAAGTGAGGAAATCCCACGTGGCCTTGTCCCATCCACTTTGATCGAGACTGTATGTATCGCGCAGTTTTGCCCATGCCTCATTCACATCCTTGCGCTTGGCCCATTTCTCCGGATCGACCTGCAGGAACAAGGTGGGAGCGTCATCGGCTGAGACGCCAATCTCGTCCGCGTGCGCAACAAGCGGGTGACGGTTCGGCATCCGCACAGTTGTTGCCTCGTATTTACCAAACCCCTGGGTGTCGGGGGTGCCTCCATGGGGGAACATCGGGTTGGGAATCTTACAGCCGAAGCGCGCAGCCAGCCGCGGCCACAGATACTGGAAGGACTCCGTATCGCCGTTTATCACGTTGAAGATGTTGTTGCCTGCATTCGGGGCAGTTGCCGCCCAGAGACAGAACTTGGCGTGCAGGTTCGCCGACGTCCAGCAGTTAAAGGCAAAGTAGTTGGCTTTGCAGCCGGGGTAAGGAAGCTCAGAGCCCGGGAGCGCCTTGCTCACCGCGCAGTAGAGACCCAGTGCGGTGGCTTCGTTCATAAAGTTACCCCGGGCATAGCCTAGGACATCCTCTGGGAGTGTGACGATCCATTCCCACTGGCCTCGTGCGGCGGCCTCTTTGAGGATCCGCTCCTGCTCGTAGTAGAAGTTCGGGGGCCACGAGATGCCACCCTTGTTGCCCTCAAGCAGAGGGTCATCCTCGACGAGTGGTTGCTTACAATTACCCAGATGGACACCGTAATGTTTGAAGCCGCAGGTCAGAACAAAGCGCTTCAAATTTTTGATAGCGCCTGTGATTTCCAATGCTTGGATAAAGTTTGACAACATCAGTCCATTCACGCGCGACAATTCCGCAGGATCATCATGTGCCAGGTAAGCGCAGAAAAAGACATACTCGGCAGAGATGCCTTTGAGGTTCCTGGCCATGTCCTCGGCTGAGCCCCGGAGGTCGAGAGTGGCATGTTGGATCTTTGCGTTTTCCCCTCCAGGATTTCTGCGAGAGAGGGAGTAGATCTTTTCATATCCGCGGTCTTTGCATAAATGACGCACAATAGCACTGCCGGTCATGCCTAGAGAATATTTAGCAGAGGTTATCGGATGGCATAGGCAGGCTTACCAGTTGCACCAGTAACAATTGCGGATGGCATATTTGAGGAAACGAAGGAGAGGTACAATCAATTAATTATAATTCCACAAACTGATAGGAGAGATTAAATGACATGATCATAGGAAGGGTAAGTCTTTATATGCATGTCTCATTTGGTTCCTCTTGTTCCGGTTCTGGTCATGACAAAGTATGAGATCACCCATTCGGCGTGATGGAAAGCGGCGTTATCCATGACCACCATCATTGGGTCAAATATAATCCACTATTACCGCCAGAATCAGAGTAATTGAGCATAGTAGCTAAAGTGGTCATTATTGGCCCGTATTGGATCCAGGCTTTGCATGGAGGATGTCCCAAATCGGTGAACAAACGCCAGCAGATTTCAGAGTTTGGTCCCATCCACCGGGCAGAATATTGCAATATGGCATGAATCACTTAAGTTTACTCCTTATGGAGAATACTGTGGCCTGGGCAGGAGGCCTAAAGGCCAAGCGAAATATGTGCCACCCTCTCTCCGTGGTGAATTGTCCAATCCCGATCTGAAATACACTATGCACATGAATACAGTCGACTCTCATGCCATATTCAATCAAGGCGATCTTGAATCAGCAMTTGAGCTTTGCAAAGCAATGTATCGTTCAGACAACTGATTCTACCTGTCTGTCAGAAAATCAGCTGCATACGTGCTGCGACCTCATTGACATGCCTTTGTTTGAGCATCCATCTCTCCATATGTCTTCCCCTGCACTTCGAATATAGGATCGAAGGCTTAAAAGATTAGATTATCATAGATTAGAATTACAGCACGTTAAAACTTACGAAAACCATTTGTCCCTCTGGGCGTGACAATCTGCCCGTCAACTCTACACTGAAAGAGCACAGGCTCAACGCCCGGTCCGGAAGAGAAAGCATAGGTGCCGACAGCAGATGCAGATTTGTCCCCAAAGGACGCTAGAAGCTGACAGAGTCCAGTATTTCCAAGTGCAGAATAGAACCATTTTCTGTCGGATAAGCAGAGGTCAGAGTCCACTGGACAGCAGACGAGCCAAACGACTCTTTAGCTCACATGTAGGGACCTGGCAATCCATTAAGAGCACGAAATTGAAGGGCACTATCCTCCTTCAAAACTGGCCTTGCGTCTGTTCAGAGTCAGTCATTGCGCTAGTTATTCCGCTCCTCTATAATAAGAGGACTTCTCCTACCGCAGTAGCTGCACCACGGCACTTCTCCCGTGCAATTTCTTCTAGCGAGCCTTGATCTCGGGAGGCTCGATGACATGTTGTCGGAGCCGTGCTACGTTTCCAAATATTGCTTCGGCTTCAGCAAATTTCCGCGGATTCCCGGTCACAAAGTGAATCAATGGAGGCTCCGCGTGGGCCATTTTGTACTGTAGCATCTGGCAGGTCGCCCACACACACATTATTTAAAACATCCATGTTTGCTTCACTAGGGCCATCCAAATATATACAGGTGCCCGCTTCCTGCGTATGCTCGTAGATCACGCCATCGAGTACAACGCCAATAAGATGTCAGGCACGAGAGGGGAAGATTACATGGCATGGATTCCGCTAGCTGTATCCCTGTCTCCAAGCTTATCAGGCTATTCTCTATACATAGCAGCGTGTTTCATACTTTCAAAGCGGTAACAAGACACACGACCACGATAAAACTGCTAAAGGCAAGGTCTTTTAAGAGACCAAGGGGCAGCCCCATCAGATTACGATGCGGTGATAGGCTCGTTGAGATAGGAACAAATGCGGGGGAAAGGGACAAAGGTCAACCAGGTGTGTGCCAATTAGCCAGACCAGCTGGAATATGTGCCTACTCGATGACGAAGTCGAGTCCGACAGGGCATTGCTGTCTGCGAGCTCTTCCCAACTGGCGCACGAGGACCATGATCCATTACACTATAGATTTCAAGGCGTAAAGTATCTATTTCTTTCAATACCTTTCGCAGGACGTTCCTTGATAGGACTATTATTGTATGTGTAGTGGAACTTACTCTAGCGGGCTGTTGGTCTGATCATCTCCAATGTCAATGAATGAATAATAATGAATTAATAAGTCTCCTTTGTGTGGGTCTATACCAAGGACGATCCTAGTGTTGCGGCAAATAACAGCCTGAGCATAAGACTCATTTTATTCTGACGAGACAAAGGTTCTTAGCCTACCAGCTGGTTTTGCTCTTTGGCCTGCTATATGTACACAACAACAGGCTTTCTTGATAGTGTTAAGCCATCCTCGCTCATGCAAGCAGCATTGACCATGAGAGTAGATGATCTCTCACTATGACGCAGACCGACCATTCCCCCCAGAAAGGCAGACATCGCTGATAACAAAAGCATTGCAGCGTCCCGCCATAATCTTGCTTGCAGGAAATCTGCACGCCCAAAGAGCCCCGGTCTAGTACCGGAGAGCTTCGAAAACCCCAAACAGTACCTCTCCCACCACCTCTGAGAGGTGTCCCAATGCACTCGCTCTAACCCATATGATGTATGCACATGCCCAAACACATGTAGTAAAGGGCGGATCCTCCACAACTCTTGAAGCAAAAATGGGCAACCTTCAGGTGAGTCTTGGTACCAGTCTAAGTGGAACTTTGGCGGAGTGTGTGTCACCAGAATATCAGTCGACGCGGGGATGTTGTGAGACCACGGATTGTGATCGACTGGGTATTGGAAGGCATTCTCGGGGCCACCACAAACAGGGACGTTCGGCGCCCCATAAACATTAATCAGCCGTCGAACACCAGTGGAAGCGTCAGGAAAGCTTAGAGACACTGAGGTTTGCTGGAGATAATGTATATCGCCCCAGTCAATTGCTGTGCCAACTCTCTGCAGCGAAAGATCCCTTTCGCGAAGGCAACTGTCCACTGAGGATGTTGTCAGAGCGTCGCCGGCTAACCGGGAATTGACATCGAAAAATCGATCACTATTACCGCATATCACAACCTTGTGGGGATGCGGTAGTGATTTTAGCCAGTCGATGGCTTCCTGGATCTCGGCTGCGCTGCCGTGCAGGGTGAGATCTCCAGCATGGATCAGAAGGTCGCCATATGGAATGTCGCAACGCTGGGAGTGAGTGTCAGAGACGCAGACCACTCGGATGCGTGGTCGTCGATGGTGTTCAACCGACCCAAATATCCATATCAGGTGATTTAATAAGGTATAAACTACCCTGACGATCGTTGTAAGAGGTGATAATATGACTTGATGAGGATGAGCCCCAGGTCCTATTCGAATGAACCGGGAGGTCGAGCTGAACCAGTCTCTTCGAAGCATTGCGAGGTTTATATTACAGCTTGTAGATACCTGTATACGGGCTATAATAAACATGAGCGCGACTACTTAATACCCCGTCCTCGCCAGGCAGCCTCTGGATGACGTGGGCAGACTTCGGTCACGGAAGAAAAGCCGGAACGCCCTTTGATCCACCCAATTATACGAGTTAATCGGCTAATAATGCAGCCCATTATATTCTCTTTCTACGGGCCATGAAACTAGTGATTCATTTGCACCTACATCACATAATTGGGCACAGACAATCACTCATGGAACAACAGCAACATGGGCATATGTGGCTACGGTCTATACTGTTATAGGCAGCTTGGCACAACAATGTAGTAGCAAACGTGGACCATTGATAGTTGCATCTATGAGCGATAAGGAAAGGGAAAGCCGATCAATGACCATGGCGACCCTCAATCAAATCCTTCGCAGCAACCTTTCTACATTCCTCCAACACCCTCAATTGTTCGGCAACCTCACCCAGTCTGCTAATGACTTCCTTGTTCCCCCGCGTAAAACCAAATATTACGTAGGGAATCCCGACGTCGCGGCAGAACTCCTTCACGTACGGCTGAGCCCGGCGCAAGTTATGCCTCGGGAGGCGAGGGAACAAATGGTGCACGACTTGGAAATTGAGCCCGCCATGCACAAAGTCCAACCATGGCGGGCATTCGACGTCCATCGTCGTCCGCACCATCTTCTGAGCAAATGACTCGGCGACGCCGAGATCGGCGCTCGACATGGCGAAGTGACTGAGCGTGAGTTGTACGTGCAACGGGGCGGTCACCATATGAGAAATGAGCAGAAAGGTGATGCGTGACGGCCACGTCGGGATCGAAAGGTATAGCGTGCGGTAGCCGTACCAGTACCAGAAGAACACCTGGCCGGACATTTCAAGGTAGCGATGCCACCATGCTGCACCTTTCCGGGGTGATTGCGCCGGGTCTAGGAGGTACGACCATGCTAAGCGGTACAGGTTGAAACGACCGAATAACAGTATGGGATAGTAGAGGTAATGCTGGTACTTGATGAAGAACCGTGCGGCAGCGTCGAGAGTCATATTGCGGTCGTAGTAGCTCGAGCGCAGGGAAGTAAAGAATCGGGAAGAGATGGCAAAAAAAGGCATGTGCTGGATGTCCGGATCGTGCTCCGGCGAGTTGGTTACTATGTGATGCACGTTGTGATTCCGCTTCCACCAGCCGACTGATAGACCACCAAGGAAATCTGCGACAAAAATCCCAATGCAGCTGTCGGTGTGGAATCCATGGGTTATGCTTAGATGACCAGCGTCGTGGACGGTGAATGCAAGCAGGTGCCAGAGTGACCCGAGGAAAACGCTAGAAAGAGCATAATAGGAATGGTGAAGACATGTCAAGAAGAGGACGAAAAGAACCAAGTATCGGACAAATTCGACAGCGTAAGAGCCATATGGACAGTCATAGAGTCCTTCGGATTGCAATTTTTCATCGAGCTGGCGGTACTTTGAGGCGACCTCGGCTTGGGAGCTTTTATCCAGAGGAGGATATTTTGAGAGATCAGATGATATCGCGTGTGCAGTTGAGGCTTCCGCAGATCTGAATTCTCCTAACTCCGGCTCTGATGAGGATAAGGATGATACTCGAGAAATAGGGGTATCATTGCCTGCGCGCCTCAGACGAACTTGGTCTCCTGTCTCTTCAGTATCGAAGACTGATGATGGTGGTGTCGATCCTCCAGATGAGCTGACATCTTCTTCGGCAGATAACGCTTCGTCCTCGACGTGCTTCGAGGCCAGCGTTCTGAATGTCCCTCCCTGTATCGGAGGCAAGAAATTTTCCCATCTTCCAAGTACTCTTCCTATCACATACTTTTGCATATGTGCCTGTGCTTCCTTTGAGTGCAACGCTGTTATTTCGTCCGTTGCATCCCGACCGACCATGTGCAATATCGATTTATCGCCGCCTGGGTGATATGGCAGCCACGCGTCGGCCTTCAGTACCTGATCACCCAGTATAATTATCTTATGGCCGTCTGCTATCAACGCCTCGATTTCTCTCCGAGACCACACTCGATTTTTGCGTGACATAGCCGGCGACATAGGCCAATGGTAGCGTCAGCGGGAGCGCTAAAGATTGACTTCGATCCCGGACAGATGATGACGAGGGATGCTCAGCATTAGACAGAAAGAAATGAGATACTCGCATGTAGGTCGGATGATGCTGTGGTGTGTTCGTCCCTCAGCACTGGGAGTCAGTGTCAGCCTACAATCACGTGCAGGACCCTGTCTAGTCGGCCTGGCGACACAACGGAATAAGACATTAAATTATTATACTTTTTTTTATCAGACATAAGACGGCACATATCTGGCCACAAATAGCAATACCCACCAAGGTATTAGTGTATTGTACTGCGTGTTTGGTACCAATTATAATCATGGGTTTTGATATTATCTTACCTCTAAATTGTTAGCCGTATGGTAATACGCCGGTGGGACAATTCTTGTTCCTGGTATGGCTCAGTGGTGGGACTGCGCAATGGCGGTCCGATCCGCCAGTGGACGTGGTCTACAATGTGCTGTCCATTATCATGTCCAAGCTGAAGCCCATGATTGTTGTTTAACTAGCACAAGAAGGCCTACCATCGCAACCTAATCACTACACGATCTACATAGACAACTATTTTTACTACCATTCCTCTATTTAATCATCTTCGACAGTTAGGGATTGGTGCCTGTAGGACTAGCTGACTAAATGCTTCTAAGAAGCTATTTCCAAAGGCTATTTTATGCACTAAAGGATTCAAAAAAGCAACAACAGTGGAATTCTCTATATGCAGCTCCCGCAGATCCTGATATTAATTTTATGCTCTGTATTGCATGGGAAGGTAACAATATTATTACTGCTTTATCAACTGTGCACACTGTGCATAACCCGACTGATCGGATTCCTCGCTTACGCGTAACGACCTCTACTAGTGCAACAAGTACCCGTAGGCTATTTGGTGATTAGCCTAGAAAGGATCTTTCTATTCCTTGGCTTATTGATGACTATAACTATCATATGAGAGGGGTAGATCGTGTAAATCAACTACGAGCGAGCTATGAGACTCATCAGAAATGTTTACGCTCCTGGTGGCCTATATTCTTCTGGACACTAGATACAACTATTATCAATGCTTATTCTATTGCAAAGGTAGCTCGCAGGCAGCAAGGTATGAAGAAAATTACTCATCTTGAACATCGGAAAGCTCTCTACAGAGAACTATTCAAATAAGGATCAGAGGAATCACTTCAAAGAAAGGCAAGATATAGTTCAGCTCAACCACTAGATAAAGGCAATCATGAGGTTGAAAGGATTCACCCTCGCAAATGGTGCCATTTCAGCGTTGTACGGGTTCAAAGAGCACAAGACCCGAGGTTTGCAGCTAAAACGCACGCACCTCGGTGACGGGTATACGCATCTAGGACCAATGGCGCACAGAGAAGTCGGACCCAGGGCAGGGTCCTTTTAAGGCATTATGGATCAGGGAACATTATACGCTGGCATCCCACTTCACCCCCTGAAGATGGATGAACCATGACTCCTTGGATACGGGGGGTCGGGAGTTGGATCACAAACAGAAACACACGGGAGCTCTGGAGTTGGATCACAAACGGAAACACACGGGAGCTCTGGAGTTGGATCACAAAAGGAAACACACGGGAGCTCTGGGTTTTGAAGTACAAGCGTGCAGTTTGTTGGGCTGGGATGATTAGCCATATTGGATCGGAGTAATCGGTAATCGGCGGATGTAACTCACCCTGGATCAGTGAGATTGAGCTCAATGGTAGGGTCGACCTCGATGGTAGTATTAAATGAGCTTGCATTGCAAATGTTAGCACCCACCTATATTAATCTGAACGCAATGCGAGACATACCAACAGCAGTTAACAGCTGGAGGTGGAGAAAAGCAAGAATCATTCGGATGCGTCCTGTTCAAGTGATTGACGAGCGGAATTTTGTTCACGGGCACTAGGGCCGTAACAATAAGCAGGATTGCAAAAATAAGGATCTGATGGATAAAGGCATAGAGACGAATCAACCCCAATAGCGCAATCATACACCAAAGCACGGCAGCGACGGAAATTGCAAATCCAACAAAATACGGTCCTGGTAGGGCAATCTGCAGGACGACCAGCAGCAAACAAATATAAGCCACGGAATCCATAATCGCGGCAAAGAATAGCTGGAGCCACAGAACCCAAACTGTACGGGAGGGTAAATCCTGGTTCTCGTCGGCGTCCCCCACGACCAGAATGACAGGTACGCTTGTAAACAGGCTGCCGAAGAATAGAACGGAGGCATATCCAAGAAGGCTTCGGATGGTCTGATCGTTGCAATTCACGCCGAGCTGTAGTAATGTCGCGTACGTGATACTGCCGCCCAGGGTGCCGATTGCGCCCAATGCTGTCGCTAGATTATTATACCTTGCTGGCGGTTTTTCGAGCGGTGTTGCCGAGGCCAATTCATCAGCTTCGTCAACTTCTTCCTGGTCCGATCCGAGACCGGCCCTTTTATCCATGTAAATGCGATGCCGCTGCTCCAAAACAATGACATGGTCACCGAGACGCGGAATCTCTTTTAACCCTTCCAAAAATGCTTCCCAATGTTCAGTGCTCAGGTCCGGGAATCCATGATCAAGTTGATCGATTATTTCTCTTCGTATATTTCGGTTCTGCTCACTTAGGTGTCGTTCATCCAGAAGATCCAATGATCTCCGGGCTCTTGAACATCAATCGCCCCGTAGGCTCTGAGTGCTATAGACTCTATAACTTGTACCAACGCGCCTTGGGAGCATATAGATAGATAGTTATGGTCTAGCTTGGACAAGATAGTCGTTGAGGGTTTTTATACTCCTAGATACACAACTGTCTGTTACCGCAAGATCAGCTTTTGAAATGAATAAAATTTAAAATAATATGCTACATAACGGAAAGCGATCTGGAATTAAACTATACAGGGAGACTTGTGCTCCCACCAGTGAGAACACAATGAATACCTATCTGATTATTTCAGACCGGATTCAACAGTTTGCAGTTAGGGTTAGTGACTCGATATTAAAACACCATATGGAGCCCACAATGGGCACCTCGTATCTGAGTTACCACAGCAGACAACTGATTGGATTCTGGATACGAAGAGGATTAATTGATACGAAGAGACTAGGCCGTCTGTGTTCCGTCGGGGGTTCCATTTGCTTTGTGCTAGCTACCTCATAAATGAGCCAGTTTTCCTCGAATTTGGCTTTGAATTGAGGAATTACCTATCTGCCTCTGAGTAACCGCTGAGTGAAAGACTTACTAGGAAAGAGGTGCGTCTGTCACCATGTTTTGCTTCCATGAGTGGAATGCTTTCCTCTCTACTTTCCTAGTACATCCTGCGAGAATTGCGTGCTAAGTGCTACCTTCTGTTCCATAAGGCTCTATCTTTTGTCGGTACTCCATTATGCCCGTCGACAATCAGATGCAATATGTTCGGTAGGTTCATTGTCCGGGTTCTGCTTGGAATCTCTTCCCAAGTTTGCATTAACCAATCTGAGCTCCTTCAGTCTCGGAAAGTCCGGAATCAAGGTCTCGAGAATTATTCTCGGAGCAATGTCGTACGGCAGCAAGGAATGGCAGGGCTGGCTTCTTAATGAAGAAGATGCCCTCCCTCTGATCGAGCATGCCTACAAGCGGGGTATCAATACCTGGGATACTGTAATCTTTGCCCCTTAGTCCTCATACTCTGATTTATTATCTTTCCCGAAATAAAATCCTCCGATCTGACCAGACATACAAACCAGGCCGATGCCTACTCCCACGGCCGCTCTGAAGAAATTCTCGGCAAGGCTCTGATACGATACAACATCCCACGCAACCGCGTTGTTATCATGACAAAATGCTACTTCGGCGTCAGCGATGAAGGCAAGCAGAGGGATGAAAGCAACAAGCCGCTGTTCATCGATCCGTCCAGCAATGACAAGGAGTGGGTGAACTGCGCTGGTCTCTCACGCAAGCATATCTTTGATGCCGTGGACGCCAGCGTGAAGCGCCTTGGTACGTATATCGATGTTCTGCAAATTCATCGATTAGACCGGGGCACGCCTCGAGAAGAGATTATGAAAGCATTGAATGATGTGGTGGAAAGTGGAAAGGTTAGGTATATCGGTGCGAGCTCGGTATGAGTACTCTGTTTGCTTACCTCTGTGCGCTCTTTCATTTGACATAACCTAGATGGCTGCTTGGGAATTTCAAACCCTTCAAAATATTGCAGCTCGCAACGGCTGGCACCAGTTCATCTCTATGCAGAACTACTACAACCTCATAGCTCGAGAGGAGGAGCGTGAAATGATTCCTTACTGCCAGGATACTGGTGTCGGTCTCATCCCCTGGTCTCCTTTGGCCGGAGGATTCCTCACCCGGCCCTGGGGATCCCAACCGACGCCGCGTGAGCTAACAGATGAAGCTATTAAGGGGCTAGTGCTGTCTGGGGCGACAGATGCAGACAAGGCGATTATCAGTCGGGTGGAGGAGGTGGCGAAGAAGAAGGGCTTGAAGATGGCCCAGGTGGCGATTGCATGGTTGTTGAAGCATAAAAACATCAACCCTATTCTTGGATTGAATAGCCGGGAGAGTATTGATCAGGCAATTGCTTCCTTGGAACTGCAGTTGACAGATGAGGAGATCGCATACCTTGAGGAGCCGTATGTTCCCAAGGCGATTCATCCACTAGAGAGGTGAACTTGATATCCAATTATCCATAATATGTCGGCAACGCAATTACTTTCCTTATTCAAGAATGAAGCACACTGCACGTTGGACAAACAATGGGCCTGTCATTGCCATTTATTTCTCCCCCAGACGCATCGAACCTAAGTGACATTGCAGCTACTACGCCGTCGCAGATGCCAACATATGCCTGCCGCCGTTGAGTGTAAAGTCCTTGAGGTGTTGAGGTTGTTGGTAAATGTCCCATCATTTCGGCCATCTAAAAACAGATGGAATATATCCACTGTAGATAGATAGCTTAATGACATGCTTAGAGAGCTGGAAGTTAACCAACTAATAGAATTCATGGCAGGAGACACTAGGACTGTTATACAGGCTAGTTCTTTGTCCTAAAGGAAGCTTTTCTCCAATTTATAACCTTTCTGTAAACTACATGTCTAGAAAGTACTATGCCAAGTAGGATTTAAGCCCTATATTAGTCAAATTCCAAACCCTCGAGGGATGATTACTATGAAAAGAGCTCTAGTAAAGAGCTCTAGTAATAAACCTACCTATAGCTGTATTACAGTCGAGTGCTGTTCTGAGGGTAGAGTTGCATTCGGTCCGAGTCCAGGCAAGATCAAAAGCAGTTGGCACCAAACCGGTGCGATTTTTTGTTCAAATTTAAATCGGAACCCACCTTGATCTGATCGATTTGGTGCGAGTTTCACTGCAAAACTCAAAGCTTGGCAATAAAACCATTTATATTAGGGGCTAACTCACCATGGTTAGATTTTGTTTTGTTTCAGAAACCACTAAATTTAATGGTTTTCTTACCTTAGGCATATGCCTCAGGCTATGCCTTTATGCGAGGGTTGATTACGCTAAACCGTAATCAGTCATCCCTCCGAAAATTGACAGTATCATCCGAAAATCGACAGTCATCCTCCGAATGCAAGACAGCCACAATAGCAGGGCCCTTATATAGAGGCTTACTCGACTGCTGGCACCAGGGAAGAGAATGTGATCTTTCATAGAAGAGAAACACAGTCTTAGAAATGGCTTTTGGAACCTTGTACACGTTTCCCGTAAGTACAGTTGTCAATTGTTGCACATGTTTCCCAATATATATATGCATATACATAGTACTGACAATCCTATTCCCTTAGGGCGATCATTGCCGAACGATAGCCATCAAGGCTGTCGCCAAGGTTAATGGTCTCGACCTCGACATTCGCGAGACCCCCAGAACTCCTGAGCATTTGAGTATCAGCAAGCTCGGCAAGGTCCCTGCCTTTGAAGGTGCGGATGGCTTCAAGCTCTTTGAATGCATGGCCATTGCTCTCTACAGTTAGTCAACTAATCTGGTTGGTGCGATCTAGAGCTGACGACACCTCATCAGTCACTTCTCAAAATGAGCAGACCACTCTTCTCGGAGGGAACAAGAAGGAATACGCGGACATCATCAAGTGGATGTCTTTTTTCAACAACGAGATCGTCATTCTTATGACTCAACAATTACTTCCACAGCTTGGAGTGATTCCTTATGACAAAGACCAGGTGGAGATGTTTACCAACATGACCCAGAAATGTGTTGATGTGGTCGAGGAGTATTTGCAAGACCGCACGTTCCTCGTTGGCGAGCAGCTATCTCTTGCCGATCTGTTCTGTGCCGCAAACATTTCTCTTGGCTTCCAATTCTTCTACGGCAAAGCTTGGAGGCAACAGAACCCCAATGTGTCTCGTTGGTACGAGATGGTTTGCCATCAGCCCATTTATGCGGCCGTAACCGACAAGTTTCAGCTCCTGGATGAGCCCAAGCTGACCAACAATCCGCCTGAAAAGAAGCCTGAGACAGCTCCCGAGAGTGTTGCTGCTGTTGCTTGAAGCTATGCAGACTAAGCATCATATGGCGTCAATATAAACGAAAACAATACTTCTTCAAGGCACTTAAGGGAATCAATATATCAGGGAGATGGACGCTATGTTTGGTCTGGGGCAGATTTCTTCTTTCGAATATCCTTCCAGTCCACTCCAAATGAAAATATTCAGACAAACTGCTCCTAGCATCATGTAAAACACATGGTCGAGACTCCTTTTAGGACCTGCAAAGACAAAAGCTACTACTGTTCAGCTGCCGGAAAGCCTTGGCCCTTAAGGAAATCAACTTGAGATGTCGGCTCCACTAAGTACCAATAGGCGCGCTATAGGGAGTCGAAGGATGTAGGATCTACCGACCGCATCATGTGCATAATGTGGAGGCATACACATACGATATCGGAATAATATCATATCGTTGCAGTTCTAAACAAGATCAAGAAGCATCCAAGCGGGGTTTACAACCGCTGATCAGCTGATCACGCATTATCCAAAATGTCCCACCATCAACGGCAATGGCCAAAAATATGCAGGTAAGAAGCTAATTCTGCAGGTCTACTGGCTGGAAAGCAAAGTGATTATCTGGACTTAATGCAACCAATAGAGTGGTCAGATACTTCGATATTTAAAACACCAAGCTTGGCTTTCTACAACCAGAATAGTGCACGGACAATGAAAATCTCCGTCCAGGCGCCTAGGATTATCAAATACTCCGATTCGACGATCAACGGCAATTGTGGGTCATCATGAATTCCCCTGAGCAACTCCGGGAATCATTTGATCCGACATCGAACCGACTTGCAGCAGTCATTCCTGTAAGTGGCGCACCACCCTTCTCCCCGCCGATATCGTTGCTCATTAAAAGATCAGCCCGCTATAGAAAATGGATGTGGCTCTCGAGCTTCTCGATCCCCTCATTCTGGACAAGGCGTATGCCTGGTTGCTGCCCTCCGATCCTCATCTCGCCGATCCGACGTCGCGATGGTCTCGCGATAACATCTGCCGCCAAGTCATCTCGATTCTCGTCATCACGCAACTCGGCGCGACCTCCCTCTACCTCTTTTTCAGCGCGCTCTCCTACTATTTTATCTTCGACCGACGGCTCGAGTACCATCCCCGCTTCTTGCCAAATCAAATCCGCCAAGAGATCAAATCATCGCTGTCCGCCGTTCCGTTTATCAACATTCTGACCCTGCCCTGGTTCCTGGCTGAGGTCCGTGGAAAAAGCTTACTGTACCGCTCGGTGAGCGACTATGGCTGGCCCTGGCTGGTGATCTCGGCCATCCTGTACATGGCCTTCAATGATATTGGCATCTACTGGATTCATCGCCTAGAGCATCACCCCAGCGTGTACAAATACATTCACAAGCCACATCACAAATGGATCGGTCAGTCTCTCACATAAGTTCCATGTACCAGTTGACGCCAATGCTGATGACATATAGTTCCCACACCATGGGCTGCGCTGGCATTCCACCCGCTGGATGGATATGTGCAGTCTCTGCCATACCAGTGAGTATCCGCAGTCCTCCTTCCCGGCGATCCCCATGACCATTCTCTCTAACAATCAACAGCGTCTTCGTCTTCATTTGCCCCATGCAGCGACACCTGTACATGGTTCTCTTCGTTGCAGTCCAGGTTTGGACCATTTTCATTCACGACGGCGACATGATTTCGGGCCATTGGACGGAGAAATTCATCAACAGCCCCGCGCATCATACATTGCATCATATGTACTTTACTGTCAATTATGGGCAATACTTCACCTGGGCGGACACCTATTTCGGCTCGCATCGCGCCCCGGAGCCAGCGCTGGATCCGCTCCACGATGCGCTCAAGGTGATGCGGGCCCAAGGCCTCGTGGATGAGCAGGGCAACCCAATTAAGAAGCCAAAGGGGGAGTGAAGGACCTTCGATGTCGTGAGAGACCAAATATTTTTGGTATATATGCATATGACGATTAGACGTAGAGTCATTTCCTGTACAGCTAAAATTTAGAGCAATACCTAATGTTAATATATATCGATGCAAGTTTCATCCTTGCTTGTCTCAGCGCTCGCGAAAGATGGCAGATTGCTCAGCATGATGAGGGCAGGGTTCCTAAGGGGTGAATCATTGACCTGGATCGTGGAGCTTGCCGTCTTGTATCTGCGCATTGGACAAGAATGCAGTACAACCTCATGCATCCTACGTCTGCGCCTGTGGCCCATCGATTATAGTCTTTTATGGAATGAAACGCGATTACTTCTTGCGAACGTATTGTGGCACCTAGATCGCGAGCTTCATACAGAGACTCAGGACTGGATTGATGCCTCCAAGGATTCTTCCTAGGGCAAAATCCAGAGCTCAGCATGAATTTCAAAAGAGGCAATGAAAACAAACAAGATTATGATTGACTCATATGGAAGCAGGCTGAGCAGATGCGCTGAACTTGTATACAGCACCATCTTCTACCCTGCATCAAGCGCCATGTATGATTATGATCAGTTGTCCCAGTGTCCATTACGAAAGCTTGTAACGTCACGCCATCAGTCGCCTCCTCCATCTTCTGCGAAAGGGCTTTTCTCATGGGCTCTCCAGCGTAGGGTTTGATGTCATCCCAAGTGTCAAATTTAAAATACGAATATCACAGGCCCATTTATCTGTTGTTCCACGGAGGAGATTAGAGTTGTCTTAGAAATAGGTCAGATAGCAGAAACCGAAGTTTCCCCGGGCCATGCTGGATTAAATCTCCGGCGCAGCTTCCCAACTTACACAGGCCCGTCCACCAGTTAAGGAGCAAATGGATGGTATCTTGTCTTTCATGCCGAGGTAGCGGGCGCAGAGCTAAAGTGGCACTCTCAGCAGGAGAACCACTATGAACAGGGGATATTGCATCTGGAAAGTCGGCAAACCAATAATGGACGTCAGTAAAGGGTGAAGTGGGGATCTTACATCTATTGCAGTCACACGGAGCACATCATGCGTCATTGTACACAGCTGTCAAGTAGTCCACAGGATCAACCTCAGTACTAATGTTAAAGGAGGTTCTGCTTAAATAGAGAGAATAGTTCTCATTCTGCGCGGGGCTGACGGCCGACTATTGCTAGTACTAGTAGTACCACTATTATATGAACTATGAAGGCTCAGCCAGCCACCTCCCAGCTCAACATACATCTGTTCAACCTGTAAGTTATCAGTGTTACAATATAGCTCATAGCTTCAAAGCACTTGCTTAGAAGTGTTCTGATCAGTTATATTACTTGAGACGTCTACTCTGCTTGGTTTACTCTTATGTACAGTACAGGGAGGGAAGTGGGCATATAGATAACAAGCTCACTGTGGCTGAAGGGGATGTCAGACGAAGACTGTGGCGGCCGAGCCGTTCAGCCGGCATTGAAATACGACGAGTCAATAGCATCCTGGTGTGATGGATTAAGTCGGGGCCATTGGTTCAATACCATAACACTAATGAGTACCGCAAGCAGAAAACTTAAAAATGGCCTTTATGAAATGTGGTTTTCGTGCTTTTCGGCTAGCACTCAGCAATAATAACGGCCAAGTGCTTTTGCATCTCAGTTTCCTTCCATAGGGCCTATTGAACATGCTTATGGAAAATTAATATTTTCTGCTGGAAATACATGGTAATAATCGTCATCCTAATCTATATCAGAAATATAGATTCCATATCTGTGGGCCTAAATAAGTGGTTAATAATCTTTTTTTTCTTTTTTAACAATAGTGGGTGTTAAGGTGTAGAGAGAGGTATATCCGCACCACTTCTGTAACAACCTGTGGAAGAAACAATTATTCTATCAAATACTCATTCAATGGTAACATCAAATGCTTGGTATGGATATTGGAATTCATACTCAGGAAACATATGTCCCATGGCCTGCTCTAAGCCAGTCACGCAAGGAAGGTCCAGCCCGAAGGAGATTAATTAAGCTTATGCTGACAGCTCTATGACGCGGCTTGGGAGAGGAGAAATTGCTCGACTAGACTAGCGCAAGGAGTATAGTATGTCCGAGAATAGCTGCAGAAGAGTCATTCTCTCCGAGTGCCTATTTCTGCCGTGTCTAGACTCCAGCCTCCGGAGCTTTCAGCTGAGCTATAATAACAAGCGGGCTCAACATGGGATAAGCATCCAAGAAATCCTGGTGAGAATTTGTGCAGCCACTTAGGATCAAACTTGGCTGTTCGGTGTTGGATGGACCTATGCCTTAGTGCTTATCAATCACTGACCATCATCATTTGCTTACGGCGAGCTCTTGATTGTAGCACAGGATTATCTATATAAAGGTGAAGGGCCACCTCCAGTTCATCCTACATTCCCTCCTGAAGAAGCAATCAGTCGTCATGCGCGCCACGGTCTTTGCTTTGCTGACTGCCCTAAGTGCATCGCTTGTCCATGCCCAGGGATATAGTGCAGAGTGTTCCGATATCTATCTCAATGAAGGTTGGCTAGTTGCAACCTGTCCCAAGGATGACGCCAATGGCAACATCACTAGCAGTGTCTTTCTGCCGAACAAGGTTACCAACAATAATGCTGTACTTCAGGTGAGTTCTCAACAGTCGCCATCTCCTGTTGTTTAACCGGGACTAATGCATGGTACAGTGGGCCGTCGAGTACGTCCGTCCTCATCTGTTGATCAGCGTCTACTGACAGATTTCGCAGCGGAGCTTACTGGAATTCCTGCAAGGACTGCTCGCTCACCAATAGCGGGTCAACACTCCAATGCTCGTGCTTAGGTTCAGCATCCCCGTACAGCAACACAACATTGAATCTAGGTAAGGTCTTCCAACATACGTTGATGTATCCACTAATAGCCGTGCAGAGGAACATATCGCCAACTATAACGGGCACCTCCTTTCCAACCTCGCCGGGGCTGTCACCACTGTTCCAGCGGATTCCTCGTACCCCGTGCCCACGGAATTTGATGTGGTGCTCGAGTTGTCAACAGTGAACAATTCATGCGCCGGAATTGGAGGCACCCTCACAATGAACCGCCCAACAAGCTGCTTCTATCTCAACTTCGGACAAGGCATAGAGTACTCCTGGGCATGCGGCACCTCGGTGAACAACCAAGGCTGGGAGATTGTAGGGTACTCTGATAAAGATTGCACAAGTAGCCCAGTTGCGACCTTCACAGAGGGAAACCAGGGCACTTGCTTGACATTCTCGACAGGTGTCAAAAGTTTCTATGTGACTCCACTGTGGAATGCGGACTAAGCCGGGATATATCAAGGCATAGTCTCCCTATGGACCTCGGAGCTCTGCGACTCTCGCTCTTATTGCACCCTACTTAGAAGATGAACACTGTCACTGAACTGAGGAACAAAAGCTACTATCCAAGATAAGCGTTTCAGCAACTGTTTTGCCACACTCCGTCTATGTAATCACGCTGGGTTGAGCAGTGCATATTTTCACTATCTTCAGAAGTTGAAACACATGAAGGAGTTCCTTTGCGATGTTGAAGAAGCCTACCATATCTAGTTGTCTTACTGAGTACCTAACACGAAGAGATAGCTAGTATAGACAAAATGCAATCTCCTGAAAGGCTCCACAATGGTCTGAGACAAGATAAAGAAAGAGAGACAATAGCTGCATCTCCTTCTGTTGTCTCATCCGCCGGGTCTCAGATCTTACGCGATGTCTTGAAAACAATGGCATTGTCATTGTTTGTAACTTGAAACAAACAAGCTACAAGCAGGAACATCTCCCAGGTAAACACTACAAAATCTCAGTCATCTACCAGTATGGCAAGATTCTTTTCTTCTACAACCATCTCTGTTCTCAGATATTTTCGTCGATTCGCTAGCCTTGATCGTCCCTCGTCCTATTCTTTCAAACATCTATCCTATTCGCCGGGCATCTCTTGTGCGGAAATGATGGTTAGTCTAATCATCCCCCCCAACAACTGAACTACGGAATCTACTAACCAACGATCTAGTCTATGAACGCCCCTGACTTGGTCACAGTTGTCAGCCACCTCGCCCCTCGCACCGCCAATATGACACAGGTGGCAGAAATGTGGAAGAACATCCTGGTGAGGTTCTTCCCTAGTAACGGGTATGCTCAGTTCCCCTTCCGAGACACCCACTACTACATCAATCTCGACCTGAACACTCATGGTTATTTGGGCCTAGGCTCCGTCGTGCGCACCCAGGGTTTTAACACGGGCGTCCACTTCCTCCAGGTCAATTTCACGGCAGCCCCAGCCGACGGCTCCGCTTTCTCCTGGGAGAGTAACGAGCACTTTGAGACGCGGGAGCTCCGTCGTTCGCTGCAGAGTGTTCCTGACGACCAGAAGAGCGCCATCTATGGACTGATTGCGATTGGAACCTATGTGCGCTTCTAMAAGTACATGCCTGACGGTCAGTTTGCTCCTGTGACGTTTGTGGATGGCAAGCAGACGCTGCATATCGGCGGTGAGCTGGCGGTCATCCCGGAATTTCTCGCCAGAGTCAAGGAAGAGTGGATGTGATGGGGGAGCGGGCATCCGGCTGTGGCTGAGAAGTTGGTTGATTAGTGACTTATGTTGTGAATCTGGTGCTTTTCTGCTTTTGCGTTTGTAGAATGTTAACTCATTAGGATGCCTACTATGGATTGGAAGATATCACTGGCGGAAAACTAGTGGCTATTCCCTGAATACAGGCGTTTTACTCTCCTCTTCCTAAGCAAACTCAGCTGCCTTACGAACAAGTACTTGCAAGCCTTGTTGATTGACCCCAATAAGTTCATCCACCTTTTGTCCGTCCTTAAAGACAACAAAGGTTGGCATTGCACGTATGCCAACCTCCTGAGCAACTCTTTCTTCTTGATCGACGTCAACTTTGTAGAATTCGACATCGCCAAACTCTGATTCCTTCGAAAGCTCCTCGAAGAAAGGTGAAATAACTCGGCAAGGTCCGCACCATTCTGCCCAGAAGTCGATTACAACAGGCTTATCGCCATTGATGATATCTTGAAATTGTTCAAACCTGCCGTATATAAAATTATTAGGACTAAGCAACAGAGTCTGAGAGGAAAGAATAATATCAACATCACTTACGAGGTAATGGCTGTAACAGGCATTTTGTTCAGGAGATTCTCTGCTGCAGAATTCACAAATAGATAGTTGGTATAGTTTGTAAAGAACAAGGGTGGAGCAAGCAGTCTAGAGAAGACAAAATAGCTGGACCTAACTATCTTCTTATATGATTTCATGCAGCATTACCCCTCCCCTCCCCACCTTTCAGCTGTACAGATAGTATATGCCTAGATAGCAAATAACTCTGCAGTGCCCCGCTTCAGCCATGTGATATTCCCTTAGCTGAAGGGATAAATCCCTCTCAGGAATGATGTCTGAGCGCACGCCACGCTAGCTGAGAATGAAATCCACGTCACCTTGCTGATCGTCCAGACCAGTTGCTAGGCAGGCCTCTGCACATGTTTGGTGGCCTTCAGCTCGTGCTAAGAAGTAGTCCGACGACTCCGACGACCCTGCCTTGGCGTCCCAGTCATAGAATTGTTGTATTTTGTGTACTTTGAAAATTCTCTTAAAGTACTAGGAGGAATGCAACATGGAACATGAAGGCCACACACTACTTTGTGCTATATAATATACAAGGTACGAATGTGGTTGTTTCTTTTCCAGACCCGCCTAGGGCATTGGATGTTCATGCAGGGAAATGGAAAATGGAATGTGCTCAACAGATGATAATCGTCTCACTAAACCAACCAGGGGCTACTGGGTGGCTTTAGCAATTGTGTGATCAACATATACAATGTACAATGCTAAAATAGCCCATGCCGCATGTCTTCCCGTCCTTAGTCGAATCACTCTGCTGTCAGCTTAATAAGCCGAGCTCCCATTTCGGACGGGAGAGTGACATTCAATAAGCCCTCACTAGACTCCCATTTGATCATCGTAGGAAGCCTAGTAGGATACAGAATGTCAGTGCTAACAGCCCTACCACGGAGTGCTTTGACCGGCAGGTCAATAGATTCGGGACCACCCCGTCTCCAGACGGAAAGGTAATAGCACTCATGACTATTGCCCTCGCCCTTCTTCATAGCCATCGCCAGTGAGAACCAGTCATCATGCCACTTTGGAAGACCCAACGGCCAAAATGCGGTTGCTGTGGGCAAATCGGCCCGTATGGCTCTATAAACATCCATGCCTTCTTTGACCAAATTAAACTGCTCCGGCTGGAGAAGATCTAAACGACCACTTAGATGCACGCGGCCCAGGAGACTATTAACCACTGTCATCGCATTAAGCTCGTCATCCCATGCCGGCTGCGGGTAGGCCCATATTGCTCCTTGTTCTGGAGTAACGGCGGTAGGGAGAGCCGATGCAATGGCCGGATAGCGCTCTGGATCTTGCTGGTCGCTCGACGACTGGAGGGCGTGGACCGCCAACATGGCGTAATCCATTCGCTGGGCGCCGCTGGAGCAGTTTTCGATCACGAGATCGGGGTAGCGATCAAGTAATTCGCTTACCCATCGTAGATACGCACGGTTGTGCTCTAGTTGGCCGGAGCCAGGACTTGAGCAGTTGATGTCTGTCCCTTGCGTGACATCGATGTTATAGTCGAACTTGAAGTACCCAACACCATATTCAGTAACGAGGCGATCGATGACGGCGTTCATGTTCTCTCGTACGGAAGGATGGCGGTAATCGAGTTGATATCGGTTTTTCTCCACCACGCGATGACCGTCTCGCTGGAAGAACGCTTCGTTTGGTAGCTGCTTAGCCACGACACTGCGAACTCCAATGACTTCAGGCTCAATCCATAGCCCAGGAATCAGTCCTTTGTTTCGGATCTGACTCAAAAAATTTTTGAATCCTGATGGAAATCTCTTCTGAGATGGCTCCCACAACCCAACGTCGTCCCACCAGCCGGAATCATCGGCATACCAGCCAGCGTCAATCACAAAGTACTCCGCGCCTGCTTTGACAACAGGATCTACAAGCGCTAATATTTTCTCTTCGGTGGGATCGCCCATCAAGCAATTCATGTAATCATTAAAGATGATGGGTAGTCGGTCATGGTCTCGGTGCTTGCGTCTGATCTGGCGTCGGTACTGGGTCATGGATGCAAATGCTTTCTCATAGTCATCCTGGACATGGCACAGCGCTACAGGAACGGTAGTAAACTCCTGTCCTGGAGGGAGCCTCTGTCTCCAGTCATGCTCGGTCTCCACTGGCCCGCCAGCAGCTAGATAAATGCTGTCCTTCCAGTCCCCTATCTCCCATCGCCACGAGCCATTGTTCTCAACCTGCCAGAGCCAGGCATCTCTGTTGCTGACATGCGTGAGGAGCCCCATGGGGAGATGTCCTTCTGTGGAAAAGGTGCCGCGGTTAGACACCGAATAGTGCCCCAGACTTCCCCAGTGCACATCGGGCCGTCCATAGACGCCGCAATCATCGACTCCAAGACTGGGCAGGTCATGTTCAACCCACTGAGCTTCCCGGAACCACGAGTTATTCGGTACAGAGAGTCTATACTCGTGCCACCACCTCTCTGAGCCAGTTGATAGTCCACCGAGGACTAGAGATGTGAGCTGCGTCAAAACGATCTCCTTATAACCATMGTTCTGGATGCTAGCCGTCGCACGTAACACGGGGAATCCGTCGTAAATGGTGAGGTGCGAGGTAACCAGCACCCCAGATATACTATCCTTTAATCGAACATGGAGTGTGTGCATGTCTGCTGCAGTATGAAACTCATGAGACTGATATCGCAAACGAGCACCGACATAGCTTCCCACAAGGCTTTTCGACGATTTGTTTCTTTCTGTTCCTTCTCCGGCCAGCCGCACCTCTACCAAGGGCGCATACGAATCACTGAAATTCTTGAACGCGGAGGTCGGCGAAGTGCCGGGGAGAGGTAGCACCTCTTCTAGGAAAACTGCCCCATCTTTATCAATGAGCACTTTGACTCGAAGAGCTTGGCTTTCCAATGTAATTGTTTTCGACGGCATGTTAGAATTGATGACTCTGGTCACTGGGCTCTCCAGGGATTTTCTTGACTAGGGAAATCCGATTTAAGAAGAGGGGTAAATATCCGCTGTGCAAATCCCGGCTAATAATGCGCCAATGAGCATCATGGGTCGGTTCATTTTAGCATCTTTCATAGGCTGATTTTATATGGGTAACTTTATCAGTGGGAATGCAGTATAACCTGAGTGGAAGTGGCCATCACAGTATAGTTAAGTATACGTCGATCTCATGGCTGGGGCCGTCAACACTTCGCAGAAGATGTGGTCTCGCGGAGTAGGCGCAATAGCCTTTGCGATCAATATCTGGTTTCTCGATTCACGCTCACGGCATTAATTTGTAGGATTTCTATGAAGACCTTGTACAAGTCTATGTACGGTCCTGGTATTTTGATTCCGCATATACCTAAATATCCTAGCCCAGTGATGGCTACATTCTCATACGTTTCCGACAAAATTACTGGAGACGCTCTCTATCGTACGAACAGGGCCCTCTGAAAGAGGAATATTCTCAKGACCAGTTCCGTCAGGAGATATCTGCCCCTGGTCATGATCCGCCTCTTTCCCTCTACCTAAGAAGAAACCGCGAATACGGGAGGACAGAGAATCGTTGCTGTCTCTGTTACTCGGGGCGACACGACTGAGTATGTGCCAATGGATCGCAATCAACGTCTTGAGTGGGGGTAGGCAGGATATGAATATTGCAACGCAGACTTCCACCGCGGACCAGTTGAGGGGAGCAACTAGAGTCCCTGAATGATTCGTTAGTTGTGACTCTCCCAAGAAGCGAGAGGAGAGTATTTACATGTATGGTCTGGACCGAGGTTTTTAATATAAGTCACGCGAATGATGCTCGTCACGCAGACTCTGGATATTTCGTCAGTAAATGTATTCAAGCGGTGCAAGAGATGTCATACAGCAAACCCAGTGCGAACATCAGGATAACCCCAAACTTTTGGAGCCCACGAACCCGGAGGCGGAGCAAGGGAGGAATTGGCAGAACGAATATTGCTATATCTGTCGCCAACTTGATGCCGAAGCTGACGTAGTAGAATAGGATTATATTCAAGCAGTGACCTGGGATGGTTGGATCCCATGCGCTCTGGACAGGTCGGCACTGAAAAATGACCACTATGATTTCCTCGACGCACTCCATGATCAGCAGTACGATCAGGGCGATGCACAATGATTTGAGGACCCGCGAGGGTATAAATATGTGCATGTACAAGACGGGGAACGATATCTTGATCGTGTTCAGAGCAATTAAGTATACTAATTGGGTCACAAATACAAGCTAATAGACGTTAACCGGCAGTAACTGCAGATGAGTGAAGGCTTACCTTGAGAAACATGGAGATAGTGGAGGGTTGCTCTGCGATCAGAGCGAAATGTCTTCCATAGCCATATCTAGTCACTGAGTCCATGTTAGAGTCAGGCGAGATAGAAGAGAACCTGTCATACTCCACATTGAGATAAAACAGAGAGCAAATGTGAACATCTGCCGATTCTCAATCAGTATATCTACAGCACTGATCGTCGAGTGGGTAACCCATACCCAGCTTATGATGCAAAGGACTGTAGGAATTAGCCCTGACCTAATGGTCGAGCAGAGTATTATGACTTACTGTCATCAGAACGGATCCTGTAATAGCGATAACGCACATACAGTCGCACAGCGACAGCGACACTGACGATTGCTAACAAAATCACGTTGCAGGCGATAACACTTGCTACTCTGGACTGCGCCAGATATGCTGTCTGCGCCGCGTCCTCGAAGTGCGTGAGGTTTAGCTGGTCCATCCATATTCGTTATTGAGGCAATTCTTCACTTGAATTTGACATGCAGCAAAGTGAATAGGAACAGTATAATAAAGCTATGTCGAGGGGTTTGACGAGGATAGAATGATGATATCAACGGCTGTGGGGCTATGGCTCTCATCCCATGGTTCCGTCCCCAAAAAGGTTCCTGGGGTAGCTACGGCGGCGAAAAATGCCACCAATAAAGGAAGATGCCAACGTTCTAATTCCCGGATGACGTTCCGATCTCGATCATGGTATTTGGAATCTCCTGGTCCCAAAGAATCATGTACATGAGGCGCAGTCAACTCAGTATTCATCTTTGGCCTCTGATTCATCAGACCAACTATAGAAATGGGCCAGTCATATAGACACAGCCCCTTGCCGTTTTTGCCGAGGGACAGCGGAATGTGCCTGTCTGCCTGAATGGTATAGTACCAGGCTGGACCTCCGCAAGATGCAATAGCATCATATTCTCGTCCCAAGTAGTAATTAGTATAGGAATCTGAATACTTAGGATTCCGGCAGTGATGTAAGGCGTGGTCTTGCCGTTTATGTCATGGATGTGTCTATAGAATAACGACGCGAAGATAGTTTATTAGATGACCCTCAATCATTACTCTGCTGCCCTTTCCACCCCAGCCAGGCACCGGCAATCAACCCCTTACACAAGACTGCCGTCCACAAAGCCCCCATCAATCCCACCGAACTTTTCGCCCAGAGCCCTCCTAGAACCGTCCCAAGAACTAAACAAACAATGGCGCCCAGGCGCCTCCTCTCCTCGACCGCAGAAAGCGACGGAAACCTGGGACTGGAGAAGAAGTCACAGTAGACGCTGGTCAGCACCACACTGGTCAACCCATTAAGCTGAAGGATGCGGCTCGTCACAGCTTGTCCACTGCTCTGAAACGCGACCAAAACCTGCGGCACGAAGGCTTTCCAACTGAGCTCCGAGTGTCTGGACGGAAAGTGAATGGTCACGATCGTCGCTGCAACTGCTATACAAAGCATCTGAACGGCGAACGACGTAGAAAGCACCCAGCGCTGTCGCGACGGAAACCGCCGGTGGAAAGACGCAAAGCAGAAGGAGCCAAAGCAGAAGCTGGAAATGGAGATGCCGGCTTTGATCCAGCGGGTGGTTTCGTCTACGCCGATCAGGCCCAGGCCCAGGTACACGGTGTTGCCTGTTTGCATGCTCACGAAGGAGCCCCAGATAAACACTGCGGAACTATCCAGTAGGCCGGTAATTATATAGCAGAATAAGAGTAGTAGATCTCCATAGTGAGGGTTGATTTCCGAGGTGAGGTGGGCCGCGATCCGGCGGCTACGCGATTTTGTCGCGGAAGTGTTGTTATTCCCAGGTTGCAGTAACCAGTCTGCCTCATGGGGGATCGACTGCGTCTCGCGATGTCGAGATGTCATTGCGACGGTCGTATCCCGATGAGGTTGGGATGGTCATGGAACGGAGTGCCAGTAGATGAATATCAGCGAGCTCGCCGCGTCGCTAAACGTGGGTTCTGGTGTGGAGCTTATGACGTCGCATATGTTACATTTTTAGCTGAAACTTTCTGATCAAAACAATCATCACACACACCAGGCCATTGAACTATGAGTTATGAAATATGTAAAATGTGTAAAAGCGATAGTCCCGGAAACGATTTGCCAAATATCAAAGTGTTTCCATAGAATAATTACTATTACTGTTTACTAATTATAATCCTCCTCGGCAGTGAACGATTGAACCCTCACGGTAGCGCTGTACACCTTCTCGCTAATATACATCTCTACATGTAACTTACTTGATGTCAAAGGACAGTCATATTCTTCGTAGCTGCAGCTGCCTTTTGTAGGCACCTTTTATTGAATTGAGAGCGCATAAAGGCTGGATATAGTACCAATCTGCGGCGTCAAAACACCTAGCCGATTATTGTCAGCGAACAAATCACATCACATCGACCCTTTCCAAGAACACAACTTTGCTGCCATAATCCGAGCTAAAGGAGTACTGCAACCCAAGGTTCATTAGCATATCTCCAGAATACGGCCCCTGCTCGTCAACGCGATACATAGCTCGCGGATCCAGCCCCTGCATTCTCACCCTCGGCATGGTATGATTAACGTTCGGACTAAGCTGGAAGAAGAACAAGACAGCCCTGGCCCCATCTTCCGAGATAAACAGCACAGTAGGCCAATTCGACTCCTCAGGCAGGCTAAGCCTCCACATATCACCTTTCAGCACGATCGGGTTGACTTTCTCCGCCAATGCAATCAGCTCCGGAACCGCGGCTTTCTCGTCAGGGTGCATCTTCAGCGGGTCGAGCTCAAGGCCGAACGATCCGCCCATCATTGCAACGTGCGCGCGGAATGTAAGCGGGACTGTTCGCCCTGTTTGATGGTTAGGCACCGCGGAGACATGCGCGCCCATAGCGCTGGCGGGGTAAACCAGTGAGGTGCCCATCTGGATGAAGATGCGTTCCACGGCGTCGGTGTCATCCGATGTCCAGACCTGGGGGAAGTACTGTAAGATTCCCGGGTCGAAGCGCCCGCCACCGGAGGCGCATCCTTCCCAAAGGATATCGGGGAAGCGTGAGGTGAGGGTGTCGAAGACGCGGTACATTCCAAGCATGTATGCGTGGTTTGCCGAGGGGGAGGGCGTCTCATTGATAGCACGGTTATGGTCCCATTTAACGTAGCTGATGGCAGCGCTGTTGAGGATGTTGGTGATAGCATCGATGATGAACTCTTGTACTTCGGGTTGCGCGAGATTCAGCACGAGCTGGTTGCGTTGTTCGGTGCGTGGGTATGAGCCTGCGTGGAGGACCCAGTCGGGGTGTTCGTGGTATAAACTTGATTCTGGGTTCACCATTTCTGGTTCAACCCAGATACCGAAGCGAAGATTCTCCGACGAATTGGCAACCTTCAGGGAGGTGATGGCATCCACGAGCGGGGCGAGCCCATTAGGAAATCGGGTTGGATTGGGAATCCAGTCGCCCAGACCGGCTGCGTCTGAGGTCCGAGGGTATTTGTCGCCAAACCACCCGTCGTCCATGACGAAGAGCTTTACGCCCAAAGCAGCGGATTCTTGTGCCATGCGGTACATGTTCTCCTGGTTGACGTCGAAATACAACCCCTCCCAGCTGTTCAGCAGGACGGGGCGGTTGTCTGTCGCGAACTTGCTCTTCATAAGATGATTGCGATATAGGCGGTGCAGAGAGCGCGACATCCCTCCTAGACCGTTCTTTGAATATATGGATACACACTCGGGAGACGTGAGGGTTTCCCCGGGCGCCAAGGGCCACGATAGCTGGTCTGGATGGAAACCCATAGACACACGTGTCAATCCCTGCGAGCCTTTTTCAACATTGGCAGCAAAGGAGCCGGCGTAGACCAGTGAAAAGCCCCATGCCTCGCCATGGGACTCGGTAGTAGAGTGATGCGCCAGGGCGACGAAGGGGTTGTGCAAGTGGGACGAGAAACCTGTTGTACTCCCGAAACTGTCGAGCTAAGTCAATACGGCCTTATCATTGATATATCGAGGTCATACCCCAGAATTCCATAGTCCACCTTGCGCCTCTGCCGATGCGCTTCTCTCGCCCAGTCGCCCCTGAGCGAAATCATATCAAAGTCCTCGCATGATAAATCCACAGTCATACTAGACAATGCCTCGATCGAGATAGTGCCATTGCCTTTGTTCGTGACGCTCACACTCCGCACAATGGCGTCGTACTTTGGAAATATGGAGTACATTAGATCCGCCGCCACCTCACTATACTGGTCATACAAATGCACCACCAGCGTCGTGACATCCTCCTCTGTACCGAACGTCGCCGGCAAGCCAGGCAGCGCAGGCTTGCCCTTCACCACGGTATGAGAATTATACCGAAAAGCGGAAACAGTATGTCCCTGTGACTGGCGGATCTGAATGGCAGGGATCCGAAAGTCTCCTCGACCTTGGTCAGGGAACTCGCGGCGAACGCGGTCAGGCATACCGCTCCACCCATTGATTAAGGGAGCTGGATCATCGGGAATAGGTCCACTGACGCTGCCGCCGAAGTGATCGGAGCGCAGATCGCCAGTGCTCTCGTCAACGTGGAACCGGTAGGAAACATTGTAGCCGTTAAGAACGAATGTTTCGTCTTCAACGACGATAGCTACCACCGACAATGTTAGAAGTGGTGCAGAATCATAGGAAACTTGCTAATGCATGAACAAGCTTGATCGACGTTGCTTACCATTGGCAGTGGGCGATATCTGGGCCATTGTATTCTTTCTAGGAGGTTAAATGAGGAGATACTAGAAGACGTGCAGTGACTAAAGTGATCTGTCTCGGCCTGGTGTTCCACCAGGAAGGATTTCCCATCTAATATATCCCAGCCGTAGTCAGCCCCGTGGGGCATCTTGGAGTAAGGAAAATAACCAGAAGCTGTTGTCGATCTTATCATCTAATTTTACCGGTCCAGTTGACAGCTAAAAGTGGGCTGGAATCCCCACTGTTGGTTTTAACCGAAACGGGCACGGCCAACGGCCCGTTAAGTTCATGTTTTGATATAGATACTGCCTATCCAATTAGGCAGGTCGCATTTACCTTCCTGTTCATAATTAGACGGGTTACCTTCTCTTGCCATTACCTGAAGTATTATGAGATCCGCTCAACACTGCTACCTATCTAGACACCTTTATAAATGCCTTTATCCAAGTTAATTTATTGCTATATAAAGTTAATATTACATTGAATTCTAGCTTGGCAGTACCGCTAACTAGACTGGAAGCCCATTATGGCCAGACCCTCTAGATCTGAATCTGATCGACCAGATAGCACCTATGTACCTAGATCGGGAATGCTTTGAAGCTTGCGCTTCCCTTCCACTGCTAGACACGCGTCCTTCCAACCCTATGTTGAGGCTCCCGCGTCGCTGCCTCGAGACGCTTCTCTGGTCGACTGCCCATCTTCCTACTGGATACTTTTATGGTGAGAGGTTGAGAGAGTGTGTGTTAAATGCGTATTGTCGGTTGGGCTAGGGGTTATCCTAATATAGTGCTGCTGCTATTGCTGTTTTCGCCTTCGGTGATACGCACTAGCTATCAATCCAAATTATGTTGTAGTGTTTCTGTTGTATCCTTGATGTATTGACCCTACTATCATCATCGCCAAAGCCTTGGTCTATGCGTCTGTTTCTCTGTCTTAACGGCGCTTTTGGCCGGCTATCCTTAGTGACAAATAATATACTACATAACAATACATTGTACGGAATTATTGAATCCGAGTCATCTCTGCCGTCTGTTGGAGATACTCATCTTCATATTCAAGAATCAGCCGCCTTTCGGAAACATCATCAGCAGAGGAGACAAAACATACCAACGAGATTCCATGTTCTTCTAGCGTAGATAAGGACGCGTCGGAAAGGCTCTTCATCGAACTGAAACGCTAGCCCATATGACTCTTTGAGATATCTGATTGCGCGGACAGCTTCTCCAGTGCACATGACAGCTGGTAGGGGTACGCAAGGTATCTTCCTGGTAGGCTCAAGCGCGTCAAATTTGGAGCAGATATCTCCGACCATTTTAATATACGCCCTGATCGCAAGGAATGAGGTATCGAGGTCAGTGGAGGAAATACCTCCACGAGCTGCGCGAGACAGACGGTCTTGATGAAGACTTATTGCAGACCTAGTATCTTTCAGTCACCAGACAAACTCGAAGCATACCAGAGCACGCACGCTAAACAGGTGGCGTTTGCCCCACACAGAACTGCCCAACTCCCGGGCGTTTGCTCAAATAGGATCTCCATGAATTGCATCAGTGTGCGATCGAGAGCTGTAAATCGTTCATAACACCAATCGGCGTCACTTGACCGCCTAAGCATCTGAACTTGTCCGAGGATGCGCGATGTCTGGATTTCACGCGCAAAATAACACAAGGGAACCTGAAGCGGTGTTGAGAATGACGGGTGGGAACTTCCTTCGACCGCTGCTTTTCGTTTATAACAAAAGACGTCGTCTATCGGCAGCCGAAAATTGGCATCAGGGTCTTCTACTGCATGGGGTGCCCGAAACCCGGTGGCGATTTGGTAAATGGCCCTGTCGAATCGCATTTAAGTGGCTATCATGGAGTCGAAGCATAGGTGGCCTACCGGTCTAACATGTATACTCCGCACCAGACTCTTCTTCGTTCCTCGGATTCAACCCAGGGAAAGCTTTCTTCTTCCTGTTGGATAGGATCGATATTCAAGCGGAGAGTGTATCCCAGCCTCGCGCAATTCCCAACGCTCACAGAGGCCTCGTTGAGCCGGGAAGCTCTCAGCTCGTACAACACCAGCAACAACCCACTCTGCACCATCTCCAATGAAGGCTCCCGCTGAAGCTGTAGAAAGGAGAAGAGGTATTTGCCAATCTGATAGATCCTCGTCCGGTGAGAATCGTTGCTATTTTGATCATTTGAGCCCGTAGCCAGAAACAGTGCTAATAAGAGCATTGCAGTCTCCGCGCAAGGCTCGCAATGCAGCTGAGACAGACGTTTTCGGAAACCTGGCTCTATGATCACTGAGAACCAGGGATGGATATTGCAAAAGTATTCCTCAAGCATTATCTCCACGTATACAGATTGCTCGGTCAGCGTTGCCATGACAAGACCTACAAAGTACTTGTCAATATCTACGCGTCGGCGACTGATATTGTCCCAATGGGGCTGTAAGGCCTGAAAGCTGCCGGGGAGCCACAGCTGATCCTGAGTGACCGGCACATGGAAGAGGAGGAAATCAGACACCGACACTCGCGGAATCTCCTCGGTCTGTGTCTCATTCCACAAATAGTCGCATGATAGCTTTGATCTTTCCCGGTGTCAGTAACCTAAAGTCAAAGAGAAGATGTGGAGAGATCAGACTTGATGCATCGACTGCAAGACGGTAGCGTCTTATCGCATCTTCTCTTTTGACTGCGGCAAAGCGCACAGGCATTTGGCGAGTACGGTCCGAAGGCCATCGCCATAGCATCAGCCAAAGCGGAACTCCGCATGCGAGAGAAGCTTAGTGCGAGAGTGCAAGTGCATATGTACTGCCCATATAAATTCTCAGGTCAAAAGGGGTCCGTGTTTAAGATTTAGAGGTTAACCCCGCTCGACCCTTTTTAAGCAGCCCCATCGGCGGCTTKGCCTTAATCTAAGAGGTCTAGATCCTCTTAGCGTGTAGATTGGCTACGCAACGTCATGACTAATCACATTCAAGTGGCTGTTTCGGCAGTGAAACAATCCGGTGCAGCTAGAGCTAGCTGCCTTAATGCTAGAAGTATATGACTGGGTGCATTTTCGATAAGTGTCCCGCCTTGCCTATTTGGTTCTCCTCCTCAGGGATCATAACTTCGCCCGAAGACGCCTGAATCTGTCCCGGCAGACCATGCCTCGATGTCTCGGCCCAGGAGACTCTACCAGCCGTTAAGGCTGAAGTAGCTGGGTTTACGCTCAGCTGACGATTGGTTTGCATGTTCGACGAGGTTACCTGTCTATCCAATCGATCGCTGTCCGGTGAATCTGTTCCGATCAACATTCCAGACATATTGGAAGGCCGAGAATCCTGACGCTGTGTTGCGCTGTTCGTGGACTCGATCGCCCCAATTGTAATGGTCCCCTGCGCATCGCGAACGTCGCTCACTATCGTGAACTGATCACTCTTCGCCTCCAGCCAGCGCTCCAAATCCGACAATTCGCGCAAAGGAAATTGTCCCCATTCTTCCATTCGTGCAGCCTTCTGCTTCGGTGACATGTCTCCCTTCCATGAAGCTCGAATGATTGATGGACCGTTCATTGCGCGTAGAGTTGTAAGAGCTTCATATAAAACGAGTTCCGTGTCTGCAAGTCGGATTTCTAGTTGATTGATATAGCCTAATGGTAGACCTCTGCACTAGCCATCAGGAACAGCATCATGGGAGAAGATGACAGATTACCTACCTCTTTCCACTCTCTGGGTAATTGCATTTCGACGGGTCCGCTGAACACTGCGAGCAGAATGGACTGACAATAGTTACTTAGCTTCTGTAGCATTTACTACGGCATATATATGAATGGTTATTCATACAGATTGCGATCACACTGGCGGTACGTTAGTTCCATTTCAAGTCCGAGGACCACCGCTCAACTCGCCTTGCATTTTCTTTGTCTGCATAACTCGCAGGAAATCGGACTGACTGAATCAGTCTCTGTATATCTCTTGCTATTAGCAGATCTTTTCGACAATCGTAACGGTCGCAGAAGAACCAGAAAGCGGAATAGCACCACTATAAGGATACCTCCACAGCAGAAGAAAGAACGCGCAAAATCACGAGGATTATCGTACCTTGAGGCATACTAGCAACTGAACCAAGGCGACCGATTGTCGGGTCAACAGATCCGGTTATACAGCAATAAGCCACCCAAGTGTTCAGAGCTGGCTGGCGGACTTGGAAAACTCCGGTGAACCACGTGATATCCTCGCAAATACTAGGATTAGTCATCTCTCTATTTCTCCGCACACGTGGACGGGTCTTCGCAGATGTTTAGCACACAATTTCTAGGATGGTCATGGATCCGGATGGATATGACCACACCGTCTTCATCTGCGACTGGTTTGGCCGAGTGTGACGACGTGCAATGGCACCACGATGGCCGGCCAGCCAAAAGGCGCAAAGGGACCTCCCTCACAGGCACATCCCGGCCCTCGCCTCGAGAGATTGGGATTATGAGAGAGACAAAACCCGATGATTCCGCAACCTTTCTGGGGAGTTCTAGTGGAATTCATTTTATCCGGACCGTTTACAATGCATTTGCAAGGCGTTCAGCTGCCTTAGAGCAAGCGCGCGTCGGGAACCAGAGCTTGGTGCCTGGTGAAGACGATCAGTTACAAAGAAGTCCCGGAAGGTCGCACGGGCTGGATGAACTGTGTTTGAAGGACGAGCTGTCTCTTGAGACTCCTGAGTTTGTCTCATTTGAGAGCCTCGTGGGTTGGTCGCGAAGCTACTTTGAATACTGGCATCCGATCTTCCCCTTCCTGCATGCACCGACCGTGTTGAAAACTATGGAGACGGTCAGCGAGAGAGGAATCGAGTCACTCGATCGTGTTAATCTAGCTATATTACGCTCTATATTCTCTATATCTGTGATTGATAAGCGCCAGGTGCAGGAGTCTGGTATCGCAGCGGACCCGATTCCTTCTGTTCTGGTGTATCGAACCGTGCAAGAGGCGATGGAAAGCATCCACGCTTTGCTGCTTGAGCCCTCAACACTCCCATTGCTACAGGCAGTATTCAGCGTCCAGCTAGTACTGACGTCTGTGCTACGTCTCAATACAGCTTCCAGAATMGGGGGTTTGATCACTCGAACTGCGTTTCATCTAGGTCTCCATCGGTGTCCCGCACGCTTCTCATGCTTCAGTCATGATGATGCAGATATCCGCCGTCGCCTCTTCTGGTCGATTTATTGTCTAGAAAGATATTTGTCCCAGGCTCTCGGCACTCCACCTAGTATACAGGATGACGACATCGACGTCTGCTATCCATGGAGTGAAAGGCACGGAGAAATAGGAATGATGCCGCAGGCGAAGAACTCTCACAACCACTTACGATTGCTCACCCATCTCGCCAAGTTTGCAAGGCTCAGGGGTCTTATACTGGAGCTTCGCAACAAATCCATCCTCCACAGTCGTAACAATGGGCTCGAGGCTGCGTATGTTAACGGAGAACTTGCGCAATGGTGGAACGAGGTCTATGACGATGTTTACCCCATGGAAGAGGAGGTAGAATGTCCGTCCCAGCACGAAGCCTCTTTGCGGCCTTATCACCGCTTACTGCTTGTGGTCCTCAGACACGAGTCTATCATATCAATGAATCGGCCACTGCTCGCCGCTGAACGACTCTCGCCAGAATACAAACAAGCCCTACAGACTTGCATTGAATCGTCACGGTCCCTGATTTCAGCTTTGAGAAAGTACCTGGTGGCCTATAATACCAACCAAAGTACCGAAGATGCAGCAGGTAGTGATAAACACCAAGCGCCGCTGTCTTGGCCGTCGTTTACCTGGGCCACCTGGATGGCCTGTCTTATCTTGATGTACGCAGCATCGGAGGGCGAGTTTTCAACTACAAGCGCCCTAAAGTATGCAAAACTCGGCATCTCCATATTGGAACATCTCTCCCTGCGGAAGAGTAGCTGGCCGGAAACCTGTATCGAAGCAATCAAAGGCATGGAGTCGGCCTTGAGAAACAACCTAGCTTCTGATTCTGGGCGACAGTCTCCAGGACCCAGGGCATTCCCCAGAAGCACGCCACGGACAACACTGTCAGTTCCAAGCCAGGCTCACATGGACATGGGGCCGAACGGTAGGAGGCATTCATTATCAGTGCCGGATGATAGCATGTCGCTAGCAGATCCCCTATCTTCACCCTTGAGATCGAGAATGAGTACTTCAAACATTACTGAGAGGTCACCCGGTCTATCCACCCCAGCACATGAGCAACTGCCCATGCCAAACCAGGCGCATCACCCGTCGAGTTTCGCTCTGCAAAATGACCAATCCAGCCTCGGCATAGAAACCGACAGCATAAATGACATGAGCTCAGCTGGTTTGATATTCGGAGACACGATGGGCTCACACTTTCCCTATGCGATCGCTGCCGGTCAGGATCTCGCATCTTTTGCAACTGCTGACCCGTTTGCTATAAATAGCCTATGGAGTGTTGCGGATGGGCCTTGGATGATTCACGAAAACTTTTCATGATTGCTTGTCGTCAGTAATGTGAACCCACTGCCGACAGATATAGGAAATACTATTCCTCAATTGAAAAGTCCTCCCCTCCCAATTGCAACGGAACATGTGAGAGTTTTGACTAAGATTTGTAAAATGAGGTAAATTTTGAGCCTGTTGGTTCATACAGGGAAGTATGTATAGCGGATAAGATCGACACTTGCTCGAAGAACATGGAGGACGATTGATTTCCAGTCGAGCTCTCAGTTCTTACACAATTCGATGGAATATTAATTTCCTACTTATCTTCAATTATCAATCTGGTCGGCAGCTCATGGTTCATTGTTGAATATTTGGGTTCTCAAAGTGAGAGTGCGATCGCGGACGTTTCCTAGTCCTATATTTTGCCGCCGGAGGAGAACAACCCCGCTCGTTTTTCTGTTCTCCGGATTTGTCAATGTCCGGCACATCACCACCACCAAAAGTGGGGGAGTCCAAAGGTGCGATAATGAGGGGAGTAATACACTTGAAGAGAATATAATAGAATTGCCCACCCGCACTGGATAAATTCATTTGTTCTGTTGGATCATTCAGAGATATCTATTCCGTAGACACCATCAAAATGTCCCCCTCCGTTCTCCCTAACAAGACTTACAACATCGCTGCGATTCCCGCCGATGGCATCGGTCCCGAGGTCATCGGCGCTGGAATCACGGCTCTCAATGCCCTCAGCGAAACCCTAAACACCTTCAAGCTCAACTTTACGACCTACGACTGGAGTTCAGAGACCTACAAGAAGACCGGCAAATACATCCCCGACGGCGGTCTGGAAGAGCTGAAGAAGCACGACGCAATCCTCTTCGGTGCAGTCGGTGCGCCTGGTAAGTCAATCATCAATTCTCCGGAATCGCCGTTACTGACGATCGCAGATGTCCCCGATCACATTTCTCTCTGGGGTCTCCGCCTCGCCATCTGCCAGCCCCTGCAGCAGTACGCTAATGTCCGACCAACTAAGATCTTCCGCGGCACGGAGTCTCCTCTCCGCAAATGCAAGACCGGCGATCTGGACTGGGTGATCGTCCGCGAGAACAGCGAGGGCGAGTACGCAGGTCAAGGCGGACGGTCGCACCGAGGCAAGGCGTGGGAAGTAGCCACCGAGACGGCCATCTTCTCGCGACACGGCGTGGAGAGAATCATGCGCTTTGCCTTTGAGACTGCACAGAAGAGACCTCGGAAGCTGCTGACGGTCGTGACGAAGAGTAACGCGCAGCGCAACGGGATGGTCCTCTGGGACGAAGTGGCTGCGGACGTCGCCAAGGACTTTCCCGACGTCACTGTGGACAAGATGCTGGTGGACGCGATGACCACGCGAATGGTGCTCAAGCCCGAGACGCTGGACACGATCGTGGCGACAAACCTTGTAAGTGGCCAACCAGATTCGATTCGGCTGTCTTGCCTTGGCTATAGAAATACGGATTACTGACTGTGGGATATCTACAGCATGCTGACATCCTCTCCGACCTCGCTGCAGCGCTGGCAGGGTCCATCGGGATTGCCCCCACCTCAAACCTAGATCCCACGCGGGAGAATCCCAGCATGTTCGAGCCTATCCATGGGTCTGCATTTGATATTACGGGTATGGGAATTGCTAATCCTGTTGCGACTTTTTGGACCGCTGCAGAAATGCTGGCCTGGCTGGGTGAGGAAGATGCGGCTAAGAAGCTTCTGGACTGCGTCGAAAATGTGTGTGAAATGGGGGTTCTGACTCGCGATCTGGGAGGAAGTGCCACCACAAGGGAGGTCACCGAGGCCGTGGTGGGGCAGATTCGGAAGTTGGCCGATGCAAAGTAAGCAGTCGATAACTGATGAGTTCTCCGGTCCGATACGGAGTACTATTTAGCCGTACTCCATACTCTAGCACACACAAGATGACACACAGGGACTTATTATTTTAAAATATACTATGGTATACCTGCTGTAGTCCAAACTCTGCAAGAATTATGCTGTACCACATAGCTTATATGTGACTAGGTTCCTTACTACTAGACTTTCCATTGCAAGCTGACTCTCTGCTTTCGGAAATCGAAGCATCATACACACTCATTTCTCTGGACATCGGACATTGCCAAAGCTTACTGCGCAGTATTGCAACGTATCTAGTAGTCCTTTTTATAATAATGATTAGGACTCAAAGTAGTAGAGCCTGATCTCTATCATTACCCAGCACCATCATTATTAATATTGCACATTGACTGACTAGCGAGGATGAATTTCTCTGATATATTAGGGCTGCTACCGTTTTCCCTCAGTGGACAGAACCCGCAATTCAGCTCTGAACAAGGCATACTAGGAAGTTCTGGGCCATAATGTAGGACACATTCATAAAGCCATACTACTTACTAACCCTTAAACATAGTAAACCCGCCCAAGATGCACCTTGCTGAATGTCAACAATCCCCAGTATTTTACCATAATCGTGTGCGGTTCTGCACTACAGCAGATGGCCAGCAGCTTACGACAGCCTTCACCAGCACTGAGTTACCCAACCCTATTGGCATTGGCCCTACCGGAGAAGATCCTTCGAATCAGTTCTTCATAGAGCCAACCAATGGGTACCTCTGTCTTGCACCTACCCTCGGTGCTCCAATGCTACAGCTTTGCGTTGAAGAAGATAGGCTCTGGTGTGTGGACCCTTACGGTATGGGACCTTGGGTGCAAACAATTGGGTGGTGGGAAGGAAATCCTTCCCCTGACCAATTGCTATCTTGTGCAGTTGACGAGAATCAACTATTGTCATGCGAATATGGTGGATATGACTACCTTGAGCTTGGGCCAGAATTTAGCAATCCAAATGGTTGGTATGAGTGGCTCCCATTACTTGCTAATAATTCAGGCCCTGGATCGCAATATTTCACCCCTAATGGAAGCTGTAATTAATGCTTGTCAATGTTAAGTTCAAAACCATGTTGGGGTTCATGGATGAGAATCTTGCTATCTGGAGAGCTTAATAATACTGTAGGTTGTAGCTTTGATTCTACGGAGTACTCATTCCCGGCTATGCAAGATTTCGGCCGTATAATCAAGATCATCCAAGACACCCGAAAAAAACGCAAAGAAAAGCTTGGTCGACGGCGTTCTTGGCCCGATCAACCACACTCAATCCTTCCGTAATGCGTCACGGCATCACTAATGATTCGGGAAGTGTCCGGGGGTTGAATGGCCGGCCGGTGGGGATACAGTGGAGAAAGAAAATGCCCGACCTATAACGTGCGCTTCAATGGATTCATCCGCCTCAACGCACAATGCTGTTACGAATTACAACTCATGATGGAGTAATTCCCCAAGAGATACGGGGCCAGTGCCTGGAGACCCCGCGAACGGGGAAATTCGGGGGAGCAGAATTTGTTGCTGAGCGTGACTCGTCTTGTCTCATGTCGTCTCCACAGAGGTCGATATAAAGGCCAGTCAGTCTCTCAGTGGGCTGCAGAAGACTTGAGCTGCATCGAATCTCACCATGGCGTCCGAATCCCCCAAATATCTCGGGCTCTCGGGAAAAGCCCTGCACTGGGCCCAGGTGGCTCTCATAGGTGCCCCTGCCTTCATTGTCTTTGGGTACAACCAAGCCGGTGTTGGCCCCCTGGCCACTCTCCAGAGTTGGGTCAAGACCTTCCCTCAGATCGACACGATTAACACCAAAGGAGAGCTCGAAGCACACAATTCCACCAGCAAGGGTGCTGTCATTGCCTCCTTCCAGATCGGAGCCCTCATCGGAGCTCTCTCTTGCACACTGATCTCGGACAGACTGGGTCGCCGGAAGACCATATTCCTCGGTTCTATCCTCGCCATCATCGGAGAGGTCCTGCAAGTATCATCATATGGATTGGTCCAATTCGTTATCGGCCGTATTATACTGGGTATGGGGGTCGGGCAGTACAGTGTGGCTGTACCGGTATGGCAGTCGGAGTGTTCTTCAGCAAAGAACAGAGGACAGCATGTCATTATCGATGGTATCTTTATGTGTCTCGGATACTCGCTGTGCAACTGGATTGATTTCGGTCTGAGTCGCATCCCCGAGAGCAACACACAATGGCGGGTCCCGCTCGCCCTGTCGCTGCTCCCTGCCCTTGTCATCCTCCTTTCTGTCTTTTTCCTCCCGGAATCACCTCGATGGCTGGTCCAGGTCAACCGCATCGAGGAAGCGAGCCACTCCCTCGCATCCCTAAAGGGCTTGTCTGAAACAGACGAGGCGATCCGGGCCGAAATTTCTGGTATTGAATCCTCCCTCGAGTTGACTGCCCAATCCAAAGGCTCTCTGATGGAGATGTTCGATCCTAATGACCAGGAGCGACTGTTCTACCGATTCTGTCTGTGTATCGTCCTGCAATTTTTCCAGCAGATGTGCGGTGGTAACCTGATCTCCGTGTACGCCTCGACAATATTCCAGCAGAACCTCGGCCTCAGCGCCAGCCTGTCCAAGATCCTCGCTGCCTGCGCCCTGACCTGGAAATTCCTTTGCTGCTTCATCGCCTTCTTCACCATCGACCGCCTCGGCCGTCGAGCCGTCTTCATGATCAGCGGCACAGGCATGGCCATCTGCATGATGTCTCTGGCCATCACCAACAGTCGCCCCACAGATGACAAGGGAGCATCAATCGCCTCCGTGGTCTTCATCTTCCTCTTCAACCTCTTCTACCCGATCGGTTTCCTCGGCGGTAACTTCCTCTACTGTACCGAGGTGGCTCCCGTCCGACTGCGCGTTGCCATGTCGTCCGTGTCCACGGCGAACCACTGGCTATGGAACTTTGTCGTCGTGATGGTCACGCCCATCGCGCTGGATACCATCGGCTACCAGTACTATGTCATGTATGCCGTGCTCTCGGCATGCATCCCCTTGCTGGTGTATTTCTTCTACCCCGAGACCATGAACCGCAACCTGGAGTTGCTGAACCATGTTTTCCGGGATGCGTCGTCTCCCTGGGAGATTGTCTCGATGGCGAAACATCTGCCTCAGGGAGAGGTAACTGAGGTAGACCTGATGGAGGCGAACAAGAAGGGCGACGGATGCTCTGTGGAGATGGCTGAGAAGGTCTAGTCGACGCCGTGCGATATCCAATGTATATAGAATGAGTCAGGCGTTGCATTATGGTTGATATATATCTGCATTTTTGTTTGTGCTTCTAGATGTCGGTAGACTCGACATCCCATTGTCCCGCAACCGCTCAGGAAGGAATTGTTATCTAGAATCCATAGAATGTCCAAGCCAGCAATTTATACAGGTTGTTCCAACAGCTACCTCTGACAAAGCAGCCCACTCCGCAAATCATAATCCCACCTGTCACTCCCAACACCACTCCAAACGAAAAGACTTTCGCCTGGGTCATACTTGCGTTTAACCGCAAGCAGCCTGTCATAATTCTCGCCATAAAAGTCCTTCTTCCAGGTCCTGCTGAAAGCGTTCCCCTCGTTCATGTAAGACCCTGTATCCGGTGCCCAGCGCCTCCAAACCGGTTCTATGGCCGACTCGTACCATCCTGCGACCGTCGCCAAAGCCTCAGCTGGATCTGCGGTGTCGTTGATTGATGCACCGTAGAGCATGGCGTGGACGTACGCGGAACGCCAGGCGGGCAGCGCGCTGCCGCGCATTTCTGGTGGCGTGGTGGCGGGTCCACGACCTCCCTGCAGGCCAAAAAGGAGCATTGCACCCTTTTCTGGGTCCTGAGATGTAAGGATTTGTTGGAAATAGCTGATTAGATTGGCCTTGGGGAGCTCAGTGAGCTCTCGACGGCCCAGAAGGCGACTGCTCACGGAACTACTAGCGCCAGAGGACTTGCTGCCCATGGGGTCGGGGTTCGCGAGAGTCCAATAGCTCTGAGCTGAGGGCGGCTGATATGACAGTGAAAGGGCGCTTGAATTGTGGTGATTCGTGATGCGCGCTGCGAGGTGGCGAAGGGAGGAGTTCATTTGCTTCGTCGTTGTATTGTATCCAATGAGGCTGATGGTGACTGCCACACCTTGGATCGTCTCGTTGACGCCGGGAAGCATCATGGCGGACTCCTTCGTCAATGCTGTGACAGTCCCCGTTAAACCTGAGTCCATCAAATCGGGAATCATGCGTGCTGTTTCCGCAAAGGCATCCCATGAGGCGAGCTCACTCGCCTTCCCACGGCGACTGGGATAGAATGAAAGACCGCCAGTGACAACGTTCGCAGGTACAGGGTGCGTCTTGAGAACGAACTCGATGACTACTCCGAACTGACCTCCGCCACCGCCTCGGACAGCCCAGAAGAGATCTTCATTCTCGGCATGGTTGGCCACTAGACGACGGCCGTCCGCAGTGATCACCGTTACCTGGTATACCTGGTCTGAGGCCAGACCGTAGTGGCTGGAAAGAAGACCGTGGCCCCCGTTCTGAATCAACCCACCAGGCCCTACTGTGGCGTCTTCCCCGCCGACAACGGTGCGGTTGATTTCATGAACGGCAGTGTATATAGATCCCCAGGTGTTGCCACTCCCAATGATCACGACGTCCGCAGTGCGGTTAGAGGCAGGCACACGCCATGAAGGCCGATGTACGACTTGCCTGAAGTTGTGTGTCCAAATCGATAGCGAGTATGCGCCGGTAGATCTGTACGAGCTTCAAATTAGTTGATAGGACGCCAGGAATTACCAAGCTTGCATACCGTCCACTGAGATCATGGCCTGTTCCCTTCACCACAATACGGATATCTCTTTCGGATGCCCATCGCATTGCCTTTGCTACCTGCTCCTCAGTCGTAGCATTGACAATATACTGTGGGAGAGCTCCGATGCTACAGCCCCGGCCCTCCGTGTATCCTGCAACACCAGGAGGCACACAGGAGTTGTTGGTATAGATCGAGTAGTCGACGCTCTCAGGCCAGGCGGAGTGGTATGCAGCATATGACCAATACTTCTCCACGATTGTGCAATTTTCAGCCGAGCCAAAGGGATTTCCCGGATAGCAGGACGACGCAGCCGGGGCTGTCTTGATCAGGGTTCCTTGGATTGATGCGTTCAGCGCCGCCCATTCTTCGGTCGAAGGCCATCCAGCGTCAAGGGGAGAGAGTTTGCAGTGTGACTTGGCACGTACTGCGCTGGCAAGAGCCAGGAGAGACGTAAATACTCTGAAAGAGGACAATATCATTTTGTGATGGAGGCACAAAGATAGGATGAGGTATGGTAGTATTTCCTCACCCAGGTCGAAGGCTGGTTGTTTATATATCTGTACTTGTGCCCTGTACCCCCTTTTATATATCGACGGATATCAGCGATCGTGCCAAACGAATACGCTTGAAACCCGGTGATCTTGATTACCAGCATAAATATGGGGCCAATGCTGCAGAGAAATGATGAGCATCTATTTACGGCTCTGTTCACTATTGGTTATAGATTCAGGATCGTGGTTCCTTCTGTGCAGATCTCCCCTTTTCGGAGGGGTTTGTTCGTACTCGTACATTCAGCCAAAAGCAGTACCAACAACTAATTCGTGGCTATCATGGTTCCACAAAGGAAACAATTCAATCAATGCACGCAGAGACAATTCCTACTAGTTAAAAAGCAATGGAAGAATCAAGGGTCATATTCACCAAAAAAGAACGACCTGAGCCTCCATTAAGGGATATCTCGTGCGTCTGGCAAGGTGGAATTCAACCCAAGACCGAAGAAAGTCGATACTTCAAATTCTCTTAATCAATACATTTAACGAATAACGTATCCTATTCTAAGGACAGAGGATCGTCGAGGCCAGTGAGGTTATGATGCCAAAGGTCCATGGTCCAGCAGTCTCCACTCGCCGTATTCGTACAATTTCTGCCTTTTTGGGAATATTTACCACGATGTACACTTCCTCCAAGTGACTCCCTGGCTCAGTAATATCTAGATGGAAAAAAATTCTCCAGGAGGTTGATTCTCCTACGCATCCTTCTTTTTCACAGTAAAGCTCGATATTTTACCACCCTTCGTCACGGCCAGCGCGCAATGTCCCTCAACATCTACATCGACGACACCCGCCCATGTTATGCGGAAAATGACATCATCAGGGGCCGAGTTATTTTCGACTGCCCTCGAGATTTCCAACAGATCAAAGATATCAGACTGACCTTCTCGGGGTGCTCAAAATCCAAGATCCAGAAAGTCAAAGGCCCAGCGGCACCGACTGGCAGGTACCAGAGCAAATGCATCTTATTTGAAAGGGAAAGAATCCTCGTCGCGGCAGAGGAATGCAAAATACCCCCCACAACCTATGAATGGCCATTTGAGTTTCGTTTCCCCCTTCATGTGGAATCACCAAATGCCTGGCCCGAGGCAAGGCCATTCTGTGTCGACAAGAACCAACCATTACCCCCATCATTCGATGCCGAGTGCCACAATGCGCTGCGAAAGGTATCCGCAAGCGTCGAGTACTGTCTCAAAGCACAGGTCCTCAAGCCCATAAAAGGGTTGTTCGAGACAAAGTCGCCCGTATTTGAGAAAGTGCTGCATCTTCTGTTCATCCCGATGGCGGCACGAGCGCACACCCATGCTATCGAACTAGAGAGGAAGCAGAAGATCGACCGCACGTTCATGGTGCGCAGTCTATCCTTGTTGCCAGGAAATACTGACCGGTCCCTGAGTGTGCAGGAGAGATTCAAGGCCTGGCTCTCTCCTGGGCAGTTGCCTTATTTTTCCTTTGGTGTTGAGTTCCAGTACCCGTTTTTCCTTGTCCACGGCATGCCGATTCGACTGTCGTTGGATGTGAAACCATTAATAGACAACTCTAATGCTCCCCGAATCCCGGAAATTGTCTTACAAACTGTTTCTATTACACTTGTTGGCAGGACGGCCGCTCGAGCATCGCCGTTGCTGATGGGGTCGATGTCAGGCGAGGTGGATGAAGAGACTACGCTACTTTCCAAAACATCATTACGAGTCGCTGTTAGTGGACAGATGGACCTTTCCGAGCAATTCGGCCAGATATCATTACCTACCACTGATGTCACTTTTAACACATTCAATCTGAGCCGTTCGTACCGGCTGAGAATCTCGTTGGCGTTCGAATGCGCGGGGAAGTTGTTAAATTTCGTTGCTACGGATCTGGAGGTAGTAGTTCTCTCAAATGCTGGAATGACGGTAAAGGAGACTTTAGGCTGGGGCTCAGCAGATGCGGGCTCCAGTCATTCTCGAGCATATGTGGCCTACAGTTCAGACGCACAACCACCGCCATATTCGTCAACTGTGTCCGAGTGGAATGTGGAAGCAAAGTGCAGCGTTTAGAAATTGCGCAGTGAACAAGCACACAGTTCTAGGTATGAATATTTCTCATGGGCACTTGCCTATGCTGAAATCCAACATATATATGTTCGTCTCTGTATGTGGCTGCCATAATGTACATGGTCAATTTCCCATTCAATGGTATTCCTCAAGATGGCGTCCTCCACACGGGTGCACGCTTCTCAAGAAATGCATTGACACCCTCCACCATATCGCGGGTCCCAAAAGTGGCGTAATATAGTGACCGCTCAAATTCATGGTCATGTTGCAATTCGTCCGCTGAAAAACTGTTAGTAAGTCAAATGAACAACAGAGCAATGAAGCTCACCTCTGCATATTGCCTCCTTTGCCACCATCAACGTGGAGGCACTATGAGAAGCCAGTTTCTCTGCAATCTCCAACGCCCCCGACAAAGCTTTCCCCGGTTCGACCAGTTTGCTAACGAGTCCGAGCTGAAAGGCCTCATGTCCCGAAAGTGGCTCGTTGAGCAGCATCATGTTCATTGCCTACATGCGACCTCGTTAGTTGAGACCCTTATCAATGGGGCCAGCTTCGCCAGAGAGCAGCTACCCTGTACTTGCCCACAGCGGCGGTCACCCTCTGTGTACCTCCAGCACCCGGGATCAGACCGATTGATATTTCCGGAAGTCGAAATTCCACGTTAGGCGGGGCGACGATAAAGTCTGCCTTGAAGAGCGATTCAGTCAGGTCTGAAGCGATCTGAAGGGGCAATATTGATTACCATCAATGCAAGTTCAAAACCACCACCAAGCTGTAAGACACAGTTTCCTGTCAGCATCACCATGAAAATACTCAGTCGAGGAACTTACCGCTTTACCCTCCACCGCCGCAATAATCGGCTTGCGGACCTGTTTCATTCCATGACAGAGATCTTCAAGATACCGTTTCTGCCGAGCAGTTTCGCCATCCAATTGAGCGATCTCTTTAATGTCTGCACCAGCTGTATGAAAAGTCGCAAGTTGCGACAAGTCAGCTACACACCTCCTACATTTAACGTGTGACACCTACCCGAAAAGATGGCGCCTGAACCAGCGATGACGATGGCTCTGATCTGCGGATCAGCCGAGGCTATCTCCAGCTGTCGCAATAACTCGTCGATAAGTGCCTGGCATAAAGCATTTCGCTTGTTAGGACGATTCAGCGTGAGAATGCGAGCAGACGTCTGATGTGTCTGAGCCAAAATAAGCCCTTCGGTCCCTGTTGAATAATCCATGACGATGCTTATCTAGGTTGGGATCGGACAGCAACTCGAATGTTCTAGTTTCGAGGAAGCAGTCCAGGCTAAAAAGGAGCTCAACACCTGACTGAAACATTTCCTGGCGGGCTTTTACCATTTTCGTGTACGGAGCAGGGGTTGAAACATGCGGAGTTGCGGGCCGTGTCAAGCTGTCACAGTCCACAACGGCTGAGCAGCTAGACCGAGTGTAGCCTGTCGAGAACACCACTTGCGCGCCATGGCGTCACACATGCAACACGCGAAAAAGGCCAAGATGCCTTTTCGGGAAATGTTAGATTAACATAAGCACTACTCCAACCGTTTTCATACGGACCTCCGAGCGTAGATCCGGTTGAATTCCGTGTGCATGAATCGAGAACATTCAGGAGTAAGGATACGAGGACGAATCACGACCACGACTGTAAAGAACCGATTGGTCGAGACCCAATTTCTTCAGACGACTGATGGAAAAGAGGCGTGCGACCAGGGTCTTGTCTCCACTTTTAAAGTACCCTAGAGCGAGTAAAGCCACCAATATCCGAAAGGGGTCCAGGAACCATCACCAAGAGGGCCCATGATCGACGGTTTTGACCCCGCATGCCCAGCCCATGGCGACTCAGACTGTGACGTCGTAGAAACCTGAAGAGGCCGAATCGAGTCAATTGACCGTCGGGATGCATCAGCTTGTCTCACTGCCATTCCGCAATCTTACCCTCTTGCCGTGGCTGCTGACGCCAGGCGGTTGTTGTTTCTAACATAGTACTGGTGGGTCGAGCAATCAATTATGCGTTCGTCTATGGCTAGGCCAACTATTTCCCTCAACCCGACTCGGAGGAACAGGTGTCTATTCGCACCAGGAGGGAGACCGTGGCACAATGGGCGCACATATATCCTGCGAGGGTCTCCCCAGGCACCCGATTGAACCTTCTGGCAGGGTTACTTCCTGCAACAAGTTTTGGTACTCTTGCAAAAAGTCCCCCAGAAATGGACTCTTCCCTAGTCTCACCGCCAGACGGAAACCTTTTCCGATCGTTCGGCTTCGGCCCCCAGCAACCTGTTCCCTATCCAACTGTTCACCATGCCTTCATAGATCATGCGAAGCAATATCCCGACGCCATCGCCGTCTGTGATCTCTCCCACAATGAATCAATAGAGGTCACATACGGTACGCTGCTTCGATATGCCCAGTTCATTGCCCTTCGACTTCACAGTCATGGTGTTGTACCTGGCAGCAGGATTGTCCTTGTCACAAAACGGAGCGTGGAGATGGTGGCAGGTATTCTAGGCATCCTCATGTGTGGTGCGCAGTATATCCCCCTTGACGGCGCTGTTGTGCCGGACCAGACACTGGAACATGCTGTGATTCAATCTCAGAGCTCGGTCGCTTTGTGTACGGGTGCCTTCGGGTCGAGACTGCATTCTTTTCCACAACTATCCTCGGTTCTGGTTCTGGAGGAACTACTCGCTGAGGCGGAGCAAACTGGCTTCCAGGTGGATACCACTCGTTTGATCTGTGAGGGGGACGAGAATTCAGGGTGCTATGTGATCTACACGTCTGGTCAGTCATATCTCTCCTGTGCACCGATTGTGAATCTAATAAGTTCCTGGCCATGAAGGTACCACCGGAACCCCCAAAGGCGTCGATGTCACGCACCGGAATGTTACAAACGTCGTTTGCCATGCGCCCGGCAATCTGGGTATATCTCGTGACTCGAGAGTGGGACAAGTATTGTCCATCAGCTTCGACATGGGTGAGCATTGGCGAACTGCGATGGCCAAAACCCTTACTGATATTGTTAGGCGCTTGGGAAATACTGGGGAGCCTTTCTAACGGCGCAACCTTGGTCCTAAGAGGGTCGGATTGGCATGCGGCACTACAACAGGTGAGTCCAACATATAAAATATTCGATGTAGCGAGGTTTAACGTTGCAAAATAGGTCGATACGCTGATATGCACCCCGAGCATACTCCGTCGATACCGTCCCGAAGACTTCCCCAATATCCGATGCATCGCCACCGCTGGCGAGCCATGCTCTCAGAGGTAGACACTGTCCAAGAGAGTGTGCCTTCGTATTTGATCTAACGTTCTGTTTTAGTCTCGCCGACAAATGGGTTGCGAACGGCGCAACCTTCTACAACTGCTGTGGCCCAACAGAGATCACCATCATCAATACCATGCATAGACACAAACTCGGCCAGCAATTGACCATAGGAAGACCTCTTCCAAATACCAGCGTGTATATACTGAACGATAAGCAACTTCCAGTTGCAATTGGAGAGGTTGGGACTATGTGGGCTGGTGGAGCAGGGGTCACCAGAGGGTATCTCGGACAGCCCGAGAAGACGGCCGAGCGCTATCGCTATGATCCTTTTGTTGATGATGGGTGCGTCTCAAACAGTCTCTGTGACTGGAATACTTCTCGCTGACAGTCAGATTGCTACAGTCACTCAATGATGTTCAATACCGGCGATTTGGCCCGATGGCTTCCGGATGGGAATCTGGAAACGCTGGGACGCAATGATGATCAGGTCAAAATCAAGGTAGGTCTTCGCTTCTTTTTATCCTATTATCACAGCACTGAGCGCAATAGGGCTTCCGTGTCGAACTAGATGGTGTCAGCGCGTCATTGGCCTCCTTCCCGGGTGTTACGGAGGCAGTCGCCATCATGGTGGAGGGAGACCTCGTCGCATTCGTCACCCCTCAAGCGCTCGATTTGCAAGAAATACAGGTTCACTTGAAGGCGAGACTCCCATACTATGCTATCCCAACGCAAGTGCATAGGGTGGATGCGTTTCCATTGACGCCAAACGGCAAGGTCGACAAACGGGCTCTCGCTCAGTTGTGCCGCCCCGAAGAGAAGACATCGCAGTGTGTTACGGAGATACTAGACGAGAAGAAGCAGGTTATCTTGAGCTCTTCTCGCGAGACAGTATCATCAGGATCAGATTCTTCAGAATCACTCCACAAACCCGTGCCGTTGGCCGAGAAGAAAAACCGGAAGGCCATCCGGGGACTCAGATACCGTGTCTTTATTGTCTACCGGAGGCTGTTCACGCTCATCTGGCTGGCCAATATTGCTGCTCTCTTGTGTGTTCTGCTCATTCCGAACGCTGGCCCCAAGTGGATCTCAACAATCGCCTTCATCAACCTCACCATTGCCGTCCTCGTCCGCCAGGACGCTGTCATCAATATCCTCTACACAATCTGCTGCTCTGTACCAAAGTCATGGCCATTAGCGATCCGTCGCCGGTGCGCGAAGATCTATCATCTTGGGGGTGTCCACTCGGGCGCTGCAATGGCCGCTACGGCCTGGTTCGCTGGCTCTATCTGTTATAACATCTACAACCAAGTCGACGATGCCAGAGTAATTGCGAAAGTCTCACCCGCGACGCTCACTCTGTCCCTAATCGTGTTACTCCTCCTATTTGCGATGATCGGCTTCGCATATCCGATCTTTAGAAAAAAGCGCCACAACATGTTCGAGCGCATCCATCGCTTCTTCGGCTGGACAATCCTCGGCATTATCTGGATCCAAACAATCCTCTCCATCCGGGATCAGCGCGGCACACAATCCTTGGGTCGGGCCGTCATCTCTTCACCAAATTTCTGGATGCTCCTCGTCATCACCGCCAGCATTGCAAGCTCGTGGATCTTCCTCCGGAAGGTTCCCGTCGACGCCGAGGTCCTCTCCAATCACGCCGTGCGGCTTCACTTTGACTACACGATGCCAGTCAACGGGACGTTCACCCGGCTCTCCGAACGCCCTCTATTCGAATGGCACTCATTCGCAACTGTCCCCGCTCCAACAGCAGTGAACGGTAGACCAAAGGGGTACTCGCTAGTAGTCTCTCGCGCAGGGGACTGGACAGGACGGCAGATCAGTAAACCACCCACCCACTTGTGGGTTCGCGGTATTCCCAGTAAGTCTCCTCTTCGCTCATTGTATTCCTCTGCTAATCATCCGCAACAGCCTGCGGCGTGATGCGCATCGCAACGCTCTTCAACCGTGTCGTCCTCGTAGGGACGGGCTCAGGTATCGGCCCTCTCCTCGGGCATATCCAAGTCCCGACGTGTCCGTTCCGGCTGGTCTGGTCGACGCCGAATCCCGCCGATACATTCGGGAAGGATGTTGTGGACGCGGTCTACGCCGCTGATGCGGGAGCGATCGTGCACGACACCAAGAAGCAGGGGCGGCCGGATTTGGTCCGGCTGACCTGGGATGCGGTGCAGGAATTCCAGGCTGAGGCTGTGATTGTGATTTCGAACGAGAAGTTGACTAAGAAGGTGGTCTATGGGATGGAGACGAGGGGGGTGCCTGCGTATGGGGCTATCTGGGATAGTTAGCTTGTTGGTGTTGTGGGTATTGATTGTGGTTGGTTTTCGTATTCCATGGTTAACATAGTATACGATCACGTTGTATTGTATAATCGATTAGCTGTTTAGCTTGTATAATCATTACTGTATATTCGTGTATGCTCTTGGGATGACAGCCTGCAAGGGAACACCATACAGCGAGACCAGCTCGTCTTCTTCCAAAACTACTTAGGATCCAACAATTTCAACTGTCCATTCCCAGCGCATTCCAAGGATTATCCGCGATAAAGAACTGCGCAAAATCAAAATTCTCCAAACTGGTCAAATCCGCGACCAAGTCTCTAAAAGACTCGGAATCCTGCATACTCTGTCGTCGCTGTGATATGGTTTCATGGTCATGGGCGAAGTGTATGCCCAAGATACTGTTCAGACGCGCCGCATCGTGATCCTTTCGCCTCTGCTGCAATAGAATCAAGGAGCCAGCCGTCCGGTATGCATCCCTCAGTACCTCAGTGTCATAGACATCCGTTACGTATTTGAGAGTCTGCACCGCGTCGTCTAACAGAGACAACGACTCTGGATTATCCGCCGCTAGTAGCGTGCAGATAATTTGGAAGGGCACATTAGCGACGTGACTCCATGGACAGTTCGCGTCAACTAATTCCCTGGCGCAGGCGAGTGCTTTCGTGATTAACGCCAGCATTTGGCCCATAAGGGTCGCGGACAGGGTTGAGTGAACTGCACGGAGACGACGGAAGATGCATAAGACAAGGTTACATTGAGAGAGAACGGACGGGGGTTGCGTGCGGCTGCTTTGCATGATATTGACGAGCATGGCGGTAAGCTGGACTGCGTCGACCGGCGTGAAGGGGTCGAGACTCTCAGAAAGGGGCAGCAAATCCAACATCTCGGCCGTGAAATCTCCGTCTCGACTGGACGGGGTTGTGTATGACGCGCCGTGTAAGATGATTCGTGATCTTGCCAAGTCAAAGGACACCCACGTGTTGATGTATTGGGCAAAGGAGACGAGCCTACGCCTGATATCATCGTCGATATTCTGCGTCGGTCGTAGGAGCGCATGTCTAGATGACGGGTCCAGGTGCAGACCCGACGCGTCAATAAGGTGGAGTAATGTACAGCTCGCCATCCAAGCGGTGTGAGGCGATGCCGTTAACCGCAGGTAAGAAACCCGGAGAGCCCATCCCGTGAGTAGCATCAGTGGTGGTATCTCGCCTGGAGAACGATGTTCGAGAGCCGACTTGGCCGACTCGATTAGATGCAGCTCTGCAGCCACTGCTTTCCTTTGAGAAAATAAATAGCCCATCGCGGCCACTCCGCAAAGAACGACATCGCACGGTTCAAAAGCGGACGGTCGATGCCATCGCAACCGGACGTATTCAAAGCAGCTATCCCGGTCAACGAAGCCGTAGCAAGGAGCAACCTTGTCGAAGTAAACGTGCGTCAACGCGCTCATTTCCTCCTCGGAGATGATATCTACTATCGACAGCGCCGTGAAGGTGCCCGGCAATTGCCGCCGCCCGATATTCCACGCGTAGACCTGAGGATCGAGTGCATTGACAGGGTCGATCTTGAGGCCCAGGTTCTGCACAAAGACTGCGCCTGAATTTGGTCCGATCGACTGCTGGACAGTATTGGTAAATCGCTCACCTAGCTGTAATGGACTTGGCGGCGCCGGGGCCCTTGGGGACACAGAATGCGACTCCGCCTGCTGCGTCTGCGCCGGTTGGACCGCTATCAGATTTTCCAGGGTGATATTCTTGTTTCGTTTCTTGCGTGAACCCAGGTCATAGCGGCATATGTACTCGGATTCTGTGCACATCTCGCAGGGTTGCCGGCCGTTGCACTTCCTCTTCCTGGTCCGGCATGGCTCGCAGGCAACCTTGGACCGACGTTGCCGATTCACTTGGCCAGACATTCTTGACTTCTGGTTTCACAAGTCTCCTGGCGCATTCGCAACTCCATCCCTGTCAATACTAGATACTCGGGCCGACACTGGCAATAATCATCCAAGGCGACTGCGGCCAAAACCCACGACTCCACGTGATTACTAATACAAATATCCCGGTTTTCGTCATTGCGACCATTCCCTTTTCGGATGTAAGCTTAAAGAACAGGGCTTATATCTAGGTGTCGATCTTTACTGGTAGTAATATAGCAGAATTCAAATGATTTCGTAGGCACTGTGGTCTGCTTAAAGCAGTAGTGTGAAAATTCCTCCTAAGTTGGTGAGAAATTGAATATCCTGTACGTCGTGTCAATGACATCGATCGGTCGATTCTTGGCGAAGTCAACTTCAGTTGCTTGGAATCGATGGAATATGTGATTGTCACTGTATCTAGTTCCAAAGTAGTCCAAGGAGCAAGAAGATGCTAAATTTTTCCTGGGCCCTTTTATGACCAGTCTAGGTGGTAGTCAGCTAGAAGTGGACATCGGGATGCTGGCAGCTGGTATATTTGGGGCGGAAATTCCGTTGTCCCTGGCTTGTCTTTCGCCAGTCACAAAGGGGAAGCCGGTTGGATACATAATATTGAGCGTCAGACGCTCAATATTCATAAATGTCCGGATCAAGTGCTCTGTCAAACCGGCCGGTAAATTGGGGTCTCCATAGGGCTGCGGATGTTGCGGATTTAGCGGATATATTCCATGGTTGCCACAATAAAAAGCCGTGACGAACATTCTGTCGTATCTCTCCCTTTTCCGAAATACACAAACAACATGGCATCGGATTACCACTATACCTACTTCCGAGTCTCTAAGACGGAAGATCTGACTCGCTCAGCGCAGCGATACAGAGACCTGCGTCTGCAGGCGCTCAAACTCTCACCGGCGTCATTTGCCGCAACCTACGAGTCCGAAGCCCTTTTGACAGACGAATATTGGAAATCGCGCCTGTCGCAGCAACGGAGGGAAACATTCGTCTGCGCCGTGCGCCCGGCTTCAAAATCCCATGCATCCAACGGAGACGATCTGGAATGGGTGGCCCAATTGACGCTGCTCGGTCCACGAACCAAGGAGGAGTTCACGCTGCCAGCAACATCCGGGCAGCCAGAACCAGGACCCGATGACGAGGAAGAGCGGTGGCAACTTCTCGGTCTCTACACGCTATCTTCGCATCGTGGGAGGGGTATCGCGAAACGACTGTGTGCGGAGGCTATCAAGTACCTTGTCGAGTATCGGCCCGAGCCAAAGAATGTCCACGTTCGGTTGATGGTTAAGTGGGGGATGGACGCAGCTGTACGGCTGTATCAGCAATTGGGCTATGAGGAGGTGGGGAGCTGTACCCTTGCCGAAGCTCTGATTGCGAACGGAGAAAAGGATCTTTTGCCGGAGGGTTATGAGGCGCAGGAGAAGTTTTGTGCGCAGAGTGGTCATGTTATGCTGCAGCGTTTTACCAGAGATCATGTATAGAGAATGATGCCATTCATACACCTGTTTACCAGCATGGATATGCCGCGTTGATCTCGTCCGTTATGCCTTTTCAAATAGCTATGCACCTAGGTTTGGTCCTTACTGGTGCAGACCCTCGGGGTAACTGAGAGCTGGTATGCTTCCGGTAATTGCACTATTGGAGGCGAATCGTATTGCGATAGCAAGGCTACGGGACTGATATAGGCCGTTCATAAAGAAAGAGATAGATTTGTACTTTCTAAACACCCATGGAAACAAAAGGAAATCTATAATTTGGTTCGCTGTCAGAGACATAAATAGAGCATAACACAGACATATGAACTGGCTGAAGAGAAGAAGATTATAAGTAAGGATAAAAGAGACCAACGAAAGGCAGCCTACACAGCGGCTGGATGCGAAGATGATAAAGAGTGTATACCCCATCAAGAAAAACGAGTCAAGAGAAAGTAAGGCTCCCAGAGCAATCCCTCATTGACAATGATCTTTGAAAAGGGACTTTAAGCAAGAAAAACAAATCATTGCGGGTCCGATGACTTGGGACACTGATGGAATAGCAGTTTCCGGATACTGATATTAGCAACATGAGCCATGGCAATGACCGGTCGCGGTTCTGGGATCTTCGACGGAAATATCAGATAGAGGGGCGAATTTTGCTCCTCATCAGGCTTGAACTTATCAAAATAAGTCTTCTTCCCGCCGATGGGCAGTCGCTGGAATGTATATCGATATATTTGCCGGGTCAAATTTGCGAGAGGACTAGGCATTCCCGACACCTCTGCCAACGAGTCGGAAGGCTCATAACCAAAGCTAAGGTATGAAATCCCCAGTTGCCGCAGCCAAGCCATTGAAGCGAATATTAGCAAATCGCTGATCCCCTTTGCCGCTCCCGGGGCAGCAATACACGGATCAACGTGATACCCATTCTTGCCACCGATCCATCGTAAGGCTGCGAAACCGTTGACCTTCCCGTCTTGCCCTCGAGTATAGATGTATGTCATGAGGTTCGGCATTAAGAAGGGGTCATACTCTGTGATGAAGGCTTGAAGTTTCCCCGAATTGTTGCGGGCCATGCGCCATTCGTCGTAGATTGCGCACAACTCGATCTCCAACTCGTAATCTGTCTCTAGGTTTGGACTGTACATGTGCAAGGTAATGCCGCCTTTGCTGGGATTGAGGAGCTGTCGATTCTGAGTGAGGATGCGTTTTCCGCTGATCTCGAGTATAACCTCGTTGGTCAGAGGATTCAGAACCCTCTCTTTACCAAACTGCAAAGTCGTCCATTTCTTGTTGCGCGCTTTGACATAGCTCGCAAGCATCTCCCCGGCGCCCAGGAATGAGATATCCCAGCGTCTTTGACGTCGATAACGGTTGAACTCATCGAGAACGGGGGATATCTGGCTTGCGTGACACATAGGATCGCCCATCACTATAGCGACCTTGTTCAGAACCTTGAAGCATAACCCCCCGGATCGATCCCCGTTTACAAAGACATTGTAGCTGGGGTCGAGGAGTCCCATATGTGAGGCCTGGCCATATTGTATCGCCAGTCGTTCCACGTCTTCGAAGGAGGCCTGTCCGTCCAAGCTGACGATGCGTTTATAGGGGAGGGATCTTCGGCTCCGGGAGCTGTTTCGGTGGCTATGCGCGTCCTCTTCGCTGATGCAGCTAGAGCCGGTGGGCAAGGTGTCATACGATCTAGCAGAAAAGGTATCGTCGTATATGCTCGTACTACTGCGAGTGCTGCCACTGGTACGACCGGTGTGACTGGGAACGGACAGCCAGGCTGACGGAGCCATTTTAACAGGAGGCTCAAGGTCTTCGAACAGAGCGTGAGAAATACGGTTGACGTCATTCGCGAGGCGAGCATGGCCGTGATGTAATGACCGTCCGATTGTTTCGGCCAGCAGGACCTTTCTGCACCCTTCTTTCTTGTTATTCTCAGCGCGACAGCGTTTACTTCGTTCTTTGTTGGTCTTCGTGGCCTTCTTGGGCGTCTCTGGTCGTCCACTCGTGATGAACGCGGTATTATCGGACGCCATACCGAATAATAATTCGTTTCCAGCTTCTAGTACAATGCGGACGTGAAGGATAGAGTAGAGAATCTTGTGTAGGCTCAATGGATTCAATCTGGTAATAAGGAGCAAAAGCAAAAGGAAATGGGAGCAGAAGATCAACTTTAATGTCTGCAGGTTTCAGGCAATGCGCAGAGAGCCCTAGTCAGATGGGCCAATAACAACAACCCCAAGCCACTCCAAAATTGGTAAAAAGTTGTCATGCTGTTCGGAATACGCCGATCTTTCAGGGCCCAGTGGTCAACAGGCTCGGAGTCTCGGACGGAAAGATTTCAACCTAATATCTACGGAGTACCCTTTCTGGTTTCGGATTCTCGTTCTCTTTTCCTTGGATGGCTCGGGTGGCTTGCAGGATGCTAGCCTTTTCAGGCAGTCGTCTCGCATCCCTCTAGTCATTACTCTGCAGTCATGAAGTCAGAGGATCGCTAAAAAATGTTGCAGCCTTACAAAGACTGACTAGCTCCATACTCCGCAATCGAGCAAAAATTCGAGAACTTGGTTGGAATTTCACATGTGATACCTGCTCTCTATTTTCAACTAGTCAGAAAGGGCTAATTTTGGGGATTCAAGGTAGCCATTCAATTGACTAGATTTCTTTTAAGTCAACTTCCCCCAGCCATGTAAGGAGGAACTCAGACAAAGCCTAAGGTAGCAACTGAGCATGCAGGGAGCAATCATACGTTGATGACATGGGACGCTCAAAATAGGGGCCAGTGTGGAGTGGCAAACAAGCTTCGGAAATCCCTACTCAACGCGGATGGCTCCAAGGATCAGGGACTGGAAGCTAGGCAGCATGATTTATGATTTGTTAGATGGATCTATCTAGACCCTGCCTATTTCGGCAACTCGTTTGGGGACGGGCTTTGGCCCCACTTTCACGATTGGATGCTGGGACCCTCGGGCCCCGACCTTCAGGCAACCATGAATGTTTTCCAGCCCTCGGTCCTATCGAAAACTGACATGTCGAGAAACAGGGGCACAAAGGTGCACCAGTGATACAGCTGTTTCTGGTCTACCTGATGAAACATGATGGTAACAACGAGGGGTCTTCTTGTTTGTCCTGTGTTATTGTTAAATCTGCGTGGAATGTGATAAGATTGACATCACGACTTTTTCCAAAATAAGGCGTTCATTTATTCGCTCAGATCTGCATGAAACAATCTCCCCAATTGAATCTAACGCCTCGATAAACCAGCACCATTCGTCCAGCATGATCCCCACATATAGCCCAGTTACCCCGATTTCGACCAATACCTTAAGCCACCCGCCTGCAGACATTCAGCCATCTCCTGGCAGCCCTTCAGTCAACTAACTAAATTCAAACTCTAGCAGGGGAACAATGGAGTTATTTCACTCAGGGAGGGTGTTGAATGAGTCAGTCATTTCTCTAAATGTAATGATGACAACAGAGATGATTTTCTGAGATGACCGATTTGAAACATTGTATGAACCAGTACCCTCTGCTGGCGGGTCTGCCAGAAATTCAAACAAAGAATTGCGGCCATACTACACAACAAAGATGCCTTGTGGTCTGGCTCTTTGTTGACTTTGGGGAGTAGTTCAGCTGAGGATGAGAATTTCCAAGTAGTGCGATAGAATACATCGACGAAGCTATCTATAGCCTACATAGATCTAATATTTTGCCAGCGTATATTTAAGACTCGACCTACTTCGCTGCTTGACACGCGGAGGGAAAAGGTTCTTCTGAAGGGTACGCCACCATCTCCAGAATACCATCATTGCCGCAACTCGCTTCACTAGTTGCAGTAAGGTGTGCCAGTGATGGTCATTATCTATACTCAATTAGTATGGCCCGAAGTTTAATTAAACACGGGAAGATAGTGAGAGCTAAATTCCGGGTGTGTGTCGATCATGACCTAGTTATGACAATGATATGATGCCTGGGAAGCTACTACTACCACGACGTTTTCATATCTATGGCTTCAGCTCTAGCTCCGGCAACGATGGATATCTCGAATATTTCTCGCCAGAGGGTCGGATTCCTACTACAGAAACCAAAAAATTGGACATCAGAACACATACGTACGCTCAATGTGGAAGAAAAAGGCACCATATCTGCAGCGGAAATGGTGGGTCAGAACTACCTCCCAGACGAAGGCGACCAGGGTGTGTTCTTAAATGACCTCGAATATCATGTCGTAGCTAACCGAAGTCTTAGATTTCCAGGGCCTAATTCGGCAGTTTATGGAACCAACAAGAGAGGATATCCTCACATCCCGATATGATCAATCTAGCCACCCCGAAAACGCATTTTCCGCTGTTTTCTATCACACAAGCCAGCTCACATTCCCAATCCCTGAGAATCAGGAGCCTAATTCCATACCATTGTCATTTATTCTACACTGGATGATCACGGCTTGCTATGGCCTTGGAGAGATGTTTGTATCTTGCTCGCAACGTTACTAGGCGTTGCTAATATTCGCGTAGTTGGAAACAATCCGGACCGTTACCATTCCACTTTCCATTATTCAAGGCCAAGGGAAATCTCAATTGTCCTGGGGCCCTTGGCAGACTTTACGAGAGAGAAAACCCTCCGTTTTCTCCTCTGGTAATTTACAATGTGCGTACACTATGTGCGCCTCTTCCAAGCTACTGACTGCTGTCCAGTTTATGAAAGGATCAATAGAAGAAAATAAGATCAAAGGCGAGGTACCATATGGTTTATTCCTCCTTTTTGCCGCTTTCAACAAGGATCCAGCGCGAGGAGAGTATGCGTCCTTCGTCATCAATATGCGTAGTACCTCACTTACCTGCTTACAAATTACGAAACTTGTGGCTTCTGGGTCTTATTTGCAGGCGTTGTGTCAAGGCAAGCCTTTGGAGGAGCATTTGAAGATCTACCGTTCGCATGGATTTGATCTCGTAGAGCCAGAAGGGCGCAAGGCATTTTTGGTGATGTTCATGGGTGTAGTCAACTACGTGATGAAAAGCCCAGAGTGATCAAGACTACATTTCTTCGGAGAGCTATAAAATAATATATCCTTAGCAGGGGAAGTCTAACAGATTTGTAATTCAGCAGGCATACTAGCTTTCAGAACATTCTGTGGCCTTATCGACTCCATGAATTATGGCTTCTCCTGATAGCTTCCTTGTAGATAGAACAAGTTATCATGGAAGCAACAAGAAAGAGAGGATATCCTCAGATCCCGATATAATCGATTCAGCCACCCCGAATATCTCTTCCTCCCTTCATGTGGGTCAATTAGCCATCACCTATAGGTAGACTTTGCGAGCACATAGCTTACCGCTCAACTTCTCGGACCAGGGCGCGCTGTAAAAGCGTTAACCAGATACCAAACCCAGAGGGGGGTAATCTAATATTTCTATCAGATAAAATTAAATCATTCTCAATAGTCTATGTACCTGCATTGGCTCATTATTCACCAGTTTGTCTGCCTCCATCATGATTGTTCTTCTAATCAACCACTCCTCCCTTCTCTAGAGTCTACCTACAACTAACCTACTCTTCTCCGCAATTTTCCCCCTTAGCTTTACCTCATCTGGAGGTCCCATTTCGCCGTGGCCACGCTGGGGATACTATCATATGGGACATATTGATGGACGGCATGCGAAGCTACTTCCTACTGTGGATTTCGGTTATTTACAATGCGATGAGATGTCTTGCATTCTACCCAGAAGGAGCCAAACAGTGTGAAACTGAACTCTCCATTTGAGGGACCAAGTAGAATCCTGCAGTGAGCTGAACGGCAGTGGATGAAGATACCTTGGTAATTGATTGCCTTCGAGGAGGCACTGCGCCACCGTTCGAGATCAAATGGCTCATCATCCTACTTGCAAAATCCTGCCACCTAGCGCGTGATGAATTGCCTACTGTCAGGGAGATAATAGTCTTGGCCAAGAATGAATTCGTTAAAAAGCAATCGCCAGTTCTCGCAACTGGCTCAGAGCTCCTGCTTCATCAGAATCCTGTCATCTAGCGTGCCCCCTTCATTCTGATCCACGCGAGTCAGATTCATCCTAAAGGCCGTCAATTCCACCTTTCCAAACCTGCCAGTCTTCTCGTCCCTGTCCCAAAAGACAACCTCGCTCAAGGGTGTTCCCGCATACATTGCATTTTCTACATCGCCGATACAGAATTCATCCGAAACGGATGCGAAACCCGGCCACGAGCCAGTATTATTCCCGTGTTCTCTCCATCTCCCTAGCACTGATATCGGGGGCGCCTCCCTATCCATCACAGTTGCGATCCTCCATATCTCTCCTAGTTGCTTCTCATCTCTGTAGAGACCGGAGGGAATCAACTGAGCGTGGAATCCTCTGTTCTTGGGGGACTGAAAGTCCTTGGATATGATGCTCAACACATCTGTGGAATTTGAAATCCACTCGTTGATCTCGACGCCATGGGTTGACGTATGAGTTAGTGTCAACGTGTAGTTGACCGTATGCTCCTTGGTAGAAGGAGAGATATATCTCCCCACATATGTTTCCTGAACCTGCCGTGCAGCAAGCTCATCAGCCGCACGAATCAGTGGAACGATGACCATGTCCACTACTGCTTCTAGGAATGTCTCGTCTCCGGCGGTGAGAATCGTGATACCCAAATCGTATTCCGGCACCAGGAGGATGAGAGTTCTGTACCCCGGGAGGCCGCCGCTTTTGGTAAAGAGAGTTACTGTCCTTGCCCGTCCCTTAGCGTCTGGGAGAAGAATTTTGTCTGTGCGGAAAATCTCCCACGGCATGCCGTAGAAACTTCCCATTTCCGCGCTGAAGGACGCGGGTAGAAGCCAATTCAGCTTGGCATCCGCGATGTCTTTGTACGTGGCGAGGACGTAGCGGAGAAAAACGGACATGTMGTGCGAAGAAGAGTATAATCCGCCTGTGGGATTCTCCACGCCCTCGTTGGCGTCGAAGTACCATGCGTTCCCCTTGGGGAGAACGGCCACACTGTCCGGTGGTTTGGCAAATGATGTCTGAGACATTCCCAGGGGTTGGAGGATTGCGGTCTTTATGTATTCCTCGTATGTGATGCCAGTGACGTTCGCTAACACGAGCCCAAGGAGGTCGAACGCAAGGTTTGAGTACGTCGACTTTGTGTTTGGCGCAAACAAGGCAGCCCTCCTTATTAGATTGTCGAGTAAGTCCTGTGTGGTACAGGGCCTATCGTCGCGGGGAGGGTCGCATTTTGTACTTGTGTCGACGCTGCCAGGGCCCGTCCAGTCGCGGGGGAGGCCAGAGAGTTGGCTTGCCAGGGATCGGAGTGTTATTTTGTCCCACTGGATACTACTAGTACTTCTGGTTCCGTCGTGATGCGAGCCGTGAAGTTGAGGGATATATTTATGCACTGTGTCCTCGAGAGAGAGGTTTCCAGCGGCATGCTGTTGTAGTATCCCCAGCACGGTGAAAACCTTGGAGATACTTGCGATGCGATAGCGACTTGTCTCATCTACTCTGTCGGCTCCAGGTCGTGTGAGATTTTTATCCTCTGCGGTATGGAACGTCGACCATAAGGTCGCCTGTGATGAGGTGATTTCAATTGAATAGGATGATGTACTGAGGTTGTAGTTGTCGACTAAGGTTGACAGCGAGGCTTCTACTAAGCCGAGGGCTTCCCATACCTCAGGGGACGGACGGTTATAAGATGGAGGTGGGTAGAAGGGGGACTGAGTCGAGCATATTGCCAGAATGGAGGGGATGAGGTTGAACAGTGAGAGGAGGATATTGACCTTGGTCATGATGGATGATGATGGCACATGTATTGAATTCAGATGGGAGAACATGCTGCCTAATAAATGCAGCCAGAACCCCACGACCGGACTGGTTGAGGATTGGAAATGGATTGATCCGAACCATGTGTGATCAAAGCCATGCGCACTTTTGGGTTGATCCGTGGACCATAACCTATTCAACCCACCCTCATATTCATGCGGATTGGATATGGATTGATCCGAACCATGTTTGATCCAAGCCATGCGCATTTTTGGGTTGATCCATGGACCATACACCCTCATATCCATGCTGATTGGATTGTGGATAATGGATACAGTACCCATATGACCTAGTCAGGTGACCCTTAATATTCTAAATTTCTAAATTCCAAGTACGAGAGTTGGAGACCCAAACCGCTAAAATCGGATCCAACCCTCACCGAACTCACAGTGGTGAGGGTTCAGTCCGTAGCCTAGTATCTAGTCTATCTAAATATGAAATATCAATTCAAAATATCTAGTGGTTGGTGAGATATAAGGAAATAATCATTTCTATCAGGGGTTAGTATGAAAGTGGTGATGGTTTAAATATATACATCAACCTTCGACAATTACTATAGTCTAGGAATGATTATTCAACCACCACTTATTTAATCAAATTAATATTTTAGATATAGATTAATATGATGATAATTACCATATATTTCATATAAAAATATTAATTTTCTATAGGCATATTTGATAGGCCCTAGGCATAGGTCTAAGATAGGAGAAATTGAATTCTAAAAACCATTGAAATTTAGACCCAAAACCAACCCGAATCGAAACCGAATCGAACTGAATCTAACCATGGTTAGTTAGCAGGGGCCTAGCTAGGCCCAGCTAGGCCTAGTGGCGGGCTTTTGAGGTGAAACCGGCACCAAATCGGAGCGGATCGGGTTTGGTTCTGATCTCTTGAAATTTGGACTTGAAATTGCAGCGGTTTGGTTCCAACTGGGGTTGGACTCGCCCGAACTCGGACCAAATGGCAACTCTACTAATTCTAGCCTCGCCACTAGGATATCTATATATTTTATTTTATAATATGATAATTCACTATACAGATTATTATATATTACCTATTATAGGAGGTAAGATAGTCTTATATAAGGGAGTATGGGTACCCCCTAAGCCTAGTATGAAAAGTGGTGCGAAGATATATGTATATCTTATTCTTACCACTACAGTCTACCATCCTAAATTCCCAATCACCATTATCTAAGATCTAAAATCTAAAATCTACTATAACTCTAATTTTTCTTAGTAGGTCTAATATTTTATATTATATATAGATAGATGTAATTCTTCTCTATCTATAAACATAAAAATATTGAGGCCACTGACAAGAGCCGGCTCTTGGAAATGAAAGGCCGTACGGATCTTTTGATCTGGGCGTCTCGAAAAATGCCAGTCGCAAGTCAATGACGTGCTGAATTACCCAATTCGTCTGGGCTGGCCTGAGGTGTTCTCCAAGAGCTGTCTTCATCCATTCGACGATGGACATCTGGCAGAAGCTCGACAACGATCGTCTTCCAGTCTCTGGGGACATGTGGCTGAAGATTGGAAATATGGGCTAGTTGTCTTGTATACCTCCTGAGCTGGCTTCCGTGCTTACCATTTCCTTAGCTGTTGATACTGTGAGTGTGATTTTCCGCGATCTTTGGGTACGACGGGCTGGATTTTCCGAGGCCAGGGCGGAGTTTGGGCCACGAAGGTAGATATTCACAGAAGGGTCTATATAGTCCACTAGTCTGGTTCCTGTTTGAAGGTGGAACTTTTCGTGGCCTTCATTCTTGACCACTGGAGGTTATAGGCTCGCACTACATGCATGTTATGTCAAAATCCTTCCAAGGCTAGCGAGGTGTAATCTAGCGTGTATTACTTCTTGTACCTCTGTCGACTGCTGAAACTACTCCACTCTGGAGCTGATTACCTCTTGCTGCATTTTTCCTATGATTTAGTGCTGTTATTCTCTCCTAGGAACTGGTCAGCGCCCTCTCTGGTTTGACCCCTACAACCGAAATTCCTGAAAGTTCGGCAAACCTTTAGACACCAACAACGGCAGAGCCATTGAATGGCCTGCGTCTGACTTTAAAGAATTCTAACGTTGTATCTACCTTCCATCCTGGCATCTCGATATCAGGCCCACTGCAAGGCTATAACACAGTAGAAGCCTCACGAGACTTGAATTAAAATGGTACACAATGCATCTGTCTACTTAGCGAAAAGGTAAATCAAGTACTTGATACGGAATAGCGCGGCAGATCTCTATTCCCCCGACTTATGGGCCCTCGAAGATACGCCGAGCCAACCACGTTAATTGACTGATGCGAATATTCTCGAACCCGGAAAGGTCTGCCTTCTGCCAAAGCCTAAAGATCTATGTCCAGTGTGCAGGGCTCGCATTTGTTGACCCGATGCGGTTAGAATCCCAACTAGATAATCGGAAAGCTCAGCCAAGACTGGTTTAAGGCAACGCTTACCTTGGCTTTTGAGATCCAACTTGTTTCTCTACGAGGGGCACTGGTTATCCTGCGCTTCTTCAAGCAGGTACAAAAAAAAGAAAAAGAAACATGAGTATTGGAGAGGATGATGACTATGTTGTGTCGTATAGAGGCGAGGTGGTTGAAAACCGGCACAAGGTCCACGCTTCAGTTGTCGACGCAACAGGGAAACTACTATTTCATGTCGGTGACCCATCACGAATCACTTTAGCTCGCTCCGCAGCGAAGCCAGCCCAGGCACTTGCTGTTCTCGAAACGGGTGCCTATGAGCAGTTCAATCTCGAAGATGCAGACCTGGCCTTAATGTGCGCGTCGCACAGCAGCGAGGAAAGGCATATCACCAGGGCTTGCCATATGTTGGCAAAAGTCCAAGTCAAGGAAGATGATCTTCGCTGTGGTGGTCATCCGGCCTTGTCGGCTTCTGTGAACCACGACTGGATTAGGCGCGGCTACAATCCCACCGCAGTATGCAATAACTGCTCAGGCAAACACGTCGGTATGCTTGCTGGTACCAAGGCCATCGGTGCAGACATATCAACGTATCACCAACCAACGCATCCGCTGCAGTTACGAGTGAAGCGCGTATTTGAGGATTTATGCGCTCTGGAAGCTGAAGATGTGAGATGGTGCGTTGATGGGTGCAACCTTCCGGCACCCGCCATTCCACTTCACTGTCTTGGGATGGTGTATGCCACTCTTGCCGCTGCGGCGGACCAAATGGAAAAGAACGCTTCGGCGCCAGCAAGAATTCGAGAATTGGACCGAATCTTTCGTGCGATGACTCGCTACCCAGAGCTGGTCGGTGGTGACGGTCGATTCTGCACTGTGCTCATGCATGCATTTCGGGGAACATTAATTGGGAAGCTCGGGGCAGATGGCTGCTATGGGATAGGAATCCGGGCATCAGAGCAAACTGCACAACTCGGTGCAACAGGTGCAGTTGGCATTTCTCTGAAAATCGAGGATGGTAGCATCGGGGTTCTGTACTGTGCAATAATGGAAATTCTCCAACAACTCGGAGTCAGACCACCAGAACTGTGCAGTGAGCTCGCCGATTTTCATCGTCCATCAATCGTCAATACAGCTGGTATCGTCACTGGTCGTGTTATCTCTGCTTTCAAGCTACGCACTGCATCATAGAGCCGAGTGGTCGACATGCATCCATTGATGTGCCTCGGATATCTTTATTATATATACCATAGAAGCTCGTTTTGGATTATAGCGAAGCCGATCGCAGTTTACGGTGTTTCGAGGAACGAGCTTAAAATACATTTACTCGCGAATAGCATCCTCATAATACTTATTTCGGTTCTGCGCCATGACCTCCMGATCAACGTTACAGGATTTTATGTATCAACTCACCTGGTTGACTCATTCGAGGACGTCACTCTAGCCTCCAAGCTCCAGTAGGCATACTCTTACCGTTATATCTTCATTACAGGGCCACCTCATTCCTCAGCAGTAGGTTGTCGTACGTCATCTATGGCCTTCTAGATCGCTGGACTAAGAGAATGCCATCAGAATCCATCAGTCTATGCAAATAATACCATCATGATCATGACAAGGAATCCTTGAGTATTTCAATGCGTTAGGTAGTTATTAAGGTTCCTTCTCCCGTCATAGGCTCGCCCTTTTTTAGAGGGGCGACTAAAAGCATTGTTATCGCGGCGTACCCTTCCATGTCCTCCCCTCTTAGGGATATTGCTGTGGCCAGAAGCCTCTTTCTGTCAGCAAAGGCTTCTCCAATTTGCTAGGCATGAGCTTTCCCCTCTGTAACCAGCAGACAAACATCGGCGCCATCCTTTTCCGCCTCGCGAGAAAATTTCTTGATATCCTCGAGAAAAATCTATCTCCACCAGCTGTGATCCATGTCCTCTTCGGTAAGGTGCGTTTCCAAGATCCCCGGATATCAATCCTTTCGCCAAAGTTGGAAACAAGTTTTTTTGCTTGTAACGCGTGTCTCTCAGGACCTGATGACTACTCCTATCCAATGCTCTCTTAGACAGGAAATCCCACTATAGCCAAGAGCTGCAGACCTGGTGGTCCAAACTTTGGGAAAGTATGGCGCTTTGCTTCAGATTACTTTGGAAACTCGTTGAGCTGCACGTGGTTGTTCTGGTTGCATTGATGGCTGGGACGGGGTGCGAGTAAATCCGAATCCGAACCCAGTGGCGTCTCTTCCAGCTTCGACTTGACGCCATGAGTTAGGCAGCCGCAGGCACCAGCTTCTTCATTAAATCAAATGTCAGTCCTCCACCAGGCTACCTTTCGCGAGACTGTGGAATGGTAACTGAAAATCTATGTATAAATACCTCTTAAACCCATGCTGTTAAAGAACTCATCACACCTTGAGTGATTTGAACTTCTATCCCTATAAATCTAAAAGCTACTCAAGGGACTTGACCTCTTTCCAGATTTACGCACTCTATCATAACCACTTCTGTTTGTAAAAATGCCGAAATTCATGCTTCTTGTTCGCGCTACCAAAGACAGCGAGTCTGGCAATCCCCCTTCAACAGAAATTATTGAGGAGATGATGAAGTACAATACTTCTCTATCCAATGCGGGTATATTACTTGCCGCAGAGGGTTTTCTATCATCCTCGAAGGGTACTCGGGTCAGCTTTAACCGCCAAAACGAATCATCTGTTGCAACTGGACCTTTTCCCCACGAGTCCACCATTTCAGGGTTCTGGTTAATCGAAGCCAAGGACCTTGAGGAGGCAACAACATGGGCTCGCAAAGCACCATTCCGCGCTGAGGGGAGTGCTATTGAAGTCCGACAAATTGCTGGGCCAGAAGATTTTGGTGATCAGTTAACTGATGATCTGAAGAATCAGGAAGAGGAGTTGCGGAAGAAGGTAGAGGAACGAGCTGGAGGAGGAAAAGCTTGAGGACGCTGGGATAGTGATTAGTCATGGACTGTAGCTAAAAAGAGTATTATTAGGGCAATTCATTTGCAGATGGTTCCAATCTGAGCCCCTGTATTTTACGTTGGTGTCTGAACAGACTCGTACAAACCGCACTACTTTAGCTGGAGCGATGATGAGCGGACCCTAAGCTATAAAGGCCTGCGGGTTAGCATGCGGGGGCTACTCCAGTTTCATTGCCAGCCAGGTGCAACTAGCCCGGGCAGACCTTACGCACCCCTTCCTACTCCATGAGGACGTGCGGGACGAGGTAGTGCCCCATGCTGGCCCTACATGAGCACCGGGATGACCCTTCTAAACTACCAACTCTGAAAATGTTCATCAATTGCTTTTGAGCTTTGAACTACCTACAATAGTGTATGGCTTTTCAAAGACCAGCGATGCAATTTTCCTGCGATTCTGGCTTGTGCATGATGAAACCCACCTTCATACCAATCCTTCAAATCTGAAATTGAAGCACACACTGATAGGTCCGACCAATATTTCTTGCAGCCTTCCCATGCCTCATCTTGGCATTGGTACGCTCCAATAACAAATATACCATCGCTCCGATCCAGGGACAGGTACACTGTTTTCTCTCCAGCTCTCGGCTGACACAAGTGGACGGGTTTCTTCAAGACCCTGATCCATGGTGTGCCACTAGGCGTGAGAATCTCTAGATTACCTGTAGGTTGCCATATTCTTTTCGTAGCCTTGACTGCTGACGTAGCCTGGCCGAAAAGGCCTCTCTGTCCCGATATTTCGTCGGCCCTAATATTGAATTTTGACTCGAGGTAATCCAGAGCTCGGTTGTTCGCATCTACTACCGATGAGAATGCACCTTCAATAGCTTCAGAGGGGCGCATGACCTGAACGATGTAGATATGCGAAGGCTGAGATTTTGATGACAGACTATCAGCAGCAAGGGATTTCTTGGAAGCTCGTCGTACTCTAGCGTTCGGTCCCGATGGAGGCTCAGCTTTCGGTGGTGAAGGCTGCTCCCGCAACTTCGCAGTCTTGTTGGCTTTAAGGGCCCGCTCATTCATTCGCGTGCTGCTGCTTGGTTTGCGGTTCTGCTGGGTTGATGCTTCTTCATCATCTGCTATTTGACGATAAAGCTGACGCCGACGTATTTTATGTGGCTTTGCCTCATCGGTATAGCTTCCACTGTGAAGCGAAGTGTATATATTGGGCTGTTTTGTCGAATTTAGGTCCAGACCACACATCAGATCTGAAATATCTTTTTCAGCCATATTGAAGAAAAGTGCACCGAAGTTCAGATACCAGACGGCAGGAATGGTAAATTGCTCTGAGCACTCAATAAGCACTGTGGAAGAAGTGTGTACAGGAACAGGTCTGGGAGGAAGACTGTCGGGTATCTTAGAGACTTTGGGTCCTCCCACCAGCGTAAGGCACACGCGCATAAGCGCCATGCTACTAGAACAATTAAGCACCACGTGAGGACCCTTGAATTATTCTGAGTGTGGCTAGCGCTACGCGATACTCTACGTCACTTGTGATACCACTCTTTGCCTTCTATGCTCCAGAAAGAGCTACATGTCTTCGTTATCATTACTGCTGCCACTCCTTTGCTTGCCTGTCTGTGTTTGATTGCTTAGTCTCTACTGCTGAATAGATGATGAAGTCACATATTGCACTTTTCCAGACTTGATGTCTAGCACTTGGAAGGGCTCCTGGCCAACTAACTTGTGTCATAGCGTCCCACGCGTTTCTCCTTCTAAACAACTTGATCGATCACTCCGCAATCAAGTCCATATTGCAGCATCCAAGCGATTGAAAATATGAAGAGATGTGCTGCTGGACGTGGGCATTCTATAACACTTCCTCCAACGGCCAGGAGGACCAGGGAGGGCTCAGTATTAAAGCGTACAGATATCCCACATCCCAACGTCAAATCTAAAATATAGTATAACAGTCACGAAAGCGGAGAGGGTTCTCCACTCATCAATGATCAATGTTGTTTCCAGAGTCCTCAGCCGATGTGCGCCTTACAAAATGCGATGTACATAACAAATGTAGCTAACTGCGAAGCTGCCAAGCAGGCAGTGGAGTATACTTTCTTAATAGGTCGTCTCGCATGGTTGTTGCTTCGATGGACCTGGTGCCGCCAACTACAGTTCCTTAAGCCCTTCTGCAAAACCCACAATATCTACAAAGAGCAATATATAAGCACACTTTAACAAAACCAATGCCCAACCAACGACTCACTGCTAAACACCATTACTATGTAACTGCCTCCACAGCTTGCTCATGCATCTATACCACATAGTTTAAATATATATTCCATTCTTCCTACTGCATTGGTCTCTGTCATATTCCAATCTTTATTCACATATCCCAGAACTGTCCTAGTTTGTCATTTCCAACAGGTCACTATCCACTGTTAATTCTATTAATCTAACTAGCTAATAAAATATTGTACACTACTATGCACTGAAGCACTCCTCTAGTCATGCTACTAGCCTCCATAGAGACCGCAACACTAGAGGATGCAGCAGGATATCACTATGGTTATCTCTATCTGGAGCGAACACGCCATCAACCTACCTTGATGAAATCTCCCCTCCGTTTAAACCGGTACAAAGGCTATTGAAAGCGGCAACTGTAGATGGACCTTGGTGATGTGATGCCTTTTCATTCTAGATATATTGGTTACATTTGCTTCCTCCCAGCAAGCGGAGGGATTAGAAGATCTTCTCAAGATGTCTTCGCCGTCATTCGATGAACGTGGTCCTAAATTGTGCCAATAAAAGGCTGGAGATGAACGGTTGGGTTTGTGACCAGCTATTCTTTCCATTTCCTAAACACTACGATATCGGATCACGCTGGACGCTGCTTGCCGTTATGCTGCATTATTCATATGCATCTCAAATGCGACAAATTCATGCTACCGCTTCACAGCTTTCTTTGTCCACTGAAGAGAGAAAGACCGAGGAAGATGGATATTGAGGGCCTGACAGCTTATATTACGCTGTACGCGAAAATGAGCGTGGCACAGTAAGGACGATCTTGATAAGAATGAGAATGCATGCCAGTAACTTTTGCTTGAAAGTCATTCTCAAAGTCGATAATGTCGGCGGACATGGCTATATTCAAGTTGGAAAGTGTTTATGGTAAGATACGGGACAGGAGCAAGAAGGATATGACAGAAATATTCAGGACGGGCGTTGCAGAAGCGTGACTGCGAATTCAACATTTCCCATAAACCTGGCAATAGCAGAGCTGCTCGTCGGGACAACTATAGATGAGTCAGTTCATGCCCGTATTCTGTGGGGAAATATAGTCGGAGAACCTACTATACAGCCCCCTTGCCGAAAATTATATGCCAGAGAAACTCCATGACCCGCCCACTTGTCGCATCGTCCTTGTCAGTATCAATAACCCACTGCCGAAATCTGATATAATCTTCGCGTGGCCGCTGGAGGACCTGCTTCCGTGACACAGCAAACTGCGCACAGCATGCAGCACCAACTTCCTTTGGTTTCACCAGGTATTTCTGCTGGTGCGCTGCATCCATACCCATTCTAGTAGCAGGGGACTCTGTCATGTCCAGCGGTGGGGTACTCGTTCCGTTGAAGATCTCCGCCCAGACCTGCTCAGTAACATAGCGATTAAGGCGATGACTGGTCTTGCAGCCTGGGTTCCAGTTACAGCGCAAGTTAACGTACCCGTTATGCTGGACAAAGTCAAGCTGGAGGGCGCGCATAGCTGCTACATTATCATGGAGTGGCGCGTCAACATGCCAGGCCATGGTGAAACCAGCGCGGTGGGAGTGGAGGAAGACGATGGTTGAGGGGAGGGAGTCATAGTGGTCAATTAGGTAGGTGAGGTAGGCCATTGACTCGTGGCCTTTGTTCAGCGCGGTGATGAGCTTACTGGGGTCTGCTCTGGTTGCTTTGGAGGGGTTAACGATGTATATTGCGTGCTGCCAGCTGTTGGAGTAAGTCAGTAGATGGTTTGGTCCGGAATTGATCAACATACTCTGGCAATTCTTCCTTAACCCACTCAGTGTGCTCTTCCTCCAGTGCAGCCATCACAATGACTGTCTCATTTGTTTGCCTATGAGGCAGCGTTGGTATACTCTGTGGGAGATATTGTGACTTAACCCAGTCAACCAGGTACATGCCCGCATGGGACCGGTCACAGAAATCTTCTATATCCACTATTAGAAGGTACAGTGGTATAAGGAGCAGCAGAGTCGTGCAGAGTATGATTTTCGACCTGCTTCTCATTCTCGCGTTTTGTGACAGTGTTGTCCCCAGTATGAATAACTTGCTATACCAACCAGTATAGCGTATAGGATGTGTCTGAACCAAAAGGCTCGCTGAATGTCAGCACTGAAGTTCAGCCACGAACAAATAATTAGAGTAAGTTGTTATGAATCAAGCCTGAGGTGAGCAGGGCCGTCAGGGAAGTACATCAACTGCAAAGTACCATTGTAACGGAAGCAGAAGAGAAAGAAGGCCCATCCTATTGTTGCTCGGAAATCCTGAAATCTCCGGATTCCCGTTTGTAGTGGAAGAGAAAGTGAGGTCCATCGTATTGTTGCTCGGAAATCCTGAAATCTCCGGATTCCCGTTTGTAACGCTTTTTTGTGGGGGCCAAATTAATTCACTCGTCTGCTAAGGTGGATAGGACGCAATATGGACATCAAACCGCAGCGGCCCAATGACACCGCCAGCAAATAAACTCATGATCTGTCCAGCCAGGATTAGATTTTCAAAGCGAGAAGTTGAGAAGTTACAGCAGACCAGCTGATACGCGATTTCCCATTGACGGGGCATTACACACAGAGCTAATCTCGGACATTCAATGTTTTAGGACCGGTGCATTTGATTCATGCCATCGCCACAGCGAGATTCGCTAAAAGAGGCTTAAGCCACGAGATGTGGGACTCATGAGATTTGAATTTGCCAAGGCACTCGATACGCATATTTTGAAATACACTGGGCGTTCCCTCCACATTACAAGCTCGCAAAATATAGAGCAATATAAGATTTGATGTGAGCCCAGGCAATGAAGCAAAAGTAAGCATAAAGACAAGGTTCAAACCGAACACATTGGCAGATAAAGCTGCCTGGTCTGCATGTGACTAACAATTACCTAATAGCGTCGCCGCTAAGACAACAACATATTTTCTCAGTTCCTGTGGCCATGGGCCCCACAAGTCCTGAACCTGGCCTATCATATATTTCTGGTGAAGCCAATTTGAAGAAAGTCCTACAGAGAGATCGCAGTTGCATCAACAAGTGAACCATCAGTAACATGGGGATAGTCCGCATACAATATATGGCCTACAGTTGCTGAACATGCCTAGTACTAACATCAACTATTACTGTAAGTGACCAACTCAGGAGGGCACCCAATCTAGCCACCTCAAAGTACGACTTTACTGTGGTAGTCTATACGTAAGCGAAGTATTGTAATCTCAGTCTGTGCTGTCTCATTCTGATGTAAGGGTTTAGATTGTCACCCAGGCATTACAGCGAAAGGAGGGAAACAGCTTAGCATATCCAGGTGCCTGCTCCAGCTCTTATTTGAATCGTTTGCTTTTTGCATAGATTGTCCTGGTGAAAAGTGTGCCATATCAACACCCGAGGCTCTTTGAATGATGATAAGTCTGAACCTCGGAGGTGCTGCAGAGATCGATGGTTAGTTACGATCTTGACCTTTCAACATTCACGTCGAACACCTGAGTCAGTAACATTAACATACATCTGTTATGTGCCGCCCGTAACAGCCTTCTCCGTTACAAGATTATCGTCTGACAAGTTCTTGCTTTGATACTAAGTTGGAGGATTCGGTCGTTGGAAGGTTCATGCGTCTCCTGATAAAGAAATGACAACCTTTGTGATAGGTTTGGGCTATGACACTTTGCTAAGAGGCCATTCAATAGAGCTGCAACATTTGAACAAATGCAAGGCATGTATACTGTGCATTATCACATGGTTGAAAGAACTCGATGGATGGCCTCGAGGACTTTGCGGGCTTTGCTTGCTAAAACAACTTCCCATTTCCGTCCTACCAGGGTAGTACTGATGCGTGTGCCGTGAAAGAGATCTGGAATGGCGTTCTCAGGGTTGTTCCATTTGGTCACAAGCAGACAACTGTTTGTTTCGGGATCATATTCGGTGGCTTTACAATCATCGTCTCTTGAGCAAGCGCTCAGGCAGCTGGTAAATGTATGGTGTTCAAGCGAATAGAAATTCTGCACGACGATCCCCACGGTAAACCTCATTCCAAAATACATTCTGTATTTGGCGTCCCGAGTATCCAGTAATGCGTTTTGAAATACAGCGTTTAATGCTCTATCCCTGTGTCCGAAAGCCCGTGCAAGGAGGTCCTCACAGGACCCGATTTTCCGCCCCAGAATTTCGGTGAACCTCCGATACAACCGTGCCTCCAACCTGTTCTGCTCAATCTCTGCCTCATATTTATCGGCTAGAGACTCTTGTCCTCGCATCATTGTCACAAAATCACCAGGTCTTTTTTCAGTCCTGAGGTTCTTGGACAGCAAAACACATGTCTTCAAACGATCCCAGTGTGAACCTTTGCAGCCAGGTGCTCTGGTGCACTGCCTTGCACAGCTGGCTGGGTCGCTAAACTCATGCTGTGGTGTAGGATCCAATTCAAATAAAAGATGGCAGTGGATGGCGTATCGTGTGCCATCTGAAAATACTGTTGCCTGGTCAAATCCAGGATAGCAAGCATCGTATGTTTCCTGCGAATCCAAATAGGGTGCTATGCACTTGTTGGCCTCGGCAAATAACGGAGTTTGCGCTTGAGATGTGGCAGGTTCGGCGTCGTATATGGCTTCCTGGTGAGTCTCAGCAAGGAGCACAGGAGCGGCCACAGATAGTATAATGAAGAGAAGCATCGATACCGACATGGCTGGGGCATAGACAGCCGCTAAGCCAGTTGTCCTGGAAGTGTGAATCACGTTTGAGGAATCGAGCAGTTAAGAGGCAAAGAGAACGCTGAATAAAAGGAGAGTGGCAAACATTCCGGTAACGGAAGACACAAAGCAATTATATCAGTGTGAGGAGGGACTTGGCTGACTGGGCCAGTTTTGTTTAAGCATCTTACAAAAGGAGGAAAGACCGTGGCTATGCGTTGATGTATTCCACCGACTCCGCCACTTGTGCTCACTTAAGTCCTTCAAGTGATATGCTAGGGTTACCTAATATTTCAGCACGGTTCTCGGTCCGCAAATTGATCACTATGTTGCATGATCAAGTGATTGGTAAAATTTTGGTCGTAGTACAGAAACCACCTCGCAACCCAAAATGACAGCGCTGACCGCGCTATATCGGGCCGGAACACTTACCTTCGTCATCCACGAATCTATAGCCCGAGCTTGCGCAACCGTAAACTCCCTAGGCAAAATTTATTCTAGGCCTTTTAGTGAGTGGGCTTGACGCAATGCCCACCCGGCTGTCCAGGAACGCTAACTCCCGGCGAACCGGCGGCAAACCGGAGAATAACGGGGATGCTTTCTCTTGAAGATAAAAGACAATGCTGTAGTTAACCCTCCTTCAGATCACTCGTGGCGTGGTAAAGGGGGACGGTAAAGCCCTTTTGGCGTTAGGCAACCAGATTGTGTGGCACTGCCTTCAGACAACGCAGACAATTTCTTTAGAGCATCCTATAACTCTAGTGATGGCGACAAGAAGAAGAAGAAAGTGGAGCATTACTATCATTGATGTATCATTGTCCAGTACGCTGCCTTCACTGGATACTCACAAACGCCCCGTCTTCATATCACATAGGATCGACAGTCTCCTGGTATATCGCATGAACAAATTTTGGGTTGCGGATTGGGGTTTTTGGGGTGGCGGGGTTTAAGGCGGTCGATTGTGTAGAAGTCAGAGTCGCTAGATGGACATGTGGGCAAATTGCATTAAAAACTTTGACAGAAACGATCAATGTCCCATCCCTCTTGACCAGCATCTGGGTTTCCTACTTCCCCCGCTTACCGTGCAGAGTCACCACAATGTCTCCTGTTTAGTGACACGATGACGATGTTCCTGAGATTGGGTGTTAGGAGCTTCAAGGATCCACGACGGACGTCGGATGGATCTACTGAATTAGGGCTACTAACTGACTTTTGCTGAATCTTACAGGTTCAACACCTTCTGCTCTGTCGAAGACTGTGGTCCGAGTGCATGCTGTTTGACGAGAGAAATGGGCTCTATTGCAGCAAGCTCCTCCAATGCAGACTAACGACGATCTGTCAGCCACTTGGTTGCTAAGCACGCGAGAAGCCGTCCTCGCAGGCTTTACTGATCTCTCCAAAATACCAAGAGTGTTAGGTTGATCATGTCTTGTCTGCTTCGTACGATTCTTCGGACGTATTCAGGTCTTTGCCTGTCAAATGCTTTGTTAAACCTAATATTCTCACACCACAGGAGAGCTTTTCCACCACGATTACGCGTCCACTGAATTCGGATGATAATAATAACCTTATGGATACCGCTGTTGGACTTGATAACCTAATGCTGATGGGAGGAGCTACGCTTTTGCCCGCCGAAAAGTCAGCTGATCTTCTACACCCGCTGTGTCACGGAATTCTCACAGTTCATTTGATTGTAGTCAACTACCCAAATGCATAGCCGGTTCTGGAGAATTGAAACTTATGCTAGTGGCTTCAAAGCTTCTTCCGCACATCTGATGGGTAACGAATAGATATCTAGGTCTCATGCTAATCCACGCGGCAGGCGATTCAAAGAGGACAACCTCAGATTATGTCGTCTCCAGTTACATCCCAACCTCAAGGCTTTACAGCACGCGCGTCAACGAGACTTGCGCTATCTACTAGAGCCAAATACAAGGATGCTCATCACTGCCATGCCACGAACGGTGGGTCTGAACCCGCTGGCGACGGAGAAAGAGGTGGAACTAGTCACGAGACCGTCAAAAGTATGAGTTCGATCGCCGTTTCCACTCTTATAGGACCTTCAAAAAGTAAGGTCTTGGCTGCTCTTGGCCTCTGTGGGATAGTTCACTCTGCATGACACGGGATATCAGATTGAGGACCGGTCAGCGGGTAGTTTATTCCTCGCGAAGAGCACAAAAAAGGGTCCGCAGCGTCTGACTGTTCGGGATCTAGCGGAATTGCGACATAGCGTTGCACAGATTACCTATTTGTCTGCGTGCTCCACTGCAGAGAACTCGTCCATCGATTTGGCCAACGAAGTGATTCATATTGCCAGCGCCTTCCAACTGCTTGGGTTCCCGCACGCTATTGGAACCCTGTGGGAGGCCGATAACCAGTGTGCAACTGAGGTCGCCGGCACGTTTTATCGGAATCTGATAGAACAATTGAAGGAGAGTGGCCCGGATGTCAGTCATGACGTGGTTGCTTATGCTCTACATCTTGCTACAATGGAGCTAAGACGGAAGAAACCGGGCAATGTAATTGGTTGGGCACCGTTCATACGTATCGGGGCTTAGGGATGTCTTGAAAACGGCCTTTAAGAAGACCCTGAGTTGAAAGACGAAAGGCGATGTTGTCAAATATCCCTCAGGAACTTGAATAAAGCCTTGCAATTGGTGAAAACAGCACATCCTTATTAGTTAACCAGCCTTGCGCAAGGCTATGCCGCCCCAATATAATGCATGTTTGCGCACCTGTGCATGCGGGGTTGTGCGTAAGAGATGTGGCATTTGTTCATAGGCTGTTTATATTTATAGTGGTAAAGGCTTATAGTCAACACATCTTCCAATATGGCTCATATCGATGCTTCGTGTTACTGTTTCGTGGTGTTTCTCATTCAACTCGATGGGCATTGAAGCAATATGACGACTCCAGAGCTTATCTGTGCCAACTGGGACCTAAAAAACACTGGTTGCATGAAAGGAGGCAGGTACACTTGCAAAAACTGTTATCTCGTCCTTGTGGGTTCAACCATGACCGACAGCCTCCTTTCTATTTATGTTTATCCTGACAGATTTAACTATGTAGTATTGCGGTCCGGTATGCCAAAAGGCCCACTGGACGCGACACAGATCCGAGTGTAAGTCGCCCCTCAGTAAAAAGACATGGCAGCCCGCTTGGGTTCTAGAGAACCGAAAGCCTTCATTTATTGCAGGAGGGGTGGGAGAACAGTTTGGGATGAAGAAGTACCTCTGGGGCAACATCCCTGCCTTCGACGTCCTTCGACTTGGATCAAATGAAGGGGAAGAATATGGTGGAGTGATACGCATGTTGTTCGCTGGTACGTGCTTGATTCCATTTGGCTATTGATGCCCATACGCTCCTATGACTTGCCTAAAGCTGATGGGACATACCTTTCCCTACAGCTTCAGGAGATCTTCGAAATATCGTCAAGACGATTGCCCAGCTTCCGAGTAGCTATAGCCAACCCCTCGAACTTACAATAAATGACCGGGATTTTGAAATCGTCGCCCGCAACGCTATCTTGCTTCTCATTGCCCTAATATTGGAGGAAGTTGACGAGGCAGTCGATTGCATCATTCACCTCTGGTACTCGGCTTTCGTACGCGAGTCAGACGTCGACGTCCTCCGTCATCGAATTCGACCTCTCATCGAGGACGTCTGCAAAAAGATCAAAGATAAAAAGCCTGAGAGTCTCTTAGCGAAGACATGGACTTTTGGGCGGCACTCCCTCAGAGTTATTCTCGAAAGATCGTCCTGGGACCGTCTCTTGTCTTTTGTTGACCCGCCAGCTAGCTTGACTGCTGATCGTGCACGTGAAGTTCGTGCAGCTATTACTCTGGCGGAATCACGGAAAGACTACCGTGATCGGTACATGTATTGCCAGTCTCCTTCGCATCGAATCGCTTTCAATAAGTTTCGGGAGGACGGCATCCTGCTCCCGTTTGGATCCTCACGCCATGAATTTCGAGAACCAAACCCGTGAGTTAAGAAGAGATCAAGTCGTAGTATGAACGCTAATAAAAGCAGAACGTTCTTTCAGTCAGCTAATACATGGCCAATGAACGACAACGCCGATCCGCTTCATGGATGGTCTTTGGACGAGGTTTCCGCTACGTCAACAGGGCCTGCAACTGCGGATATATACGGCAAGCTCTTCTTTTATATTAGAGCAATGCTCCGATCTTTTCTTGGTCGGCTCCCGAGTCTGAAGCTATCTTTTGAACTCTTTCAGCTCGACGCGGATCGCCTTCCTGACCATCTTGAGAATAATTCTTTCAGTAGAATCGAGGTGAGCAATTGATATCTCTCCCGTGAAGCAGGATTTTGGTCCGAAATATACTCAGAAAGGTACACTGACCGACTTGTATAGGTGTCCAACATTTCGGATGCTGGGTGGTTGGGAATTCACTACACGCTAAGTTTGATGGTGCCCTTGCTTCAGACGCCTCTGGAAAATCCACATGCGAGCCTGATTACCCTCTTCATGAATGCGGTTGACGAAACCTTAACCGATGAAGACAGGATACAGGACTTGAAGCCACATAGTCCAACAACTAAACGCGTCTTCAAATATCTTCCTCCGCAAGGGAAGCCAACTTCCCTCTATGATCCCGAGCTCATCAAATTTAACCTTGGTCGGGACCTTGTCAGAACGTATGACCACATCTTCGAAAGGTGAGTATAGATTCTTTGATATAACTGGAGCCGCATGTTCAACCTGAGAGTAGGTACTCGAAGAAGCTGAAGTTCCGTGAGGCCGCCGATTTGTTAGGGGCCGCGATGAAGGAGACGCACACCATCATCGACAAGTGGCCCTATAGACTGAAGTCCCGGCCCGGCCAAGCAGGCGCGCAAGAGGAGTTTGACCGATGCATTAGTGGAGGGATGTCAGGGAAGGAGCGCTACGTAGAATGGAAAAGAGTTCATATGGGTATAATTTGAAGATATGGTTATGGAGGCCATGTGACTCGGGAATTTTAAGCGTCCCCATAAAAGCTATCTCATATGTCGAATCATTAGGATAAGATCCAATTATTTTTGGTCAAATTCTCACACGGCAAAGCTCGCGCCTAAGAGCTTTCTATACAAGAACGGAATACATTGCTTCCCAACGCTCCACGTCCGAGGACTTCCATGATCATTTCAGCAAGTTGGAAACATCTAATCCACATAGAAGAGCACATCAATAAATCTCAGGCACCCGGCTATTATTCATCTTTCATGTTGTTATGTGCCGAGGTGTTTGGGTGGATCCCACCTCGGTCGTTGGGATTGAATACTAATCAGCATTGCAGCAGGGAGTAACCCCCATAAAGTGCAACACAGTGTACTCAGCTCGACGGAAAAGCTTGTCAATTTGCGTACACAATCCGAGCAAAATGGTGCACACTCTGACGGTCCGGGATAAGCTAGATGCGTTTATCGGCTGGTTTTCAGTTGGTAAGACAGGAGGACAAAGATCGTGCGCTATCATTAATCAGATTCAACAGTCGCGGAGGCACTATATGCTGCAGCCACTGGGTTCTTCCGAGGCCCATCAGGGGCAAATACTTATCATCATCATTTGATCCAAGCTGTGGTCAAGAAGGTGGTCTACCACGTAGTCTGCGTCATCGTAAACTACTAACCTACTTCTGCAGCTTACGAGGAGATTCAGTCCGCTGCAACTGCAGTAAGTACAACAAAGACCGAGAAATGTACACAGTTAACAGAGAGTAGATATATGTTTAAGTCTTATGACCAACTCTACTTGCATTACTGCCAAAAGAATGGCCTCAAGCCCCATTTCGTCTCGAATAGCCGCGGGCTGAAGGGCTTCTGGATCGGCAGTCCGTCCGCGAAATATATCGTCATCAATTTCCACGGTATTCAGCCCACAAAAGTGACGAGACAATACTAATAAGCAGTACCAGGTGGTGGTTTCGCCATGGATGCGACAGCTCCCTACCTTGATTTCTGGCCGCGGATACAGAAGAGTCTCGCAAATTCTGGTATAGAAACCGCATGGTTCCATTGCACATATACCTTGACACCGCATGCGGCGTATCCCACTCAGTTTTAAGAAGCCGTTGAAGCTCTACGGTATATTCTAGAGGATGTTGGGCGCTCACCGGCGCAAATCCTACTAGCTGGAGATTCGGCTGGCGCGAATTTGTGCTTGGCAATACTGTCTCACTTGACGCATCCCTCCGAAGACGTGCCGGAGTTAATCCTCAACGAACCTATTAGAGGCGTTATTCTCATGTCTCCATGGGTCTCCTTTCATCACAACTGGCCGAGTGTAGAAGCCAGTGAACACAGAGATATCGATGCAAGGGAGGTCATGACCGAGTGGTCGCGAGCGTACCTGAATGGGTGGCCGTCCAATAACTACATCGAAGCGGCAGAGGCATCAGAAGAATGGTGGAACAACACTCGAGTCCAGCAGACTCTGGTACTTGCTGGGGGTGACGAAGCTCTATTAGATCCCATTAAAGCTTGGGTGAACAGGTTCAAAGTAAGTGGCTCCAGGACATAATGTTGCCAGGCGGAGTTGTTGATACCTCACAGGTTCCTAATCCTGATACGACTCTGGTAATTGGGGAAAGAGAATGCCATGTTGCACCTCTGGTCTGGCCGATGTTTGGTGACTATCATGAAACCCAGCAGGCGCGGGCATTGAAGCATTGGCTGCTAGAACGATTAGGCTGATGCATAAGTGTACGTATTAGTAAACAGAGTGAGTTGCACAGCAATAGAATATTCCTTTTACCATGTCTTTTTCCAGTGCAGTTTGTGGTAGTTGGAGTAAGTAGGTCCGGCGTCGAGAGAATATCACGCAGATTAAGATCAAATAAAGTGTCTCAGAAAGGGTTAAGCGGATCTATCTGAGTCGACAAGCAGTATCTCTAACAAAAATAATTTACTTTAGAAATTGGTTATAGCGGATTTCTTTAGGGTCGTTGAAATTGCCTCGGTTGGCAAGCGTCTGTCTTATTTGATTACAATATCGTCAAGCAAGCATCAAGCCAAACTTCGCCGCGGTTAATACCCTGATTGCAACAAGAAGGGAGCTTACGACTCGTATGAACATCTATGAGGATAGGCATACAGGAAATCATCAGTATTGCCTACCACGGGCTTCATCGTTATTGCTTTAAGTAACAATCCGTCCCGTCCTTCATGAGAATGAAGTTGATTCTTGTCCTCGCCAGTCTTTCTTTCTCTGGAACCAGTAAAACGTGCATCATCAATGATCCCCACCCGAAGACAGTCCGACAGATACTCTGCAGCCCGTCAACTGCCGCAGCTTAAAGACCCATTCGAGCCAGCCTCTCTTGACCCTTGTCTGTGAATAAAAGGAGTCCATTCAAATAGCCGACAGCCCATATCATAGGATACCGCCAATGAAACCACCACGGATGTTCCGAAGCGCCAAACCACCCAAAATGTTTGTCAAGGTTGTAGCATAGATAGTTGCAGCTACTCAGAACAAGCAATGAAAGAATCCCCGTGAAGTGAGCTGCCTTCTTTCCGTAATAATGGTCGACAATAAAGCAGTTTATGAGGCCTCCCATCGCTCCACCCATGCCCAATGGACAAAAGACCAACGTCCATAGCACTTTGTAGACCAGGTCCCGAGTTCCGGTCATGATAAAGACGCCGACGGCCAGGAAGATGACTTCGGCGAAGAGAGAATTGAGCCAGAATAGTAGGAAAGGTCGGAGGTACACGGCTCGCCGCTTTTCAGCAACCTTTGCATCTTGTTCACCGCTGAGTAGGACTTGGTAGCTCATAGTTGTTGTGTAATCGGACGTCAAAATTATGGAAGTAGCCTTGTCCTGGGTTTGTAAGCATTTGCGTAGATTTTATTCGGACAGTTTTATACCATAGTATACGACCAAAGTATACAACTGCATGGCCTCGGTGTTGCATATTCATTGATTAGTCTTCATTTTGAAACATAGTTCATGCCGAGGTGTCAAATATCAAACGTCCGGTTATGTTGTTTAGTGATCACGTCTCTCGGAAACGAGCACAAAATATGACCACCTAGCATGCATTGCAGATGTCCACGTTCTATGCTACTGGAGTTAATTGATATCGTTTGATCAATCCTCATTCAACCATCACGATTCGGCGTTCGATTTTCGAGTGGGCGTCAAAGGTCGTGGTATGGGCGACATACTACTGTATATCTTGGTATGTCCGCTCTGCAACAGTGATATACACCCACCACTCATTATGCAATTATTAAGGTGTCTATTTAACCCCCCAGAGCCCAGAGCTCGTTGACGGGGTAATGACAAGTTATGTATTTGAGCATAAGTATGCATAGCAACCATAGCTGACATGCATGTCCCTTAAGCTGATGACTAAAAAGTCAGCGAAGAAACAATTTGCTGAACCTAAGCACACTTATCAAAACCCATATCTGATTAGGGCGCTATCAATGGCCCATCACTCAACGGACGCTTGAACGAAAGTGGCGATCTCCACGAACTTGTCAGAGACCAGAGCAGTCCTCATACGCAACAATGTCAGAAAAATTCCCAGGAAGCAGCACAGAACCACACTCCACAACTCCGTGAGTCAAGCGTGACAGGTACATACGACATTCTCTTCGAATGACAATAGCATCAACTCACTTCCCAATCTGGCCGGACAAGGTTAGGTGATAGGGCTCCGCAGTTAATTCCCAGTCTAATCAGAAGAACCTTCTCCGGATTGATCTGCACATCGTCTGCACACCTGAATCTGCTGATGACGGTTTGGGGATTATCACTGGTATCTGATGACAACTGACCATGTCATCTGGATATATTGTCATCCAATTGGTTAAGGAGAATGCTGGTCACACGACACTGGGAAAGCCACAAGCCACAGCTGCGCTGTCTGATCAATTGATTTGATGGAGGCGCAGATCAGACACTGACAAGATTTTCGATGGAGGATTAAGCAGGTTTTCTGCTACGTGGTGTTGCTGATCAGGACGACGCAAAGACACGCGTCACGGCGCTCACGTGATACCGGCTTTGTTGCAGCTGGATAATGGCTGAGTCAGCCACCCGGAGTACGAATGTACGATCCTGAAAATGAAGGCAAATAAGCAACTGCTGTATGCATGATAGCGATACTATTATCAATATGTACAGATTAGATTCTAGATGCACCTGGTATGCAAATATGCGATAACCATCTTTTTATCCGTGGCCCATAGTGTAACCCAACCCAACCCAAACCAAACGCCGTAAATTCGCTCAAACAGCAGAATCGGAGAACCGGTCAGAATCCTGCTCCGCCAGCAAAGGCGCATCTCCACGCTGTTGGTACCACTTGCGTCGATTCCGATCGCCCGTGGTCGGGACGGGCTTTGCGAGCCGCAGCGCCCAGCAGATGCAGTACTCGACCGGGAGGAGGAGCAGTAGGACCCGGTTCCCCAAGAAGCAGATGGTGACGGTGAAGGTGGCGACMGCCGCGTCGAGCCAGTAGTGGTTTGCCGTTGCGATGATGACACTCAGCACGAGCAGGGGGTACACGAACGCCATGACCATGAAGAAGATCTGTGTGAAGGGGGACTTGCGGACCGGTCGGCCCTGCAGTCGGTGCACGAGGCCCGAATGGTAAATGAAGGTACACCCGACGACGAACGCGTAGGTGAAATGTAGACTCGGCATCGCGGCGAACTGGTTGATGGACTTCCCGCCCACCCAGATGCTCTCTGCGTGATCTTGGCGGACGGTGTCGTAGAAGCCGTAGGAGTCGGGGAGCAGCCGGGGCGGCATGCAGGAGTAGAAGCAGAAGATGAGGAATGCGGCGAAGTTGCCGAGGGTCATGGTGCGTCGCGCCACGGCAAAGATGTTGTGGTTTTCGGCGGCGTAGTAGTACCAGCCCAAGAACCTGTGATGAGGTGAGCGCTGGGTAGCAGGGGGTTCACATGAAGATAAACGTACAGCACGGTTCCGGGGATGTGGACAAGAGAGTAAATGCGGTTGAAGAAGGTCATGATTGACTGATGTCCATTTAGGAAAAAGGACTGAAAGTCGGATTCCTCGACCGGAAAGAAAAACCGCGCGATGGAGTGATGCTCGAAGTTCAAGATCCCGACGCCGTGATCTTGTGCGACCTGAACGATGCCAATCTCCGCTGGGGACAACCACTGCGACGTCGCTTTCGTGACAGAGTAAAACAGATAGTTGACGGCCCAGTAGAACATTTCGACCAGAAACGGGAATTTCTGCAGGATTCTGCTGTGGATGTGGTGCGCCCAGCGAGATGAATCCGGGGTTTCAATGGTGATGCCGCATATTGTGGGGATTTTGGAGGGATAGTCCTCTGTCGAGCTGCCGTTGTCATACTCATCTACCCTTGTTCTGCCAAAGATGCTGAACCCTCTGCGGCGGTTAATAATTAACGAGCCAATCATGATGCTCACAACGATCTGCAGAGCGATAGTCAATACGAAAAGATCAAGATTCTCGATTAGATGTCGACATGACATACGATGGGCTCGAGCCAAGTATGCGACTCGAACTGGGGTTTGCCCAGGTCCGGCGACTCCGCCCTGGCATCCATGACGGCGATTAGAAAGGTCGTGGGAGGAGTCGAGGGGAGCTGCGGTGGTGAGATGAAGATCAACGATAGTAAAAAGAAGAAACCAACTGAAGATTTCTGGAAAGTGGAGATTATATACTACTCGGCAGATTGACAACCGGACCAGGCTTTCATCCAGCAGAACAGGGGGCTGAAGAGCAAACAGGTCATTGACTGGGCTGGGCTGGGCAGATCCAAGTATTACCATCGTACTCGTATCATCGTTTACGATTCTGCTGCGCCAAGATTGCGTATCCACCCAGAACAAGGACTTCCTTGGCGGGAGTATCCTCCTGGAACCACTCGATCCGGTCCGATGCGAGGGGGTTGAGATTCATTAAGAGCAGGAGGCCACCAACGCGTCCCTTCTGCGGACAACAGGTGCAAGTTCTACCACGCGAAGAATGAGTTTCTTGCACGCTAGGAGTTGGGCCTGATTCAGTGGAGTATGTAGAGGTACATAGTACAGTTACTAGTAAGATCCTGCGTACTGCGTACTATTTGTTTCATCATAGTTGGACGCGTAGGCAGGGCTGGGTTTCATCCATTGTGATTGGATGCTGCGGTAGACAATGGACAAATACCGAGCGATGAGCATATGCCCAGTTGCCAAGTCGGGGCTAGCCACGTCGACTCTCCGCCCAAGTCCCAACAATGACCCCTAGTGGCCACTAGCGCATGCTGATGATGGCAGAGGCGCCATCCACTCCGGCTATTTTTGCTGCACCTCCCGAACCGCCGGTCGGTATCATTTTCTTCACCATATCGGATGTGGAATCTCCGGTGTCGCCGATTGGTCATGGCCAACTTGTACCTGAGCGGTGTGTACAGCATAATTTATGCTTGACATGCCCAATTGTAAAAAGGAATCAACTCAGGCTTCTCCGGAGCCAAGGAGTCCACAATGATAGCGTTTCCAGGTTTGAACCCTTGATCGATAGATCATTCAGGAGAATCGTTTTAAAATCCCTCATGTCCCAAGGGCCTCAACTCTCAAGTCTCAGCCTGACTCCGATCTCATGCAACTATCTGCTCACGTGATCTAATACCAAAACGGAGAATTTGTCCAGCTCCGGGAATTCCTCGGCCCAGTGATTCACGTGACTGGTCATGTCTGGCTGCATACACTTCATGTTTGTTTTAACCATTTTTCTGTGTTCCTGTGTCCCTGTGTCTGCAACTTGTCTATCAATAATGCAATTAGTGGGAACATCCAGGAATATGGATTTTCTGGGTGCTTGACTTACTCTATCAGGCGTCTAGGATATCACACAATCTGACCGCTTTCTTTTGTTTATTGAACCTGGAAAAGTCCTTCACCACTTAACGTATCCATATGATCTCCGGAGCCTCGCCCTCGAAAACGTGAGCCTGAACATGAGCCACTGCGTTACTCGGTTCAATCTTTAGAAGCTCAGGTCCGCAGCTAATGACCATCAATCACTTCAAGCACATTTCTATGCATACGTCCTCCATCAGAACTAGACGAGAGTCGTACATAATGAAGTGAATTTAGAGCGCTTTGACCCTGGGTCATATGAATCTCCAAGGAACACGCCCGTCTTTGAACACGTGACCGGATCATTCGTCAACATCAAATGCATAAATGCTCCAACAAAGGCAAAATCCCAGAGATACCTCCGCCACCAGCAATGAGACAGTGTGATAGCGATGTTGGACGACAGTTCGGAGAATGGTGCCGTATGGTCCCTCGGCGATCGTACTGGCGCGACCCTCCACCCCAGCAACCACATCTGAGCCGCCTATTTTCACACAAACAAGCAGTGAAGCCTGTATGAGTACGAACGAGAAGATTCGTCATTTGTCCTTCACGGGGCTTCTCTGCATCCCCATCCGCCACGTCACAACCATTCATTTGCAATAGCGAAAGGATGAGTCTCAAGAACTCTTGGTCCCGCAAATTGAAGGAAAGCCCGCTGTCCGGGGCTCCTATTTCCATCTTGGTCCCGGGAGATGCACTTCAGCTGGCCATGTTGTCCGGTAACTGGTCCACGAATGTCGGACAACCCGATAACCTCTGGCCCTTCAGTGTGAATGCAGAGGACGGGCCAAAAATCCGTCCCAGGTAGGAAGTGATCCAAGGTGCGAGTGTGGCCCCGAGTTGAGTTCCTGGCCCGTGTGCTACAAGTAGAGCCCGAGGAAGACCATGACCAGGAGCATATCCGAACTGACGAAAAGCTAGTACATCTGTCGCCGAATCGGCGTATTCTACAGACCCGCTAGGCCGATAAGTATGCCAAAGGTGGGAGTACCCGTGAACTATTGCGCTGCCTGTAGCCGAACACCCGAGTGGATATCTCCGGACCAGTCCGGAGATATCCACCACGTAGGTGCCCTTCTTGCAGAACTTTGCGTGTAACTGTGCTATACCACCTTCGTGTGTATAAGCTGGTAGATGAAAGGAACTGTATAAACGAGGCTAAGAAACAAAAGTGAAAGTAGGCTGACATTATAATGCAGATGGGAAATTTCAGTGTGCACTTCGTCTGCTTCACCCTTTGCACTTAAGTTTCTCTCCTTGCTTTCATGGGCTTCGGAATATGCTCAAATTCTCTCGAAATACTTCTGGGACAAATCTTAAACCAAGGTCACTGAATTAATTCTAAACACACAGCTAGAGAGTTAGTAAAACACAGGAACCTTCATTTGCATACGGTTGTCCTGTTCATGAAAGGGAATGTTCCTTAGATACATGTGGCCACAACGGCAACTCATCATTCACCTTGCAGTGAACAGCTTATAAATTGAAAATGACAGACAAGACATTCTCTAAAGGAAATTATAATATGACTGTTTTGAAGAAACTCCTTGGGATAAATCTTTTCTATATCCTTGCTCACGTCTACATGCGTTAAATGAGAACATGGATTCTATTCCAGACCGATAACTATGCGGATATCTTGAAATTGGCTGATCGCACTACCAACTAAAAGACTCTTCTACAAAAGAGATGAGTAGAGACGGATTCTGTCTAACCATCTCCGAGACAACATGTCGAACCTCATCCGCCATCCTCGCCGGACCACTAACAACAACGCAAACCGGCGCACCCTGATACTTCTGGATCTCTTCCGTCAACAGCTTCGGGATATCCATTCGCCGGTCATGGTATATCCTCATATTCAGATCATGCAAGCAAGCGTTCCCAACGGTCTCCTGTACCGACTCAATCAAAGCTTTGCTGCGAGAAGCCCAGAATAGCGTATGTCCTCCGCGGTGACTGCACAGATCCGGGACTAGAGCCGTGATGCCAGCCCCGCCGGCAACGGCAATCACATTGGGATGATTACTCCAGTGATCACTGATCATGGACGATGGGGGATAAGATCCTTCCACTAGGGCCGGGAGTTGGGACCTCGCACGTAGATAATGACTTGTTCCTGCCTGCGTACGTACAAAGAACGTGAGGCAAGGTTGGTAGTATCCGACGGTGCTCAGGTCCTGCGACGTGGGCGTGGAAGGCGTCTTATCCGAATCCAGAGACGTCGTCACTGAAGGACCATGCTTCGACAGATATTCAGCCTTGACATCATCCTGCGACACGACCGCGATCTTCCTCTCCATGCTGTCCTCACGTCGGAAACTGGCAATCGCAGAGAAGGGGTGGTTTTCCCACACGCGCCACGTCAGCGTGGGAAAATAAAGGTATACATGGCCCTTTGCATGTACACCGGGAACCTCAACCTTGAGATACTCATCGTCCAAGATAGTAACATACGCCTTCCGAATCCCATGGCACACCAGCCTTAATACCCGAAACACCCGTTCAAATGCCCAGATACCGAACGCCATGTATATCCAGGTTTCGTAGCCCCATTGATGTCCGTACCTGTACCAGATATGGCAGTAGCACCCAAGAAGAGCAATGAAGGACAGGATGACGTGCCAAGCCAGGAATAGCTCGTAGAACCGCTTCCGGATTGGCCATGTGGACGAAGGGATCAAGACGGCCAGCGCCAGAGTGGCGATGACGCCCCAGATCCAATATGGAAGCTTACTCTCGGTGCTGTGCGTGTCGTTCGCGACGTAGATTTGCAGGTATATGGCCGAGTGCAGACAGGCCTCGAGAGTGCAGATGAACGCTACCCAGCGATGTAGCAGGAGGAAGGTCGAATGCGACCAATTTGTCAACCAGAGGAGAAAGTTGTTACGACCGGTGTATAGCACCAGCAAGGGAATATTCGCGAAGCTGAGCACGCCGGCGCGATTGGCCACGTAGGTGAGGATTTCGTCGTGCTTGGAGGCGTACCAGGTGCTTGGGTTCGCAGATCGGAACCCGACCGCGCACAAGGTTATGTTAATTGTTAATAGATACGCGATAAAGAGGGCTTGTCCTCGAGTGGGCATAAAGAAGGTGTCGAGGATCGGGGAACTATGGCGACGACCGACAGCTGGAGGATCGATGAAAACTGCGTTGAACCATGCTCGCCAAACGGCCGGGAAGGGAACGAAACGGAGTAGCGAAGAGGCGATTGGGATGATTGCACCAGTGAGAAGGAGCACTAAGCTATAGCAAGGCAAATCAGCAAGCAGTGCGGTGAATCACCGTAGGAAACCTACCCGTATGTCTCATGGGACGTCTCGACATCCTCGAACGTGGAGAGAGTATTGTAATTATCCAAATACGTCTCTTCATCGATCAAAGAAGGACTATCCAGAACCGCTGACGCATTAAGTGTCGTGGATGGCGGTTTGGCAAGGCTTCCAAGAGCTTCCTGATACGACTCCTTGGGGCTCGGTTGATGCTGCAGACTACCAGCCACGTTCAAATCCCAGTAATTCTCCAGAGCTGAGACAGGTATACCAGCGCAGTGGGTGTGGATGCAGTAGGCTAGTGTTTGCAGGAAGGGATCATTGTTTGCATAGCACGAAGGGCTCGGAGTATCCATTGCCATCGAGGACATATCCATATCCATGCTGTGATCTGCTGCCCCGTTGCAATCCAGAGGGTTTGTAATCGAGGAACGACACGCAAAAGCGCAGGCGGGCTTGTACATGGAGATGCCATAGCCAATGAAGCCATGCCCTGGTCTTCCGTCTGTACCATGCGACGCGACTGGTATTGCAAGAGAGACCAGGATCTGCGCTGCTCGCTGGTATTGCGACAACTTCATTGCGACGGAGCTGTTCAGGTGTGACTTGACTTTGATCAGTCGTCAACCAACAGAGAACAGAGAACACAAGTAGAAGAGAAAAAGGAAAAGGAGAAAGAAAAAGAAAGAGGACAAAAATCTGATTAACATGATATAACCAGAGCGAAAACTCAGGATAGAATATTTCAGGATGTTCATGGTCCCTGGTGTAGCCAGAAATCAGTATCTACATTCCGAGACTAGTATGAGCGGAAATGAGCAGATTTGAGCACTTCCCCACAGCACAGAAACAGCCCTACAGCATCTAGGCTACTTGGCAGCACCAGACGAAACAGAAAAATTAGCTAAAAGGCATGCAGTCACCACGTTATTCTGATATCTTTTCATAATACCAGTTCTCTGCTGTGGCTTTTCTCTCAGAGTGGCTTATCAGCCAAGAGCGCCTGACCCCGTCTGAAGCAATAGGCGGATACTGCAGTGACTCTTTATCATGATTTGCGAACGAAGTGCACGACACTAAATAATCCCATTTATTAATCATTATGCATTGCACCGATCAGATGCTGAACCTAAACCTGGACGCAAATTCTCCGTGTAAGGTGTGAAGGTTACGTACAGATGCCTCTACTGCTTCATTCGCTCTTCGCATGTCCGAGATAATAATTGCAAGTCAAAGCCATCCGATGATATGATTGTGACTCGTGAAAGATCAAGCTCGCCGTGATGTTGCCCAATGCCTATCCGTTGTGGTAATGTCCCATCTTCAAGCTGGCGCATGTAGCCATCCTTTGATCAGCTCCCCCGCGAGGACACCTGCGAGCATGGCACAGAGAACACCGATATTAAGACCCATGATCCCTATCATTCTGGAAATACATCTGTTAGAATGCACCAATTCCGAGGAACGAGAAACTCACAAGATAAACGCGATAAGTGCTCTGAGCAACTCCACCAACGCTCGCATCCAGATATAGTACGAGACCGACTTCTGTGCGGTCAACTCAACTGGGGACAGAGTATCAGCTCTAACCTCGTCGTCATGAAGCCGTTCTCTACAGTTTGCGAGCATCTCGATCGGTCCATCGTCTGCGCGAGGATGATTCTCCCTGTTGATTCTCACGAATCTTGGAAGAGGACTCAGGCGAGCCTTGAAAAAAGCTCTGCGTCGGTGGCGAGGAAGTCGTCCGATGGTTTCAAGGGCACGCGCCGCGATGATCCTGTGCTCAAGTTTATCCTTGACGGCGACTAAGTACCTGTTCCACACGGCAAGGAAGAAAAGCACGACGAGTGTAAGGACGAATACAACGATGGAGTCAGTACTCTGGCCGTAGAAAGGCAGATTGAGGCGAGTTCCGCTATGGAAGGAGGTTGACATTCTCACTCCGTTGCCTTGACCGTCACCAGAAGCAGAGTTATAAGTCACATTCTTCTGGTCCATGGTGACTGTAGCTATTTATCTTTTCTTTTTCAGGCTTGAGAAGCAGAGAATCAGGGGATTGGTAAGACGCATGAACAACGCGAGGTGGCTAGTGTTTGCTACTCGCGAGAAAGTGTGAAACAAGTCAGAGAGCTCTGTTGTTTGTGTTATCATTCACTGCTCTCTAGTAGTAGTACAGTCTTTATGCATGTACAAGGAAGATTAGCACCTGCATAACTATGTTGATATACTTAGTTTTATTCCAAGCTAATTCTGCATAACTTCCCCAACCTAGTCTTCCCCAATACCTTAATAATCGCGCAAATATGCTCATGGCTTGTATTTGACAAGGTAGTATTCTCTGGTATAAGTCTCCTCTGCATCCATAATTTTGCCTCCAGAGTATAGCTGACTCTTGAAGCTCTTAAACCTTCTTTGCTCAAGTTATAATCCATAGACTATACCCTCTCTGACAACATGAACCAGCGTATCAAACTTGGAAGGATGCCATTTTTCCTTCCAAATATCCAGATGATCAACTGCGCATCTCTGCGAGGAACGGCGCTAATATTGAGACGGTCCACTTCTTCGTCCCCGAGGTACTTTGCAAATTTGTCATTTCGGTGGATGTAATGGACTTGCGCTGACGCGAAAAAGGCCCTTTTTCTTTGACACGAGTATTCAACTGCAACTCAAAACCAGGCGACATATGACCGTCAATTGCTGTCGAGAGCAGGTCTTGCCTTTCAAGACCCAGTAACTTTACTGGTCATACGTTATATATTGTGGATCCATTGGGGGTGTGCTTGATTTCATCTGTTTTGGAAAATCATTGCTCAGAGGGAATAGACGACGATGGCGTTTCATTCACCTTCTTCAAGGTGCCATAAACTGACGATGCTGGATATGAGCAAAACAACGCTATAGAGCTATTTATGGCGGTTCAAATCCCGCTGAGACGACGAGGGATCAACGACGACAGAGATGTTCTCCTAGCCATTCACTGCAACCACCTCGAGAGTGTGCATCTGTCAATTAAATCTGACTGATATAATCAGTTACGACACAATTCGCAGTCACTGGTGCCGTAGTATATGGTGTCTCGATAATTGGGTATTAACGAGTAGACAGCGTCCGCCCCTTATTGCCAAAAATAGTCCGCAGCTATTCCCGTGGTAGCCAAAGAGGTCTTTTGCCAGGCGAGCTCGGGCGAGCAATGGTTATTTATGATATCATACTCCTTGAACAGCCATAAATTCCCGGCGGCCTTGCAGACCTTTGCGTAGGATTTCGCCACGCCACCAAGTGTTGTCTGTGATGCTCCACTCTACAACGAATCACGGGACACATTACATGAAGATGGGAGGGAAACAGAGCTCACAATCAGCGGTGTACGGGTGGAATACTGCGATATCAATGCCAGGGATGGCCATATTCTTTTGGAAGCCACTACATTCGGAGGTAGAGTGGGGATAGGAACCGTCTGAGTCGACGGTCAAGGCCGTGCCCTCTATACCAGTGCTGGTCGCCTGCATAGCATGAGCTACACAGGGGAGTATCCAGTGCACCTTCAATGAAGCAACCATATGGGTTAGATCAAGAGACTTGATGTATGCGCTTGTCATGGTGGCCCGGTTGAAATAACATCAGCAGTGCACCCTTGGTAACGAGGTTCATTTCCAACTCCGAAGCATAGCAGGAGAGTCTTTGGAGCCGAGAACCATCGCCTTGATAAACTCTGGTACAGGCTTTGGATATTTATGTTGGTGTGAAATTCACACTTCACCCAGCATACACGTTGATATACGGATCCATGCCACCTTAGCTATTTATTCACAAACAGGTAATCAGCTTAATGCCATGCTTCTCCGCCGCAGATATAACGTAGTCGAGTGTTGGAGGCTCTTTACACTGGCTTTGATAGCCGTAGTGAGGCTAGGTGGGCGAGGAACTTAGTCTCGCCGTCAATGTTGAATTTTGAGTCCATATGCCTTAACGTTGAGCCATTACCAGTTGGGACGGGAGTGGACGAAGTCGAGAATAGCATGGAAACTGTCGACGAAGCCGTGCTAGTGGGAGGTGCAGTTGTTGAGACTGACAGTGTGGACGTCGTGCTGGCTTTAGTATGTGTTAAGGATAACATGTTAATCGCAGCCAGGGTTTGTATCCAGACTGGCACTGGCCATATCACTGATTTAGAAGCACACCCATCCTGATAAACTTCAGTTTTCACCCGTATAGTGCTGACCACCATACCAACCCCGATGCCCGACCTATGCTGAGACAGGTCCTATCACGGATAGGACTGCAGCAGACAACAATGACCGCATAATTTCATTAAACGAATAGAGGAAGGAAGGGTGGAGAATCTTCTGAAAAATGCAATATCGGTCCAGTGAGTGACGCGGCCATTCGGAGCCATTACAATCTTAATTTACACTTTCTTGAAATATCCTACTACAATTTTTTGGTCGCGTTCCCTGCTGGCTTTAGAGCCCCTTCAAATCAGCCTTTAACAGCCCAGGATTCTGCCACGAGCACATCCCGACGGCCTAACGCTGGCGCAAAATCTAACCGTCTTTCATTGAATCCACTGCCGTGGCGTCGGTTTCCCAACGACGTAGCTCACTATGACTGAACAAGTTAGACTAATATGGAAGGATCGAGCTATGCGGCCGAGGCGGATCCTTTTCCGTGGTTCCGTCCCAATACCCCGTGTCCGAGTTGGCAAGGATTGTCTCGCTTTGGAGGCGATCCCCGCAGAGCTATCCCGATGGAGATATACGGAAACAGTCTCTCACATGTTATCCCTGCATTTCCTGCATTGAATATCTAGTGCTTACCACAAAGGCAGTGAGATCGCCCTATGGCTCGGTTGTCGTCATGATTTTTTCACTTCCCAGCCCGGGCCGTTTCCTATTGAGATTATGCTTCGGGTTCGCGCGTCTGGTTACGGCTTGTAGCGTCACAGAGGCCCATGGAGTTCGTCACGGAGTGGTGGTATATATAATTCTGAGGACTAGACTTGGGACACTACTTTGCTTGTGATCGGCATTAGGCTAGCTAGCCTAATCTGTGAATGTATATCTAATTTACCTAGTGCGCAGAATGGGTGGATCAAGGTGTCATTCGTTCCAACCCATCTGTTTTTGGGATTGCCAAGCGTATTTCTTAAAAAGCATAGGGAGTAATTTTCACGTCCTATATATATACGTATATATATTCGAAGAAAAATGGAGGCCATCATGATTTTGACATTTTAGGTGGTCCTGAATAGGGTGGTTTGTGTTAGGGAGATATCTCTGCACCACTTTCCGTCTCAGCCATGCGGTCTACAATAACCCACGAGATAAGCTTATTTGGCTCAGCAATAGGTAATATACTTCTCATGTAAGCAATTAGCATCTTGTTAACTAGATAATATAGATACTGCAATTGTATGGCTAAAACAATGGGAAGAGAGGGGTTAATCAGAATACTGGGTACTGTAGATGTTTATCCGCATCCCCGCATGAATATCTTGGGTCGGTGGGTCACCGTTGTAGTGGGTCGAGCTTCGATCCATGGATCAGAATCTCAACTCCACATAGCACTTGGTGTGATGGATTCAAGTTGGAAGATAATGTGGGGTAGATGTCAAGGATGTCATAGTGACAAAACCTAACATAGATAGTGCTACTTGTTGATCACTGACTCCGTCACTGTAATACTTGACTCTACTGTTCTGCATTATCAGCAAAATGATGCCCTGGTGTTGACCAGTGCATTGGATAGTTCAATCGCGATGATTGCGCCTAGTTGTGATGCCGACTTGGCCTCTACATCTATTCCGCAGAAAAGGAAACCACCTAAACTACGTCGTAAACAACCTCTACCTCATAGTCGCGACGGAGAAGTAGCGAAGGAACCATTTCTTGACACACTAAGCACCCAAAAACAAGCTGTCGTTTCCAGGACGTCCGACGATGAATCGAGCTTTGAGGATGCGTTGGAAGGGAAGTCCTCAACCATCGAGGCTCAAGTCCAACCGGTCCCTCAACGACAACGCCAGACTCCTCGGAATAAGTCATTTCATAACGAGGAGGAGCGCGACGTGGCCGACGATGAAGATGCTCCCCTCTCTGCTGAACGTCAGAGACTCAGACGGGGCCGACGCGGCGAGCAAGCGCTCATTCAGTTAAACGCTATTCACAATGTTGGCAGACCAGTCAGACAGTCCAGCGATTTGGTGCGCAATAGGACTGAGCGCATGGTGGGAACGATTACAGATCCGGATGGGCGAGTTCTCGGGAGGCCATTAAAGAAAAATGAACCGCTAAAGAAGGAGAAGGACGAACAGTTGAGGTTGCGCTTGGAGTTGAACCTGGACCTGGAGGTTCAGCTGAAAGCGAAGATCTCCGGAGACCTGACGCTCACATTATTGTTAGTGTCTGCCCCTGCTCACAATGGATTCGGTTATTCATTGCTGACTGAATGGAAGGAAATAGGCAGTAATGGGGTTGGATTGGAATTCATGTCGAGAAAACCAGTCAGCCAATGCGTAGCCATGAGCAAAAGTCCAAAAAGGCAACCCCAGAAAGGGGATGGGGAAACAGGAAAAACTTAAAAGATTTATCAGAGCACAGTAAGACTGCCCTGATAAACCAGTCAGTTGAAGCACGATCACTTCTCTTGGGCTCGGCTAGTTGGCGAGCATTCATCAGAGTCTGGAAACACCACATCACTCTGATGAATATGTAGCATCCACTCAGATGATAAACTGATCGCCCTTGATGGTGAATATCCTCTACTTGCTTTCTATCTCCAGATCCTTTTACACATCAGCTACAACTACTTCACGTGTGGCCCTCGCATATTTGAATAGGCTTTCCACGGGTTGTTCTTCTMCTGTGATGTTTGGTTCAAGGTACTACTAGATAGCTAATGGAACCGGAGATTGATACTGAAAAGCACAGACCTGCTCTCCAAGTACCACGAATTTTCTGAAGACCTGGTCGCGGTTGTGGCTGTGTCTGTGGCTGCAGTTGCGGTCGATGATGGTTCCTCAGGTTACCTTTTGATGGAGCGGGGAGGCCCAGACCATCCCACTGACATCAGTACTACAATCTCCAGGTTGTGATTGCGAGCCGTGTTGTCACCTAGTGGCAAAAGCGTCTATCCAGTGGTCCATCTGGCAGTACCGTATATTTTTGGGTTTAGGTTMAAGGCGTTTAATGGGACCTCCACATTCTTGTACGTATGATTCCCCAGAAATTTACAACAACAGCGCAACGTGCATCCCACTAGCCCAAAACATATGCTGATCCAGGGTAATACAATTAATTCCCATGGCTACAACACTTTCTCTATGACCTAGAGAGTAGAAACGGGAATCTCCTGACGGGAATCATGCAACACCCCTCCTTTTTTAAAAAAGTAATAATAGGGTATATATTTTGGATGTGACAGTCAATCTGGACTTTCGAAATGTCTGGGAATCACGCTCTTAAAGATGCAGATTCTACTGCACGTCCAATACCCTGTGCCTACCTTAAATCGTACCTTCTATGCATTCCATATATCCTGATCTATGGAGGCATATCGTTCTAGCCTGATCAGCATCTGCCAGAAAAAGCTAGACCTCGAGATTTCCCGTTGCGATCACGATTTACGCCGTCTCGTTGGGCATACAAACATACTGTATGCGCTGCTAGACTCTATATCGCATGCAGAACAGAAGATTATTGCATCCATCTCAGAAGAGGAGTTTGCAGATAAATCCAGTGAGATGCAACTGGGCTCGTCGTTGGAAGAGGTTGGCCTGGTGAATGAATCATTCATTCAGTCCATATTTTGGTATGTGGAGAGAGCACCAATTCCATATCAAAATATTGAGGCTTACCGCTGAATTTTGGCACCTCTTAGAACCAATATTTCGAATACTTTATACAATGCACTTTGACTCTTACTTCCCACTTTTTGATTTTATTGTAATTCAACGTATAAATGCGCAGTCCGGCCGCTGTAAGAAAAGACCAGTGTTTTGTAATAGTATTAGATGACATGCTGCCTAACAACTCTTTAAAACCGAGCCCCCAAATTAAAAAAGTATTTAGTGGGGCGGGGGGGGTAGGAGTGGGGAGTGTTGGGGGGGAACAGTGAGGTACTCATGAGCGTGTAAGGTAATGACTTGTGCGGTAAGAACAACAGTGGCATGCCAAAGAACTGCTCACCCTACCCTGCTGGAATCGGCTGGGAGAGGATGCGTTGCCATGGACTGGGAGGATCCTCTAACCATGCAGGGCTGTTAGAGCGGCTGAGCCTGAGCTCAGCTGAGATGCTGTCTTTGCCACCTGATCGATCATTCCAAAGGCTGGCTCTGACCCAACCAGAACATCAATGCACGGACGTTTGATCCGCATTGTTAGTGCAGATTTGATTGGGAACACTAAAACATTAGGTTCCCGTCTGGCCGGGTCCCATACATTACGAATTTCTGGTTCGTATTTTAATAAGGTGCTGACTGCTGAACAATATCTGGCCCATCCCTATACTTCAGGCTTTTAGACTCTGCTTTTGAAATTTGTAAAATACAACAATTAGTGATCTCGTGAATCTATGTGACTAGCTTCTCTGCTCTTTAGGTGGGCGAAATGCATTCACCCTAGTCTTTAGGGTCTATGGGGGTCATTTAAGCTTTGGCGGCATTAGCCACATCTCACCCTAATCAACAAACAGGATAGGTTTGTTGTGCCTGGCTGAGAATGATAGTTTCGTCAAGTACTGCTCCATTTTCAAATGGGCATAGCGATGCAGAGAACAAGGCAGTTTACCGAGGTTTCGAGGTTCAAACTTTCCCTGGGAACTCGCAGATTGTTCGTGCGTACAACTACAACCTTGGCAGAGGATCGCAATGGTCTCAAAGTATAAATTTATTTTCATGGAATGGAGATACACGCGATTATTGTTCACTCATATCCTAATTTCATCGACACGCCATGCACCTGCGCGATTCTGGACCATCACATATTTAGGCTAAGTGATGAAACTTAAAATGTGGTATACGAATGCCAACTGGAAAGGATTATGCGGCTAAGGCCTCTTGTACAGCCGTCCAAATTCCTTAGTGCCCAATCAACAAGTCAAGAATCGCCAGTCTGGACAGTTCTACTCACAAGCCACTTGGGAAGACAACCAGAGCAGAGTCGACAGATGGAGATCAAACTTTAACTACATCCTCGAGAACAGTCAACATTCTCGCTGGTGGAATGGCACATCACCCCCTAGTTGCGCCTGTCAAGGCAATCAAATCAACTATCAAGAAACGCAGTAGGTCTCATTTAGTTAGGGGATAGTAATTCATCACTATCCTCTATGTCTGAATTTTCACAAGCTGAGTTATAGTTTCGACGCTTCAGATACCTTAGATCTTAGATGGTTTGCTGACCAGTAGGGTCACCTTACTCCTTAGGTGGTTAGAGCCGCTCAAGCCACGACAGGAGCCTGTAGAAGATCTGGCCCAATGGAAGGCAAAAGCTCACCAGCACTCTGTACACAACTATCTGACTATATCCCGTATAAAGTTCCTACATAAGCGAAGAAATATTATTGGGCGCATGTTTAAGACAGACATATGGTAATGAGACATTGTGTTCACCTTGCATCGAGCACGTTGACACGGGGATAGAGAGTCTGCGTTATTAAATGCCATACTATCTACCACCCCTATAGAAAATTAATATCTTTATACTAAATATAAAGTAATTGTCATAATACTAACCCATATCTAAAATATCGATTCGATATCCATAGGGTTGAATGGGTGGTGATTAAAAATTGTTCTTAAACCAGAGTAATTATCACAGGTTAGTGCACGTACACACACCACCACCACCACTTTTATACCAACCCCTAACAGAGATGATTATTCTTGTATTTCTCAGCAACCACCAGGTATTTTGAATTAGTATCATATAATTAGGTAGCCCAGATCAGGGATCATCTAGTGATATTAAAATATCCAGAGGAAGCCTAGAAACTAGCAATTACCAAGCAGAATTTATTGGGCGGGTTCAATGAATGATGAATCCGCAAAAACCGTAACCAACAGTTTTCACCGAACGGATTCGGCTTTAGGAGTAGGGAAACCGCAACCAGTGCGGTTCCCTAGGCTAGGCACCAAACCCTCACCACTGCGAGTCCAGTGAGAGTTGGATTGGATTTTAGCGGTTCGGTTATGCCACAGCGATGGCAGAGATGATTCAATTAAATTTTACCTGACACATGGCTGTGTAATGACACCATTGAGAATCTCACTCTTAAGCCAATCCCCCTTTTCCTTTTCTTCCCCCTCGTGTTTACCTTTTCGGATGTGCCAAACTCCCCGAAAACCTAATATTACGGGCTACCATTGGTCCGCCTTCCCTGGTCCTCTTCACGAGTAAGGTTTTGGGGCTGTAAGACACGCCCAATGAATCGCAAGCTGCACGGTGCTCAAACCATGTGGTATTCTCTGATGGCGAGTGCCACTTCTCTGAAGGATCCCAACTCCTCTTCCTTTATATACTTCACCCTCAACACTGAGACTGAGACCGGTCAATAACTTTGTGCAAAATGTGGGCAGCCACACTGGATCTGTAGCGATGGAAGACAACAAAACAATCCTCACGGAAATCGCAGGAATGGAGTCCAGCACCTCTTCCTGTTCCGAGCCGCCATGTCCGCTTCAACACTTGCCGGGACAGGCCACGATCGCCCCAGCCACCCTTGGCGTAAAAGGGCCTGATTCAGATCATATCGAGCAGGTACCGAGCGCCTACAAGACAACGCATGGTTTATACGATGCTTGGAGGTGCGATACGGGTAGTACCAATGGCCTGCTTTGCTCTACTGCTCGGTCATCCGAGTCTGATCTTTTCTATGGTCTCTCTACTCTAATTCCCGGATTGCGCCAGCTGGATTCTGGAGCTAGGGCTGCAACAAAGGCCGAGCGCAAAATCACGTTCTTGGAAGGTTGCCGGCTATACCCCAAGGCGATGGCGTGGTCGGTGGTTGTTTCGTCCACCCTCATCATGGAAGGGTTCGACACTCTACTCATATTTTCTTTCTTCTCACTTCCTGCCTTCAAGCGATACTATGGCGTGCCAAGCAAGGACGGCTATGAAATTCCTGCTCGCTGGCAGTTTGGTCTGTCCACAGGGGCGGAGGCAGGGGAAATTGTTGGACTGCTTCTGAATGGCCTGCTGGCTGACCGCGTTGGATATCGCATTACTATATCTGCCGCTCTCGTCTTTCTCTTTCTTTGCATCCTGTTACCCGTCTTCGCGGTCAATCTGCGGATGTTGCTTGCAGCGCAGATCTTGTGCGGGATCCCCTGGGGCGTCTTTCAGACGCTGACAATCAACTACGCCGCCGAAGTGATGCCAGTGGCCTTGCGCGCATACCTTCTCAGCAGCATCAATCTATGCTGGGTACTCGGTCAGCTCCTCGCAACGGGTGTGACTCGTGCGTTGGCCAACAACGATTCCACGCTGTCCTTTCGCCTTCCATTTGGGCTCCAGTGGGCGATCGGCGTGCCCATTTTGGTTGGCGTGATCTTGGCTCCAGAATCACCATGGTGGTTGATCCGGCATGACCGACCACGGGAGGCCAAAAGGTCATTGTCACGGCTGTTGCGGAGTGGCGTCAGCGTGGACGAGACGGCCGCCATGTTGACACATACCAACGAAGTCGAAAAGCATCTGACGGGTGGCGACGCCATCTCATATTTGGACTGCTTCAAACGGGTCGACCTTCGCCGAACAGAGATTACGTGCATCGTCTGGGTCACTCAGCAAGTTTGTGGCAGCAGCCTGATGGGCTGGGCCGCATACTATTACAAGCAGGCAGGATTCAATACCAGCCAGGCTTTCAATCTAACAATCGGGACCTTCGGCCTGGCAATTGCTGGCGGGGTAATCTCTTGGTTTCTACTGCCCCGCGTGGGTCGCCGCACACTTTACCTTTCAGGGCTTTTCGTCATGCTTCTCACTCTACTTACGGCAGGGTGTGTCAGCGTAGCTTCGACAGCTCAATGGCACTTGTGGACTCTTGGCTCTCTTCTGGTCTTCCTGACATTCGTATACGACATGACCATCGGGCCAATATGCTACGTGCTGGTAGCTGAGATTCCCTCTACACGGCTCCGTGTCAAGACCGTCGTTCTGGCCCGCGTGGCGTACAACTTGTCCGGCGTTCTCATCAACTGGATGACGCCAAATATGTTGAGTCCCGACGAGTGGAACTGGAAGGGCAAGTCCTGTTTCTTTTTTGCCGGGACTACTTTCTTGTGCTTGGTTTGGTGCTACTGGAGACTTCCGGAAACCTTTGGCTTGAGCTATCTTGAGATCGACATTCTGTTCGAGAAGAAAGCGAAAACCAGCAAGTTCCGCGAGCTGCAGAACAACCTGCGAGATCGTGGGTATTTTGGTCTCTCCCGAGAGGAGTGTCCTTTTCGCGGGTACTGAAACCAACGAAATACAAGTGCGTGTAGTACGAACTACTCTTTCATGTATACATTCTAATTAGCCTAATCCATTGAGGAACTATTAATTATTGATGAAGAAGCATATGTGAAAATATCTAATTGCTTAGAATAGCCATACAGTAGCTAACATACCGCTATTTGCCGCATAGTACGTGGATTAACAACGAATTACCCGTTATTAGGCTGAGCATAGCTGTGGAGGGCTAACAAGATGGTTGCATTTAGCCATGGAGAAAGTCAAAGTTGGTGGAGGGTCTAGAATCTAGCCAAGAATCTGGGCCTCCCAATTCCATGGCAAACGGCTCCAAGCCATCTTTAGTTTTCTACGGCTGGATCTGATCTTTTCCCGCTGGCGGTGTTGCTAGTCCGTATGGGGCGTCCTCGAAAGCTATTACGTATTCGAACTCGAACCCATTATTATTTGTTCGCATTGTTTCAGGGCACGAATCACTTTGCCTGCATATATGTACATTATGCTTTTTATTGAGGAGTTGCAACTTAGCATCTTTTGCACCATTTGCACCTTTTGCACGCTTTGCTCTATATTCTGATTTCTCGTAACTAGGTTATCCTCATGACTATGTATAAAAGTAGCCTTCTATCTCTAGAGATGTACGGATCTAAAGTATTGTCCATACACTTGCCTACCATCTCTATATTGAAAAACCTTTTTGTCAGAAAGGCTACTTTGCACGGTGCGTCCCGTAGGTGGCTTGAGCATGAAACCAGTGACTTATTGGATCTGGCATGGGTTGGTGAGAGTGGTCTGAATATATATGTGTAGTGAGCTTCACCAACCGCACACTCAAACCCCTAGAAATCGATTATTCTAGATACAGGGTTGGATGATGATTATAATATATCTCATATGAAATACAACATTCTATGAGATATGCTCAAGCAAAAAGGATAGAAATAAGATCTCTAGAGTAGTTTTCGTTTAAGCGTAACAATCCCGCCTCGCATCCCGCCTCAGAAGATTATAGCAAAGTGTTAGGTTATTCTGAATCCAGAAACTGCCACGACATGTCATGCGGTAGCGCAAATGTCGCATCTCGTATTGAATTCCGGCTCGCAGCACCCCTATCGATGTCATAAGATTCGACACCAGCAAGTCTTGCTTCATGCAGCTCCTCAAATGCACGCACTCGTGCTATGAGTTGATGCAGTATTTCCTCCGCGCAGAGTGATGATTCTTCGTGATTAAGAAGCTGTACCGCCTCTTTCGCCTTTGCGATGAACATGTTAACGGCCGTCGCAACGTCCATGGTAATACGTGTGTCGATCTGATCGCGTTCCTTCCATGCCAAGAGCAGAAATTTAGATAATGAATCAACAGCATGGTAGTATTGCTGGTAGACCGAGTATGGGAGATAGAGAAAATATTGAGGCGCAAGAGAAGAGAACGTTGAGAAAAAGGCTTTCGCTGAGGCCAAGGATGAGTGAAGGATATCATAATGCACCCCGGTGCTACTTCGGTCGCTCTTTGAGGAGTGGTCTTCCAGAGCGGACTCATATAAGAGGAGCTCCAGACTGTGATACTGTAATGCCAGGATGGCTGGGTACAGGATTAGCAAGTGTCGCCATATCCGACATATTGACAAAATCGATGTCACTCACAGTCCTGTATGCGGTCATGCGCGCTAGATGGTTTCAAATGCCTCAATTCCGCTCCAAGAGCCTTGACACACGTTTGGATTGAATCTGACGAACATATGTGCGGTTGATTGTACGAATCAAAGGGAAGTATCTGAACGATCTTGTGGGCCATACGATTTAGTCGTGACAGCTGGACAAGGCACATGTCTGTAGGATATTCCTGCAGCTCCTCAAGTACGCGACAGCATTCTTCAGTGTAGCTCGTGTATCTAAGAGGATCCATATCTTTGACACATATTGCAGCTCTAGATGGGTCAGTCCTATTGCTGGAGCGATGCATGGGGGCTCATCTACATACACACAGGTGGTATAAAAGCACCCGAGGTAGGCTCTCCTTTCGTCCGTGGTAGGAGCATTGTCACGCTCGCAAGATTGCGGTAGTTTTCCACCAGATGGATTAGGTCTTCGATGGAGGCCAAGTCTACGTAGCATGGCCAGACCCAGGTGCAAGATGATAGACAGTTGTGCTTCGGGTTCGGGCAATAGGTGATACCTATTATGGTGTGAGCCCTGAGTTCTACAGACTAGGTTGAAACGGAAAGGTCGTAGGTACCATGATATGCACACCAAGATCGCCTGCAGGATATCAAGACTGCTTTGCCGTTTCTTAACAATGGAACGGCTAACATGCTCTAGAAACTGATCTGTCATGCGTTTCTTCCGAATTGCGTCGTCGATACAAGTCACCATTTGAACCGCACCCAAGAGAAGTGGACTTTTTTGCTGCAACTCTGGAACAGTCATGTCAAGTGGGATGACAACACTAGGGCAGTAAAAAGCCATCTCCGTCCGGTATTCTGTCAAAATCACTGATGCACTTTCATGAGTAAAAGTGAAACTTTCATCCCATGGAAGAACTAATTGCGAGGTCTTCTGCGCTTGGCGTCTGTTTTCCTGTTCAGTCTTGGATGCAGCATCAGACGTCATCTGAGACGATACGCCGACAAGACAAGCCATAGTGTCAAGCTTCTTCTCGAGTCTCGCAACATCCCTTTGATCAAAGTCAATAGCCAACACCTCTACTGATCTCGTGGGTACCTACAACGGCGACGTAGCCTTCCGCTTGTGGGCCCCGGGAGCCTGAGCGATGCACTCTCTCTTTAAACGAGAACACCTAGTCTTGATTCAACATGGCTCAGCAGACTTTAACTGAGATAGCGCCGTACCGCTTGCATCCACCCGTCTCTTGTTGGTCGCATTTCACTTTTGCGTACGCGCATTGCTGGCATGCCTTTGGCTCTCGAATTCTTACTGGACGCCTTCTGACCATCGGCACAACCTGAGGATCAACAATCTTCGGCGAAGTAGCACTGCGGGTATGTGGTTGGTTGTATGTTTCTGGTCAGAGTGCTGGGGGTTGTCGGGGCTGAGGGCCTGAGGCCGGGATCGTTGGGCACGGAATTCCGTGTCCCGTTTCAGCCAATCATTTCCAGTCATCACCGGCTAAGGGGCAAGATAGAGTCGGCAACGGCCACACGAGTGCCGATTCGGGTAAATGATTGCCTATCTTATATATAGAGACGATCGCCCACCATGTCAGTTGAATCAATCATCAAAACATTATCGGCGAGGAACACAGCATCACCTTTATCAATCTTGAAAGACCTTTTTGTTGAAGTCCTTGAGGCCGTCTGAAATTAATCAGAAAGACCTGCCAACAGCATCATGTATTCAATCACCACAAGCATTGAAATCAACGCCCCTCCAGCAACGGTCAGAGAGAAGGTATTGCTCCCATTGGATATTGAGAAGCAATGATATCAATCATAAATAACCCCGTTTTTCTGACACTTCACAACAGTTTCTCGACTTTTCATCCATCTCGAAATACTCACCCAATGGATTTATCCGCTCGATATCCTCCGTTGACCCAACTAAATCATCTATCGATCTTCAACCTGGCGACAAATTGAATGTCTGTGCAGGCTACGGAAAGATGAATTTCTCGCCCGTCGTGTCATCAAACACGCAGTCTATGTTTAGCTGGATCGGTTCTATCCCAGGAATCTTCACCGGGGAGCATATGTTTCGATTCGAGGAAATCCCCGCAACGGGACACGAACAGAGCCGCACAAGGTTCGTCCATGAAGAGACGTTTACTGCTCTCCTTTCATTTCTTATGGGGGAGGGCTTCCTCGCCAGCTATGTTGGTCTAGGCGAGGATTCAAGGAAGGGGTTCGACGGGTTCAACCACGATCTCAAGGCTTGGATCGAACAAGACCGCACGGAATAGCGAGCTACGCCTGGTATAATTTGCCATCTGCTGTCAACACTTTTCGTTTATTATGTCTGTCTGATGTACCGTGTAGCGTTTAAGGGAGACGTCTTCCCGAGTCATTCCTCTCATTCCTTCTTTCTGTTCTGTGATACACCCCCGGCGTTTGTCTTCATTTATTGAGAATGACGGTTTACTGGTTCGCACTTTTGCATCAAAGGTGCACCAGTAATGCGCGTTCGATCATCCAACTATTATTGAGGATCCAGAAACACACTTAACAATGCTTCAGTTGGGGATTTGCGCTCATAGTTTGGATCATAAGACACAAGACTTGCAGAATCACTGGAATAAATAGTATGTGTATATGATAATTAACAATATAATCCTTCATTTAATAGTGGATGAGGTGCTATTAGTGGCTATTAGTAAAATAACACAAAGTGCTTATATCTACTGGCCTATATCCCATCACGAGAGATCACTGATTCAAGGTTATTCATTAAGGGAATGTATGCAAGTAAAATGTTCATATGTTTCTATGAGTTGTGAGTTATTATTCTATTCTATTCTTCTATGTTGAATTGGTGGCTTTAGTGCAGCCTTGTACTCTGAAATTCCTGCGTTGTTATTGATGACAGTTATATTTCTGGTATGGTAACTAAAGCACTTCCAAGTAAATAAGCCGAGGCTCTGATCTCTACTTAAATAATTATTAGCTGCATCTTCCATCAGGTGGGGACATAAGGGGAACTGGCGGCTGACGGATACCCCGGATCAATGACGTCACTGATCACCACAACTTCAAACGACATGCCAAACAAAACCCAGAAACGCCATCAATTCACTATCCATACCCTGTAAACATCAGGAACAGATATTCGCATTCCGCAGGAAAAATCAATTGAGGATGGATGGAACTTCAGCAGCGTACACTAGCATAGAAGACTATGGCCTCGTGGGGGACATGCACACCTGCGCCCTGATCAGCAAAACTGGCAGTCTTGACTATATGTGCTGGCCCGTCTTCGATTCGCCCTCCGTGTTCTGTCGTATCCTCGACTGTACACAGGGAGGACACTTCTCTATATGCCCAATACCGGATATCCAACCAATCAGCAAGCAGAGATATCGACCGTACACGAATATGTTGGAGACTCGATGGATTGACGAACAGGGGGTGGTCAGTCTTCTCGACTACCAACCTGTATCAAGTCACAAGTCGGGCTCTGAGTGGTGTATTTGTGATGACCCCATTGCCCGTAATGACCCACAGAGACCATGTCGTTCAGGTGTTGTTCGGAGGATCGAATGCGTGAGGGGTGAAATGGAAATGGATTTCGAGATCTTTCCTGCGTTCAACTATGCAAGAGACCGACACACTGGCCATTGGATCACACCCCAGAACTCCAGCAACTCGCTCAAGAAATATTGTTTCGAAAGTCAGACGCAAACCTTGCACTTGACTATCCTTGCTGGTGTCGACACCACGCTTGAGCCAGCTGATGCCATTTCCCCGGCGGATCTGAAGCTCCAGGAGAAGCAAGGCCCAAAAGGGCCAGGACTCCATTCCAGGCTGAAGTTGAAAGAAGGGCAATCGATCTCATTTGTGCTGCACGACCCAGAAACAAGTCTTCCTGAGGGGAACTCCCTACAACAGTACCTGGAGAGACTGGAAAAAGAGACGCTGAACTTCTGGGTTAGCTGGATCGCCCGTTGTACGTTTCGTGGTCACTACCGCGAACAGGTTGAGCGCAGCCTCTTGGTACTTAAGCTTCTCACCTACAAACCTACCGGAGCAATTGTTGCAGCTCCTACGTTCTCCCTCCCCGAGTACATCGGAGGGTCCCGGAACTGGGACTATCGGTACTCCTGGCTTCGTGATGCCGCTTTTGTCGTGTACGTGTTCCTCAAGAACGGCTACCCCATGGAGGCCGAAGCATACATCAACTTCATCTTCGACCGCGTCTTCCCTCCAGTGAGGGATAATGAATGCGTAGCGGATGCCCCATTCCTACCGATAATGGTGACGATTCATGGTGAGAGCGACATTCCGGAAAGTGAACTGGATCATCTAGAGGGATATAAGGGCAGTAAGCCGGTGCGTATCGGAAACGCAGCTGCGCATCATATACAGTTGGACATATATGGCGAGCTCATGGACAGCGTCTATCTCTACAACAAGCACGGACGACCTATTTCCTATGAGCAGTGGGTCGCCATTCGACGCATGATCGCGCATGTAATTAGAGTCCGAAATGAGCCTGACCGATCGCTCTGGGAGGTCCGAGGGAAGATGCAGAATTTTGTGTACAGCAAGATCATGCTCTGGGTTGCGCTGGACAGAGCAATACGTCTATCGGAGAAGCGATCCAATCTACCGTGTCCTGATGTGGAGGAGTGGAGGCGGGCGCGTGATGAGCTTTACGATGAGATCATGACCAAAGGCTACAACCTCAAGGGCAAGTATTTCTGCATGAGCTATGAGAGTCAGAATGTGCTGGATGCGGCTGTTTTGATTGGACCGCTGGTATTCTTTATCGCTCCAAATGACCCCAGATTCCTGCACACTCTAAAAAAGATCATGTTGTCCCCAGCCAAAGGGGGGTTATCAGTTGCCAACATGGTATCCCGGTATGATCACACAAAGGTGGATGATGGTATGTTTGACTCCAACGAGGTTGGTTTTGCTACTGACTCCAAACCAGGAGTTGGTGGCGGCGAGGGCGCATTCGTTATGGTGACTTTTTGGCTAGTCGAAGCAATGATGCGTGTACGTCTTCGTATCCCTCCGAGAAACAAAACACTGACGCGGTACACAGGCCTCAAAAGCAATGCCCTATCAGGTGGACGATCCATTCTACCCTCAACTGCGTAAGACGGCGGTTGCGCACTTCGACAACATGCTCTCTTTTGCAAACCATTTGGGCATGTTTTCAGAAGAAGTGGCCATATCAGGGGAGCAGATTGGCAATACACCACAAGCCTTCAGCCATCTGGCGTGTGTTAGTGCTGCGATGAATCTTGGGGAGCAGGCCGAACGATGAACAGCCCCATTTTTATGGACGCTCACTGTCGATATTCAACTGAAGTCTCCAGCACATCTGCAACAGTCCAGGTATATGACCTCATGTACCTAGTCATTCGGCTCACAAATCTCAACCCGCGAATCCCTCAGCTGTCCACGAGCATGTAGGCACCTTCATAGTATCATTTGAATAATTAACTGGCCTATAAATAACTGGTCATACCATAGCCGGGCTCCGGACCACGAGTCTACAGTGCAGCAACTAATGTCTTTAATCCGCGGATATCATCGCCGACGCGATACTCTCCCAGAAGTTCCATCGCGCGCTCCTATACATGAAGCCTGCCATGTGTAGAATCCCGTGGACAAGCATATGCGGTGCAACCGTACCTTCTAGGCCATAAAGGATAGACATTAAAATCGCCAATATTCTATCTTCGTATCCCTCATTTTTATAAAGATTGGAGATACCATACTATACAGATTCGAAACCAAGAGTGGAAAAACCCGCAGGCATTTTCAAACGCCGTCTGTTTATACATGCGCTCCAAAGTATACCTTAAGACCATCGTAACACCCAAGAAACAAACCACCTCCCAGCCCAGCCGCGAGGCACGTCAAGGCGCCGCCCCTGAAAAGGCCCCGTATCCCTTCCTTCACTAATATACCCCTCGCGACAGCCATAGCATTAGCTGACGATACCCGTTGTGCACTCTCTGATGGAGGTGTAGCGCGAATATCCGCCTTCAAAGGCAGTCGAGAATAGGTGGGCATACCCACGGCAAGCCTCAGGCGCGTTTTCACTACATCAACCGGTACGAAGAGCATAGAAACCACAGAGCTAGCCAGCGCACCACTGTAGAAACTTCCTTTGACATGAGTGCGAACATCACTGGAACTTTGCGATACCTCAAACCACGAGGTCTTGAGATACTCATACAACAAGAATGTCATGCTTGTCCCGGGAAGATGGCTAGCAGCTAGCATCGTATACCCGGACCAGAGCTTAGTGGGATGCCTGGAAAAGTGTCTGACAGTCGATAGCAGTGGTGAACGACTATGCCCGGATTGAGCATGCACGACTTGAGCATTCTGCTTCAGCACCTCGGCGGGATTGGTGATGGCGCAGGCAACCAAATCCGCTACCGCGCTGCTAATCGCGTACGTGGCTAGCTCTCGGGTTTTTGACGATTGAGTGCCTTCGTTAGGTTGCAGCGTTGATTTCATAGTCTCGTAGATTGTAAAAAAGGCGACTGATGCGGGGATGCTGGTTATGAGTGTTGGGCCGAAGCCTTGATACAACCCTCGGTAGAGAGCTGGATTGACACCGCCATTTACATGCTGATATGTCGACGCGTATGTGGGCGATTGTAATCGAGTAATGAGCGTGTCGAGTGGGTGAGTGAGTAGCTCAACTCCTATCGCAGCTATGCCTGCTGCCTAAATGGGATTAGACGCAGTGTGATGCAATCAGTATATCTGGTACGTACAATTGAGACGTCCTTGTTACTGGCATCAGCAGACATGGTACTGATGAAGGGCGCTCATTGCCTGGTGAACGCCTGTTGTTATATTTGAGCGCCTAGCTTAAGAAATAAATGATGTCGTACAAGTCAGAAATATGGTCTTGGCATGGAACCCGATCGGCCGCGGATGGCACGAGAATGGAATCCGCGGATCCCGTTTGGAGGAATATACGAAGCTCAATATGTCAGGCACGATAAAGTACATAAAAGATAAATTCCATAATTTCAAAATCCAATATCATCGTGCCCAGCACTTATCAACACTTTCCAGCTACCTGAGCTCAATACCTCACTCCATCACGAACGAAAAGCTGCCCCATCCCCATCAGGTTTGCATGCCATTGCGTAGGTTATCATACTGCGATACCGGATAGGACAATTCATTCTGACTCTGTTCAAAGGCTCCCGCGCCTCCAAGTGCATTTACTACCTGATGGGATATTAGCATTGGACCAGCAGACAGCTCAAATGTGTACTTACCGTGGTAACCAGACTACCACTTCCGGTCTTATCGCTGCTGCTGTCCCACCACATGGCACCTCCCAATCCCAAGGACTTGATATAGCTAGACTTCATAGTCGCCACCTGAGGATTGTCATAGCTGATCAAGTACTTGTTCGTCGCGTCATAACTGTAGCTCGCCATGATATCGGGAAGGACATACTCGGTGGCGCCAGCTTGCGGGAGCGCCTTGTAGTCCCACACTCCGTTCTCCCAGCTGCCCTGGCCAACGCCGTTGTAAGGCTTGCCGAGTCCGTCGGTACTGGCGAAGGAGCGGCCATAGAGAGGCATGCCCAGGACGATTTTGTTTGCGGGGACTCCGCCGGCACGGTACAAATCGATTGCAGTCTGAGTATTGAATGGCGTGGAGAGCGGGTTAGAGGTGTCGTTGTAGACGTTCGCTTGATGACCGGTCAGAGCAGAGAAGCTACCAGCGTAGTCGTAGGCCATGAGGTTCCAGAAGTCCAGTTGCTGATCCATGTCTTTGAGGTGAAGAACATTGATCTTATCGGGACCTAATCAAATCAGATGGGTCCAAGTGATAATATCAGAGCAGTGTGTACCTACCAGCTGGAGAAGCTACAGTGAGAAGAAAGTGCTGCCCGCCCGCATTTGCAGCACTGTAACTGTCGAGTGCCTAGTGATGTTAGTGATATGCCCATCAAGAGTCACATTCATCAGCACATACAGCCCTCACTTCCTTGAGCAACGAAACAAAGTCGCTCGCTTGCTGGTCGTTTGCCGGGTACTTTGCCTGTTAGCCAGTGTCGACGTTGAAGCCATGCATCTACTCACCTCCCAATCAATGTCCAGCCCATCAAATCCCAAGTCCTGCAGCAGCTTCACAGCAGTCTTCGCGAAATTCTTCCGTCCAGCATCGGTACTAGCCGCTGGAGCAAAGTTGGGAGAATAGGTCCACCCGCCAATAGACAAGAGAACCTTGAGGTTACGGTTCTGCTTCTTCAAGAGATACAGCTGCTTGATACAGCCGTAAACATTGTTGCCCGTATCAGACCAGGAGTCACCGGGGTAATGCTTCTCAATATCGGCCCAAGAGTCAGTCATGTAGACTTCCCCGGTTTCAGGACGCACATTGGCAAAGGCGTAGAGGACATGCGTCAGCCTCTGGACAGGGAGGTCCTGAGGATTATGGTTGCGCCCGTAAATTGCCTAGGTAGTTAGTGTCAATCGGGTACTCAGTATGATATAAACATAATACTAACCCAGTTCACAAAGTAAATGACGGATTTATAACCGGAGCTAGCGCGCGCCTCCAGATCAGTATTACCGGCATCGCGGTTCCACATCACTGCTGCATCGACACAGAGACTGCCGAGCAGGAGGGCGACCTTGACGATGGTGGAAGTTGCAAAGCGCATAGTTGTTGTTCAGTCGAGCTTACCGATTTGTGAGCTTGTCGAATGCAGTCGTCTTGTTCTCCGTAAATACCATGAGACACGCATCCTATTTATCTCTGAAGCTCCTCGTCAGGCTCGTCTTCATCGCTACTTTCATAAGCGACATCTACAACACTCCGCCAATACAGCGTCGTTTTCTGGTCAAGTCCCATCGCCGCGTTGTAAGTATAGATAACCAAGGTCTGCATCATCAGTAACCCTGATGGCAACGTGTCACAAAGTGTCACAAGGTCTGGGATCCGAAATCAGATTGGAGAGATAAGGCAGTAATTCAGTGAAGAATCAAGTTCCGGTGATCCGACGGCCATAGATCTTGCAGTAATCTCGAGTCACAGGCCAGGTTTCACGTACCTGACCGTCCTCCATGCGACGTCGGCAGATGCAAGTAGACTGGGCTTATCTGCCCAATGAGAGCATCACTTTGTGCAGAAAAGGCAATGTGACTCCCCGCGTGGAGGGCCGCCAAGCCGCTTAGTCGCGTGAGGGGCCTCCTTAATCTCCAGGTCGATGTAACGACAGGAAGAATGTTCGTATTAAAGTGCATGCCCTTCTTGGTTAACATTCCGCTGTTTGAGGGGGTCAAATGGGTTTGCAGCAGCTGGAGGGAGCATGCTGCTATGCGACGTGACCGTGGCCGTTGAGTCTAAGGAGATGTCACTCTCACTTTCACTTTAAATTTCAAGGAACTGCGCAGTCGGACTTGCGACAACAGAGATTATAACTTGTTAGAGATTGGGTAATGTAACATGCCGGTGTTCTTAATATGCTCCGACCAGGGTCTTGCAGATACTGTGGGGTTTAAGTCCTTGATTCCCCGCGCGATCAAGCACAGTCCGGGGCCATGCTGCCTAACCTCTATCTTCTGGTTCAATCATTCCGATGCATATCTTTCATTTTCGGAATATTGAGGGACACCATGCCCATCTATTTTTTTTCTTGTGTGCCTTTTCCGTATAGCAGCGCCCAGTAATTTTTGTGATTGTGCTATATGGAGATTAACCTGTAGAGTGACATGCACTTGCCATGTTCTTAAGCAGCTAGTGAACCAATCTGTTACCGTGATATTTCTTCCATCATTAATACACACAGAGTACATCTCACCTCCTGTGCAACAGCGCAGATTGTCCAGCAACTATTTCTGAGCCATGTGTGTTGAGTCAAGAAGGGTAGACGTCACCCTCTGCTGAGAGCCCCTGCTGACGTGAGAACCTCTTCCGCCCCCTGACAAACCAGTAAGCAGTAGAGATGATGAAAATGACGCCAATGACCACGACACCGTAATGTGGAAAACAATTAGCCATCTGGCAGCAATCTCCTTGAGAGACGATACGCACTCATGCTTCGGCTTGTTACCGGAAGAGAAGGCGGGAATAGGAACAGGACTGTGGGGAGGAGGATGTGGGCAACGGCTACCTGTAGGAAAGTCAGTCAATCACGACGAAAAGTAGTACTTGAACCGTGGGCTTGTACAAGTTAACAGTCCAGCCGATGACCGGGCTGAGGGTCCACGGGCTCTTGGGAAGCTGGTTGCGACCGCGCAGGGAGTTGATTATGACTGGGAGGCCGTAGGAAATATCGAAGCCAAGCACGGTGGCGGAACTCAATGCGTCGAAAGCACTTGAAGTAAGTCAATGCTCCATAGGCTTGATCTGCGAGCCAGTAATCGGAAGCTCCATTTGACGAGCCGAGGCAGATGCAACCGCAGCAGAGGGACAAGAACGCAGTGAGGCCGAGAGCACTCAAGGGCGTTCCCCGAGCAGGGTGCACCTTCCTTCAGAACGGTGAGAAAGGTATTCCGGAATATCTGGCGTGAGAGTTAAGGTACGGATAATCGACTGGTACTGTGCATAAATGATTGTGGTTCTCTCACCTGCCAAGGGCGAATATCATTCGGCTGGAGGGGTGGTCATGTCACGATACCCCATCAACAAGCAGACTGTAGGGAATCTGGGCCCGTTGGGCAGGCATAAACATTAACAAGAAGATTGCTCCGGAGGTGATTATAGTATTGATGTCGTCTGACACGAACAGGACGACGATGATGAATGCAAAGCTAGTGAGGGCACCAATTCTTACGTACACAACCATGACACTAGCCTTGCATGGACGGCTTCGTGCTTTCAGCAGGATTTCGGCAGTATTTGCTTCATGGATGAGGAATGACAAAGACACCAGAGGCTTACCTGCGATCATATGGGCAACAGCGTCCTGATTCGGTCAGTAAGATGATCCGTGTCACAAAGGGTATATACATGTACAAATCTCATATGACCACAACTGCCTTGGAGTAGCTGGGCCTGTTGTTAGCTTGTCTGTTTGTTATGTGTAAGCTGGATGCCTCCTACGCCTAGCAGCCAGGCGACTTCACCTTGCCCTTTTTTAGAACCAAGTCAGCTAGCATATCTGGGTACAGGGATCCAAATGGGCCACGTGCGCCCAGTCTCATTAATTAATCGGATAAATACGAAGCTGAATTATTGTTGGATATAATTAGTTAATTCTGCTTTTGGTGAAGGGACGTACGTGGCCGAGTCGTAGTCAGGTACAGCACATGCGAGAGCTGTAATAGAAATAATGAGAAATCCACAAAGGGACCAGATCAGTAGTCCATAATTAGAGAACGACGTGTAAAGGCCTCCATTACAGTATTGCTAACTCACATGCGGTTTTGCTGAGGGCTGCGAGGATCGAGTCCCAGGCGCGTTGATTAAAACCCGGTCACGCAAAAGCCCATATAGACGAGGAATACCTGCCACCGTTGAACGTGAGATTCTGTACCCGCTAGCGTGCCTAGTATATCTATAAGGTTCTTTTCGTGTTTCTTCTCGATTGTGGAAGAGTGAGTGAGATTGGAGGAAGGGATAAATACCGGATTGGCAAGGATAGTAATGTTCATGATCAATGAACTACGCAATAATAAGGCAGTCGCAAGGAGTCATCTCTGAGGTCACGGCCTCTAATTGCAATGGAAGGTGACTCGAAATATTTGGGCTCTACATACCCAGGCTGCAACATTAAACCAGGCGGTAAACCAAGAGAGGACGTTCTTTTTATTCATCCCAGGATACTAACACACCAATGAGTCTCACAAATTCTTGGAATCAGAGAGTAGAGGTTGAACATACTGAATCGTGAGGAACAGCCAGTTAGCGAGAACTGCAATCACCACAACGAAACAATCAAACGGACGCGAGGAAATACGCGTACCCGCTACCAAATGGTACTGCCCTGCCGCACTAGATCGCCCATATCGTTCATGATGGGGCCAGATTCCCGATCCAACGCCATGGTAATTGTCCGACACCCGCAGGACGAGCACCTCGCTGGGCTTGATTCCCTTGACTTTGATCCCCCGTTTGCGAGCGACTTGCCGGCCGCATCGCCACCTTCAATCCCAGAGCCCACCTCAACCATCTTATCCGAACCGTTGACACGCATCACTGGCGAACTCGGCCCAGTCTCCTACTTTGGTAGCGATGTTGGCCAACGTGACTATGGAGCATCCTGGTGAGATTCTGGGTTGTACACCCGTTTTATGTCTGTAATACCACCGCGGGCACGCCTTATAGTGTTCATGGATGCTGTCACTGCTGTCACGAGTTCTGGATGACAATGATTCAGATTTGTGGCATTCATCATGCAGAGGAAATCTAAAATCTCTTTGGAAAAGATGGACCATGGTGCTGAGCCATGCGCATGCAACCTCCGTTGATGTGCTCCGGGTGAAGAGGGAGGCATCATCTGTCCATCCCGCCGTTTGGATGCCTGGTTCTTTCACTTTTTCCCAGAGGTTCGCGTTGTAAAAGACGTATAGGATTGGGGAAAGCGGAGATCCCTGCAGGATGCCCACATTCGCATGGTATGCGTCCGACTCTACCCCGCCCATCCTTATGGTTGTTCTGTCGCTGAGGAAGCTCCTGGTTCATCCTATCGTGTCCAAGTCCATGTGTCTTTTCCGCAGGTTATGAAGGAGTCGTTCATTGTGAGAGGTGATCTAAGGCACCCGATACACCCAGGAAAAGGCCACTAGGGATATTCAATGAGCCTATCTTTCACGATATGTATATGGGATATGTATGGCCTGTTCCCTTGAGACTTCTCTTCGTCCTCCCTGTGCTATGCTGGCAATAAGTTGTGGATCTCTACTGCATGGCTGATTTGTTTCTTGATTGACTCCATCACCTTTCCAGTGTGTTTAGAAGCGCAACTGAGCTAGAGTGCTTCACTTGCTCGTAATCACTTATCCCTGGTTTACGGAGCGTAACTGTGACGGACTCGCAGAACTGTTGGGGCAATATCGAAGTCTGAGGCAAGCATTGTACAAGTGTTGGAGGAGTTCGACTATGCGTTGGAGAGGTGATGGAACAGGTGACTTGGGATGTTATCTATCCCAAGTGCTTTCCTTCCCGGCATGTCTAGCAAAACGACCACGCAGATCATCCCACAACATATTGCGCCACTTACTGTCGCCGTGGATAACTTCATGCGACCGGAGCACGGCCAGAGCTCCCTTGCACTCCTGATCGAAGAAACTGGTATTATTTATCATTAAGTATATGCCGAAGTCGCGTTTCTGACCAGCTCAAGACCATCATCTGCACGATTATATCAGTGGTACCAACATGCAGCTTGTGGCCTAACACCAGAGACAGACAGGGATCAGTTGTTCCTGCAAACTCTTCATGTGGCAATAATTGTCTACTTCCGCAAGAAGGAGATGTTGCTTCCTCCACGGTGGTAGCCTTGATGATCACGGAGTATCCGTGTGATAGAAGAGTCGCTTTTATGAGGTAACCTGTCCGACCACGGACTCATCGTTTTCCTAACACCTTGACCGCCGATCGCGGGGCGAGAACCCACGGCTCGTGCGGCGATCACCCGTGTCGGAAAACCTCATGTGACGGCTTCCCGGACCAGCAAAATATGAAGGATCAAGGAAAACCATAATATATAGACAGTTACGAGAAACGTATATTCCTAGTGCTGTTGGAGTAACCTCTGGAGACTGATCAACTTGGTCTTACGATGGTGCATAAGGCCAGCGCGTAACCGAGTGACCAATAGCGTGGAAAGTCGGCCACTGAAATTACCCGCAAAATCGCCGGATGCCCGCGCTAGCGCCCTTAGAGCAAGGGTCCAGCAAGGGTCCACTGATTTATGCGGTCTGGAGGCGCGTTGGCCCGCTTAACAAAGATTACTGATTGGACTTCACATCTCTAGTGAGACATTCTAATCTCAAGTCAGCTTAATTTTGACTGATTACACTGATGTTTGTCATATTTAGTTCCAGCCTCGGTCCTTATTCTCTACGCCGTAGCACAGATAGAAACTCTGCTATACCTCCACCTGTTCGCCTGCGGATCCGCCCGCTGTGGCCTCGGCCAGCTTCATCTGATGTCACCCAATCTTTTTTGATGCCACCCCCAACCTCTCCTGCCGATGAGCTCCTAGCTTTTCGTGCGGCTCTTGTTCCTAGAGAGAAATGGACTGTGATTTAGTCTCGTCGTCCGAATCCTCCTGATACCGACGCACCTACGCCGCCCTCAACCATGAATCGAATATTGCGTCGCCTCCATCTCCGGCCGGCCCCATATCCCTCCTCTCGACGAATGCGCTACATCGCCCTCGCCATATTTCTGCTCATAACCTTGACTTTTTTCCTACCGCTGCACACAAAACAAGACCTAATCGCGAATGGCTCATCGTCACCATCTAGATTTCGCATACAATTCGCCTTCCAGGGCGAAAGCCGTTCCGCTAAACGCATTCGACAACACCGCCAGCAGCAGGTGCGTCAAGCATTCCTGCGCGCCTGGAAAGGATATAAGAAATATGCATGGCTACATGACGAGGTGACTCCGCTTTCAGGTGGACACCGAGACCCCTATGCGGGATGGGCCGCGACATTGGTAGACGGGCTGGACTCGCTTTATATCATGGGGCTGCAAGACGAGTTCGACAGTGCGCTGGAAGCACTAAAGTCAATAAATTTTTCAAGGCCTAATGCCGACCGTGTGCCGGTATTCGAGACCACAATCCGATATCTCGGTGGCTTGTTAGGGGCATATGATGTGAGTGGTGGTAAGTACCCACTGCTTCTTCAGAAAGCCGATCAGCTGGGAGAATTCCTATTTCAAGCGTTTGACACGCCCAATGGAATCCCAGCGCCTTATTACTGGTGGCAAAGAGGAAATCAGGGATTGGAAGGGGAGGGTGGAGTTCTGGTAGCACAGATAGGTGAGAACGGGCGGGGTCAGAGCCTCAATGGAGGTGAGAAATACTGATACCCATATAGGGTCTCTATCGCTCGAATTCACACGCCTAGCGCAGCTCACAGGGAAACGAAAGTACTTTGATGGGATTTCCAGGATTACAGATCATCTAGATCATGCGCAAAACAACACCCTTATTCCAGGTCTCTGGCCTTCCCAAGTCGACACGAGAGGTCCCTCTTTCGACAGTTCAGCCTTCACTTTGGGAGCTTGGGCAGACTCGTTGTACGAGTATTTACCAAAGGTAAATGCCATTTTATGGCCTTCCTAGAGGCGCTTCCTCATTAGATATTCATGACTTACACAGAATAGGAACATCTTTTACTTAACGGCAAAACGGATCAATACCTACAGATGTACCGGGCCGCCCTTGATAGTGCTGTAAAATATCACTTTTTCCGTCCCAAAACCCCCGGTGATCAGGATATTCTCTTCCCGGGCTCGCTGGAAGCTAGAGGCAATGGACAACCCGCTCTGCGGACGGAAGTCCAGCATCTGGCCTGCTTTGTAGGTGGCATGGTGGGCCTGGGTGCCCGGCTCAATGATTCACCTGAGGAACTCGCCATCGCAATCAAACTCACCGAAGGCTGCGTCTGGGCTTACCAAAACACGGCGAGCGGGATCATGCCCGAGGTCTTTTACATCGATGACTGTCCCTCCGATGGTTCGTGTGAATGGACGGATGAGGGCCACGTCGAACCGGGACATGAATACGGCTTCACGCGAATCTTAGACCCGAGCTACCAGCTGCGCCCTGAGGCAATCGAGTCGGTCTTTATTATGTATCGTCTTACGGGCAACCCCATCTGGCAAGAGAAAGGTTGGAACATGTTCCAGGCAATCATGAAGCATACCATGACACCGATTGCGAATGCACGCATCAGCGATGTTACAGGTGCGAAACCGAAGCAGGATGACTCTATGGAAAGCTTTTGGTTAGCGGAGACGTTGAAATACTTTTATCTGTTATTCAGCGAGCCTGATCTTGTTAGTTTGGATAATTTTGTCCTGTAAGAATCCCCCTCCTACTCTTTCCCCTTTTCATTTACACTATGGGCCGATTAAGTATGCTTACACAGATATTCTAGCAACACCGAGGCACATCCATTCCGTTTAAGAGATCACTTGTTTGAGTAATAAGAAGAGCTAAACGCCTTTTGCTCATTTCTTATTTGTCACATATATACTCTGACATGCCATCGCTTAGGGCTTGGACCCTCTGTCACGAAGGAGACTATCCCAGGACCCAGCAATGCCATGCTCAAGGGCATAACTCCAGAGCAACAAGCAGGCCTTCATATCAATGAATATCCTGGCAATTTGTCTCTTCCGAAGCTGAGCGGTGAGCCAGTGCCTCTGCTGTGACCAAGACCCATCTTCTGACGACAAGGATCCTCTGGAGCCTTGTGAGTGAGGGTGGACTTCAAACACTGAACATTGACAAATGCCTCCAGACGGTGAAAAGTTACGTCGAAACACGCTCTAAAGATATTATTGAATTCCATAGTGGTAGAGGCACCCCCATTACTATTGATGTAGTTCTTTATATTATCAAGTAGGAGGCGGGACATATATCGTTCTTATTTCCTTACCTAAAGCAGATCAACCACTGATACTATCTTTTCCTATTAGTTTCTCCTATGTACCGAGCCACTACGTATCCTCAATCTCTATAGCACTTTCGGCCCCAATGCCAAGCCCTGTGATCCAGGCAGTGCAGCCACCACGGGACGCCCACGCTAAAGCCGTTAGAGACGCTAAAACCGGCGCTTAAAGGGGCTCAACCACCAGTTCATCTGCAATTTCCACGGTACCTGATCCAGAGGGAAATAAGAGAACAACAAACAAAATGCTTTGTTTCACCGATCTGCCTCCAGAAATCCATCATCGGATAATCTGCCACCTGGAGTCGAACCGCGATGTGGCCGCTCTCTCTTCACAATGCAAAGCTCTACGTTCTCTCTGCGACATGTCCAATCGGAAGAAATACCGTCGTGTGCGCATCACCCCGAGTATTGCTGATCTTGATCGCGCGTTCAAGATGCTCATGGACATTTTGAGAAAGCCCAGTTTGGGTCGCTATGTGCGCCATATTGAATATAGGCAGACTGTTTCGCGGTATCGCCTTTATGATGTGAAGCCTTATGAGCCGAAACTAAGTGAGGCGGATATGCGGCTGCTGCGAAATGCCACGCAGAGGGCAGGATTTACGGGACCTCTAGGAGAGCGTGTACTGAATATGTTGCTGCGGGAATCGGTGGTGGGGGTTCCTCTTTACGGCACGTTTAGGTGAGATGAAAACATTGCTCTATGGCGATCCCTGCATTAATGTATGAGCAGTGACACCCGTGCACCCGCGACCTACGTCACGCAAGCGTTGACGGCCCTACTCGTCTCGGTGTCACCCAACCTCGAGTCAATGGCGATGATGCCGACTTTTTACACCGACTTTAACGAGGAAACGGAAGATTCTTTTATGCACTCCGAGTGCGCCCTGGACCTGCTACTCAAGGAGACAAATGAAAACCCTGTTGACAAGCCGTACCTGCAGAATCTTCGCAGAGTGTACATGATCAACCTGGGGGACGACTCTTTTGACGACGGGCGGGTGTATGTGGCCATGGACTTCATCGGATGCTTAGCCATTCTCCGCAATCTTCCGTCCCTTGAATGGATCGGTACTGATGCTCTGACGGAGGATGACAACGTGATGCCGGCACTCGGACCCAAATCTTCCAATGTGTCTCGCATTGCGATCCATCACTCAGCTGTAGCTACAAGCTATCTGACGCCTGTCATCCGGTCGTGCAGAGCCTTAAAGGAATTCGAGTATTCAATCGGTGGCAGGGGTTCGGTCAATGGTACACACCCGACCTTCAACCCGAAAACGTTTGTTCTGTGCGTCCTGGAGCACAAAACCACGCTAGAAAAATTAGATGTCGACGTCGAAGCACATATATGTAGCACCGTCTATCGTGGTCCAGGGGACTTTGAATTCGACGAGGAAGATGGCCGAGCCGAGGCACAAGCCTACTGGATTGAATCACCCCCAAACTCATTCTGGGACCAGCGGGGGTGTCTCAAAGACTTTGAGGCCCTGAAAAGCCTCAGTATTGGGGTAAATTTTCTGTTGTACTTTGCCTCGGGAGTGAACAACGAGAATGACGACAAGATCGTGTCTTTGGTGGAGTATCTGCCGCCAAATCTGGAGTACCTGTGCATCCGGGGATACGAGAAGGGCAAAAGGAAGCGTAATGACGATCAGATGGATGCCCTCAAGGCGCTGTTGGAGTCAGGTTCAACTTCGCTGAAGGAGCTACATGGTGTCGACGAATGTATTCCCGACGCAAAGGACATCGACTTCCCAGATAGATATCCGGACCTGTTGTGGAAGCTCTCCGATGAATGGTCGGACGAGGAGGAATAGCGATTATGAAGAGTGAAAATCCACAGATACCCTACGCATTTGACTACGCTGTCTTCCCACGATCAAAGCTGGTTTTCTGGTGTCCAGCATTGTTGGCAGGTATCAGGCGGCCGTATTTGTATCAGAGCCGGCTGATGCTCCTATAGCTTCAATGATATAGTCAGGTTCAAGATATGGCCGGCCACCCCTTCTGCTCTCCGCGGTGCGTATTGCTTAGTATCCAATACAAGTATACTCTTGAGCGCAAAGGAGTACATTCCTAAAATCAATCGTACAGCAGAAAAACATTTACATATTTATATAGACACAAACAGAACACAATGGAACGAGATTATAACAACATCAAAGGCTTTTCAGTTCGTGTACACTTTCTCGGAAACGAAAGGAAACAAGTGCGAACATCGCTTTTTTGGAACATTTTAAAGGAGACAAAAAAATCCAGAGGATGGAAGGAATTCCTCTCTCCACTGCTAGAATATAGGATCGAAGATCAGTGGTAAGGTATCACCGGGACTTATACGGCATCGCTTCCCACTGGCTCTTATTCGTTGGATAAGGGACGGACAGAATAGTCATTGATCAAAGGCTCGCTCTCGGAGTGATCAGTGTTAGAGATCTGGAAAATGGTTTGCGAATGAATTAGCGAAAGCTTGTTTGACTTGTATTAGAGGACCTCGCTCCACTGACAAGTATGATTTGAGCCTGTATTTGTAACGCAGCTGTCCGGGACTCCTGTCTTAATGATGTCCCATATGGGCGCTCAGGATTAGATGACGGGGGCCGGTGGCCTGGATTATGGGACCCACGAATTCCCATGATCCCGACCGATGGTCGACTCTGGGGCACAATGTCCATCTGGTGTTCTTCGGGACTATCCGAGCGGTTGTGATCTGATAGTAGGAACCAAGAGGTCAGAAACCTAGGTACTATGTAGAATTTTGGACCCCTGCGCTGCCACGTAGACATGAATGGACGGGGTTTGAAGCGTTGGATACCACAGAACATGATCACGCGTACCAGACAGTGGAAATTCTGCTCCTTCGGCTCGGTTCATCAACAGACAGAACGTGTTGCGACGACGGAGGATAAATCGTACACCCGGAACACAAGCGATCAAAAGAGCTATCAAAGCTATGATTGCCTCTGCCGACAATGTCATTGCATAAGGAGATCCGAAGCTTGTTTAAGAGGACTCTTGTGGGAAATCGATGGGACAAAAATCGGTTGAGCAGAAGGGAGTATTGCTCATGGAAACGCCATTTTTATATGCTTCTTGTCTTGGCTTAGCGGGGGACAACTTCCTTAAAATTGTGGGATTCTTGGTAGAATTGATGGGTAGGTTTGATGGGTAGACTTGATGGTAGAATTCTACCAAGATGCAGGGATTATCTCAGACAGTTTATTACAGTGGATAATTCCAGCACATCCCTGTATCTTAGTAGAAGTTTTAGTAGAATTCTACCAAACATCCCTGCATCTTGGTAGAATTTATATGTAGATTCTACCTGCACATCCATTCATCTTGATAGAATTTATTTGTAGATTCTATCCGCACGCCCCTGTATCTTGGCCAAAAATTCTACCAAGACATCCCTGCATCTTGGTAGAATTATTTGTAGATTCTACCTAGGGACTATCCACCCTAATAAACTATCCTCTAACACAAAGCCCACCTTTGCACAGGACCTTAGATTTCTAGACTGTGTCAATTGTAATCCTGCGTCGATGCTCCCATCCAACAGAAGGGCCTGGCGACAAGAATTCAATATTTGGTAGATTATTATATGCACAGTTCCTGGCATCCTTAACGGTAATCACATTCTTCTGGCTTATAATTGTATCTCTCTCCTCGTAGAATTTTGCCATATTCTCCGATACCATGCATCGAAAATAAATATTGTGATGTTGCTGCCATTGCACCTGAGTAACACTTAGGCTCCCCCTATTAGAACAGACATGAACAACTTATCAACGTGGATTTGTTTTACCCGAAGCTGACCACGTATAGTTTCTCAGCCTCCTGGTAAGTTTTGGTGTAGTTACAGCCGCTGGTGGTTACGAGCAGAAGAATGGTTTTAATATTTATGGCTGGCAAGAGCAGGTGGATGATAGATTTCCCATCTGTACCTAGTGACAGTCAACAACCACTTCTTATTCGCTTTCATTAAAGAACTACACCGCCATAATTTATATTAGTAACTTGTAGACTAAGGGACGCATCATTGGGGCACCTTTAGCTAGTGATATTAGATTTATATACAACCATCGTGACTGCTGACATCTGATACCTGTCATCCTAGTCCGTCGGACCAGAACAACAGGGGTATTCAGCCATGAAGACCCCTTTATCCGAAGCTCCTTGGAACTGTCGCAAGGACGGACGAAACTAATAGTGACTCCCCTAGGCTGTTTTCTATCGAAAGCCTCAAACGCTCAGGTCAAGCGGCTAGCTCAGGGCCCAGGCTAACTGTTAGACATGTTTTCTGACGTGGAAGGGAGGCGGCATCTCTGCTATCGGGCTCTGAAACTCAAAGTTTAAGGAGGAGTAGGTTCCTAGAATTTGGTAGGAGAGAGTGGCCCGCAGAATCTAGGACCGAGTAACCTAACAGATTTCTAGGACTCGCGTGGTCCTAGATTTCGGCGTCAGACGATTTCTGCACGATGGCCAAATTTTGCAAGGATATGTCTGTTAGTGGACGAATAATAATTCTGCGGTTACGCCAGCGGCAGTGCTAGTAGTCTTACTTTTGCATATGCATAAGGCGTCTCGTCTCATTCCCGAGGTAGTTCACGATAACCTCCCCAAAAGATGGCTTAACCTTGTTGACGGCCATGGTAATGCCCAAGTCGGCTATGATTCTCGGACGTACCTGTCTGCGCGTTGATAACTTAGTGCTTGACAATGTAGCATATATATTAGTATATCACCAAGAATAATATATTCAACAGTGACAGCAAATTAGAGGCCGCTTTGATGTGGCTTCATGCGCTTTGCTATCCTATTCTTTGTTAGCATTTCTCCAAACATATTGACAATGTCGAGCCATTCTACAGCTTGTGCCTCTCCCTTTTATATGGTGTCATCCAGACAAGAGTGAAGGTATAATATTTCTTCTTTGCATAAAAACCAGCTATATGAATCGAAATGCAAGCCGAAGGCCTAAGTCTCAGAAACCAGGTACACCAGCTTCCGAGCCCTAACAGACCGATTCTTCAAATCCTTCAGGCCATCCAGAACCTTCCGCAGTCCCCCGTCACGCTTTTCAACGACCAGTGTCCGGATCTTTCCCTGAGACCAGAGGGTGCTCACGATCCCTGCCCATTTCTTGGCAAACTCGAACTCTGCCGGTATGCTGGGAATTACTGTGCGGTCAGGACCATACTCAAACGGTTCACCAATCGCGGTACAACTATTCGAGAAAGTGGCCTCCAAGTCCGGGCGCGCAGTTTGCACTGGGAGCAAGGAATGATACAGGCCTCCTGCGTCACGGATAGCGGCTTCGCAAATCTGCAAAGACTCCTGAGTTGCCACAGCATCGCAGACGACTCTGAGGGTATTGTTGGTGTGCTCGCGGATCTTTCGGGCACACATAGGGTCGCGATAATCGAAGACTACATCTGCTCCGTATTGGCGAACCAGATCGAAGTTGCTCGGCGAACATGTTGTGAGGACTGTGTACCCGGCCCTATTCAACAGTTAGTGGCATGTCATTAGGACTCAAAAGCAAATGGACATACAGTTTAGCAAACTGGATAATCCAGCTTCCCGCGGATGTGGCTCCTCCATATACTAGAATCGGTTCTCGCTTCCCAACATGACTTTCATTCTCTGGCCATTGCAGTTTGAGACAAGATGGTCCGAACAGACACTGTCCAGCTGTAATTACTCCCACTCCTACAGTGGCCGCATCCTCAAAGCTGACGCCGTCTGGGATCTTCACCTGAATCGCCGCCTTTGCCACAATATATTCTGCAAAGGTACCGCTCTCGGGGCGGGTATTGTCTGCTCCCTTGACAAGCCCACACACGCGGTCACCAGCCTTGAACAGCTCACGGACGGAGTCTCCAACTGCCACAACAATTCCTGCATAATCATGCCCCATGATTGCATGGGGTGACGGGGTGCTCTCCAGGAGCATCCAGTCGATTGGATTCAAGGCCACGGCGACGGTGCGCACGAGGATGTCATCGTCGCGGAGGGATGGGATGGGCCAGTTGGTGATGAAGTCGGCATTACCCAATGACCGGGTGATGACGGCTGCCTGGGAGGATTGCATGGGGGGAAATAGCTTATTGATCAAACACATCTCTGATTTTCTGGCCATGCAATTCAACGTGTAATACACGTCTTTATATACTTTCAGGCGTGCCTTTTTGTGTATAGAGTAGTTTTGGATTACTCATTTGGATCATCTGTATTGTGTTCCCAACCGTCATTATGGTAACTCTCTGTGACTGGCACATGAACTGGCACATAATGCGCCGCAATAACGGCCAACAGATCCACTCTTTCCCGCAATTGCTTATCATAATCATCCGACAAAAGGCTCAGACTGACTATTTTCTCCGCAAAGGTTGGAGATAGGGATCCACTATTTGCCGCACTGCTTATGAACTTACTAGGGTTCCATGGAGCCTGATATCGGGCTGGAGTAAATGTGAGGATCGAGTCCAGTCATAACTAGTCCGAGGGCAAGATCTAGAATTGAATATAGGAGAATATTTATGAAAGAATGCTAAGTATGCCCGAAATCATCAAAGGTCCCAACCAGCTCTTTTGGTGTTCTTTCTTGTACAGAGCCTAGCCCTTTACACGCAACCAGCAACAGGTGCCTGAACTCATCCACTTGCACAAGTCCTCCTTGTTCCCACTCACTCACAAATTCATCATACGAAATGACTCCAGCGACTGATTGCGGGGAGCTTTGCTCCCTTTCATAGATGAATTCCTCCCAGCAAAGCTCCGCGTATGATTTTGTCGAGACCGGTAGCCCCGCCAGATATTTGATATAATCGCATCTCTGGAACTGGATCACGGAGTGAACAGCGCGCACCAGATACGAAATCATAATGAGTCGACGAGCACTTTCGCAGAGCACCCAGTCATTTAAATGACTTTCAGAAAAATGAGAGTTTAATTGTGCCTTGTCTCGGGTCGCCTGCCGACTTGCTAGTTCCGTCCGCTCTAGGTCGGCAGTCCCCTGCGCCAACATACGGTGTAGATGTCGAAGGAGCGGCTTGTCGTTAAGGCCACCAGCCAGAAATAGGATATAGTAGAGAACCAAGACTTGAATACGATCCAATTGGCCTTGCAAGTCAGTGCGAGTTGGGGTACTTAAGCTCATGTTATTGACGGCTGCGTTCAGGAGTTGGTGGTAGAAGGGCTTTTTTGCCTGCTTGCATGCTCGATATGCTGCGCATACCCCATACGCTTCACGCAGAAGAGGCGGAAGATCTGATGTGCGATCGAGCAGCGGCCCGAGAAATGGCATTGCACCAGTATCCAAAAAATGGTCAACGTAGCTGAGAAACGTCCTCAGGCAAAATCCCCAGGTTTCACTGTCATGAACGCGGGGCCAAAATTCCAAGACTCGACGTTCGAGTCTCGGTAATGCTGAAGCAGAACCATCTGCTGAGCTGGGAATGGAAAGGCAGGCTGACGACCCTTGAGGAAAGACCCAAGCTTGACTGGAAGTCGTGGGGCCCACTGGGAACCACACCGGGTTAAGAATGTCATCTGTTTGGTTGGCGATCATGGATTGTCCTATCCAGTTCTCCACCGAGGCGAGTTCACGGCTGTCCGAGGCAGTCGGACCTATCTCAAATCTGGACTCTATAGGCCCATCGAGTGCTGGAGTTTGATCCCCCTTAGATTGCGGAGGCGGATACGGATAATGACATGCAATAGATTTCTTGCGACAGCGAGAGCAACTGGGCACCTCATGGTCACACCGACGCTTGGCAGCCACGCATGCTCGACAAGAAGTTTTGCGGAGTGACATTGCGACTTCTACAGCTGGACCGGACCTGAATGGAGACTCCGAACATTCTGAAGTTTTGATCGGGGACGCTGACCTTCAAGCTTATGTGTCATGGCGGACAAAAGTGGACCAGCGGAGTAAGGTGGGGCTTTGCGTGCAGCCAATCACCATAGCGGGAGTGGTGATAATGTTGTGCCATCCATGCCAACATCCTGTTACTATACAGCTAGTGCTGACAAATGCAGAAGGTCTCTATGACACCTTGTTGCGCAATGTTCTTCCATTGAGCTAAGCAATTATGAAGTCAAGTCAAGTCAGGGCTCAGGGTGTTATAAGTCTATTATACGGATGTAGCAGAGGAAGTACTGCTGGATGCTTCACAGTATCCTTTAAATCCACGGCATTGTCTACAACAGCAGGAATATTAAATTGGATGATAAGCAGGGCAAAGACACTGCCAAATACAAAAGACAGGACCTCAGGAAATTATAACAGAATAGTGGATACAGAATCAACGACCACTTGCAAACCTTTCTACAGGGTAACGACAATCTTCTTCGCACTCACCCCGTTCTTCTGAACTTCCAGCGCGTGTTGAAGCTGGTCCAGTCCATTCCCAACAACTTCGGGTTCAGGCACCGGCACGAAGCTGCGGTTCTCCAGGGCCTCGCTCAGGAAGCGCCACACTGCCTTGCCAATACCATTGGTGAGCATGGGTTCGATGACGACCATTTTGTACCTGATTCCCCTGGTGCGGCTCTTGATGGCGTACGAAATCAACGACGACAATAAATACAAGATTGTATACGGCGTTCCGAAGAACCTCGGCGGCTTTTGCGGAACAGGGTAGCTGGCCATTGCGATGAATTTATTCCCTTCTTCGCACTTGTCGAGAATATCAAACAAGGCGTTAGCAGCCGTCACACCGATAGCGACTGCTCCAGCCGTCGTTTTACCCTTCATAGCGGCAACGATATCGCGGATGACGGTTGGGCTGTTGTAATCGAACACCCGCGATGCGCCCATCCTTCCCAGCAGCTGGAAATTTCGAGGTGAACAGGTGGTAAATACCTCGTACCCAGCCGCAACAGCCAACTGAACAGCGTTCAGACCCACACTAGTCGATCCTCCCCAGATAATCACCGTTCCACCATTAACTTTCGGCTTGAGGGGCTGAGGGAGGGGTAGATGTAGCTGCTCGTCGTGGAACAGACTGGTTGCTGCCGTCATAAACCCCAGGGGCAGTACCACTGCCGTTTCGTAAGGTATACCATTGGGGATCTTGGAGACAGTGTCCTCAGGCAGAACAGTGTAACGTTGAAATGCACTTTGCGCTTGGTCGCTGACAGACTTGCTGATTCCAGGGGCGTAGCCAACGACACGGTCGCCGACCGCAAATTGATTCGCGTTCGTACCGATCTCGACAACCTCACCGGCGACATCGCAGCCCAAGGTAAACGGGTATTGGGCGTGCGACACGACCATTCGACCACGGTCTTGAATTATCCAGTCAAAAGGGTTCACTGCCAAGGCGGCGTTCTTGACGACGATTTGGTTCGCCTTTGGCTTGGTGTATGGCGCAGACATTACCTGAAGGGGCTGTCCGGCCTTTGCGAGCTTGGCCGCTTGGTTGGTGGGAGCCATGGAGAGCGCTTCCTAATCTTTCCTGAAGGAATGTATAAGAGTGACTATTGGTGGATGGTGTGATGTGCAGGGATCCCAATATTCGATCTTGGAGCTTATGAACCAAGCTTGAGCTTTGAGGGATCGTAGAGTTGTCTTATGTAAATGCGATGGCCGTCATTATATATTGTTGGAGATTCTCAGTGCATGAGCATTTGGGCTTCTTCGGTGTTAAGTTTCAAAGACAACAACCATCTGCCCTCACCCTCCGCTCGCAGTTCATCGTGCCAGTCCTTCTTTTCATTCAATCTCATAGTCGCATGGAAATATCAATGCGTGGCACAGGGCTGACAAACAAATGGAGAGGAAGCCCAATAGGGAATGGCGCTGACGGAGAGTCGGACGGTCGGATGGTCGCAGCAAGACAGCCTATTATTATCCTATCAATGCGGCGATAACCCCGTCTCTTGAATCGTTATCTCCAGCCCTCATCGTTAGGACCGAAAATAACTTTCTCGACAACTGCTGGTCGAAAGGAGCTTTCAGAGAAAATACTATTCCGCGTGTATCAGACTGATGGCATCGAGGCCTCCCCCACCTCTCAACCGGCGGAGAGATAAGCCGCAACTGTCGTGCACTCTCTGCAAAAGAAGAAAGTAAGCATATCATCTTATCACCATTTGCAAATTCATGCGCTGAATGACAAGATTGAAATGCGATCGCGGTCTACCCTGCGCGACATGCGCCGCTCGCTGCCTGTCGTTGTCCTGCACATATCCAGCCTCAGCTCCGCTACAGAGTGGGAAAAGAGTTATTCAGCCGTCGTCGACGGCAATGCATGACAGAGTCGAACAGATAGAGAAGTTAGTTCTGTCGTTGAGGGATCGCGAGGGCAACAGTCGCACACAGCAGCCATCTCTTGTCGCTCAAGCTATTCATTCCGCGGATGCCTCGCAGCTGCCGACGAGCTTTGGCAGGATCAGCCTAGAAAATGAAGAGACTAACTACGTTGAAGGTTCACACTGGACGGCCATTCTGGAGGGAGTCAGTATTTTCTCATCTGTCGCAGAAACGCAGGAACAACTAAGAGACGTCAATAGATTGCCGAGCTGAAGGATTTCTTCGACGACGCTGAAGTGCCCCAGACGGATGAATCAAGTACCAGTCGTCTGGGCACAGACTGGAACTTTCAGTCGCGCAGACCTGCACTTATCTTCGGAGATGCTCAGCATCTCGATAGAGACGAAATTCTGGCATCGCTCCCACCAAGGCCAGAGGTGGATCGACTCTTAGCCAGCTACTTCAACTCGAAAAATATCAATTCGCGTAGGTAGTGCCATCAACGTGGTTATTACTTCTACCAAACTAACACATTTAGTTACCATTCATGGTCCGACGTTCCTAGAGGAGGTATGAGAACTCAGAATGCCCAGATAGGTAACTTCTGACGGGAAACTAGTATGATACATTTTGGGAATGTCCAGCAAAGGCCTCTACCATGTGGATTGGTCTGCTGTTCTCCATGATATGCTTGGCAGCGATGCATCAGCAGCTCGAAAGACCAGCATCTGATCAGCCGGCATCGCTCGCGCAAGATTTCCAGGAATTACATGGGATGCAGGTGTACCGTGACCGTGTTGCGCAGTGTCTTGCTCTAGCCGACTACACCAAGTGTATGCCATACACTATTGAGACGCTCTTACATTACTTGGCGATTGAATACCTCAATGTCACGGACAGCCCGACCAGCGTTTGGATCTTGCTCGGCATCACTGTGCAGATAGCGTCTCGTATGGGCTATCATCGCGATGGATCCTATTCTTCACACTTGTCGCCATTCCAGGCCGAGATGCGACGCCGAGCGTGGGCAATCATCTTACAATTGGACTCGGCAGCGGCCGGACAATATGGCCTTCCACGAATGATCAACACGTCCAAGGTAGATACTGCCGAACCGCGAGATCTCAGTGACGACGCCCTTAGCCCCGGAATGACAGGATTGCCTCCGGCTCGAACTGACCCCGGGCCGAGCTCTATTCAATTCCTAGTCATGAAAAACCGACTAATGTCAACCTTCAACCTCATCATCGATCTTATAAGCTCTCCGAAGCAAGTCGTATCCTACGAGGAAGTCATGAAACTGGATCAGATCTTAAACGACCAAATCACATCCATGCCGGCCGCGCTACAAATGCGATCGATGAGTCGACAGCTCACGGATCCCTCGGATGTGATTCTGAATAGAGTGTTTCTCGCTTTGTCCTTCTACAAGTCACGCTGTATACTGCACCGAGAGTACATGCTGGCAGGCCGGTCAGATACTCGGTATTTATATTCTCGCAGGTCATGTATCAACGCTGCCTTGGAGATTCTGCAGATTCAAGTCACTGTACACGAAGAATCCCAGCCCGGGCGTCGTCTCTATCCTCACCGATGGATATCTTGCGCCTTGGTCAAGCATATATTTCTCCTTGCAACCACCATTCTCAGTGTCGACCTTGACTACAGCCTCCGGGACCGAAATGGAAACAGTGAAATCGGGGACGAGTTTACAGACCGCATCATTCAATCATTGACAAACTCCTATTTCATTTGGAGGCAGTCAAGCGACAAGTCCCGAGAAAGCCAGAAGGTGACCGAGATGCTGCGGATAGTGCTTGGGAAAGCACGCACGAAGGACGAACAGTCCACGGAGGCATCTAGCAATGATTCTGCTTTGTTTTTGACGGGTCCGTATATACTTCCCCTCGCGTTTGAACCATTCCATACAATACCGGCTAACTGGCAGGCAGATCCTTCACCTCTACCATATGACCAATCCTCCTGCACAACGTTTTCAACAGGCCCTCTGCCGTTCGCGAGCGGTCCGCCTTTCTCAAATCAGCAGCCTCAAAGTACGGGTGTTGCCGATCACTTGGACAAGGTGGGTGATCATTCTTTGAAACGGCGATTACCGCTCTTCCGTCCGGAAATTCTGACACACTCTGTATAGGACGTATGGCTAAATTATGATTGGACTGGGGCAAGTGTTATGGATGATATTATCCAGCAGTCCGAAGATTGGACTGGGTTCCATGTGCCTTAATGTGCCATTCTCCTGAATATCGCCCTTGTCTGTAACAACGTTTGGGGCCAATTGAAGCTTTGATTGAGATATAAGTACTTCATATGAATGAATGAAACAACTATCAAGACCAATCGCCTTCGTCAATGACAGGTTTGTGTCTGTCCGAGGCGTCCATAAGCTCCTGGACAGTCCATGGCTCATATTTGTAGCCCGGTGGGATATTGGTGTTCTGGAATGCCTTCCCTGCAAGGATATGCTGAGCGCAACTGTCGTAGTTGTCATAAGCATACTGCTCTGGGTTGTGACGCATAATCCAGTCTGCCGTAGTCTTGCTGAGAATATCCGGATTCCTGGCAACCTCGTCCCAGTCTGTGTTGTGGAACTTTTCTCGGTGGTGAAAGCCCATTTTCTGGGCGCACGAGACACGCTCAAACCTGCGTAGCATAAGTATACTGCCTTCTAATTTGGACCCAAATTAGTACTTGCCTTAGATGGTTATGGACCCTTACAGCCAAGGGAGCATTGGACTTCCCGCCTAACTGAAGGCAAGTCGCCAGAGAGTATGCATCCTCCATGGCCATTGCTGCTCCACTCCCTGAAGTAGGCAAGAATGAATGCGCAGCGTCGCCAAGCTGGATAACACGAGCATTAGGTGAAGCCCATCTGGGTTGCGGGTTACGCCACAACAACTTCCAGTCGGTGCAACGGTGACCGGGTGTTGCCTTGACAAGCTCCGTTAAGAAGGGTTCCCAACCGGCGATGTACTGCAGAGCAGTATCCGTAGACACAGTCTTGTCCCAATTCTCCTCGGCATTGTGGTCGTCCTGCAGGGTCGAAATCGATCAGTCGGTCCTTTCCAGACAACAGATTATCAAACATACCCTATGCGTCAATATATAGCAGATCTGCCTTTCTGTTTTTCCGACTACCATATGTGCCCCAGGGCCTATGTGCACCGAAGCGCGATCCACATGGCCCTCGAACTCCTTCGCAATGATCGGGTTCTCCAGGGCTGGACCTGCCGGGAAAGTTGCCCTATAGCAGGCAAAGCCAGAGCTGGTGGGCTTGTCCTTTTGCCCCAGCACCAATGGCCATGACTTTGATCCAACACCATCAGCCGCAACGACGATATCCGCCGTGAGCCTCTGTCCATCGGCCAAAGCCACGCCTCCATGTGTGTCGGTTTCGAAGTATTCATCCACCTCTTTGTCGAAGTCCACTTTGATACCCAGTTCCTGCACATAGTCCCAAAGCAGGCCATGAAGCTCGGAGCGATTAAGTGCCGCAGATCGATTCACCCCATCACCAATAGGCCAGCTCCCAATCCAAGTTCCGTCGTACTTTTTCACGTTTCGCTGGGTTTTGTAAGATATTGCCTCCAGTCTCTCGAAGAAACCAGGCCACTTCTTGACGGTATGAAGAGCATTGCATTCTATCAGGAGTAGATCCCCTGTCAAGAAGAGCCGTTAGATAAGGAAGTATAGTGTATGCATGGGATGCTAACTTACCGTAGCCCTCAAAGTTGGGCCGTTTCTCAAGCACCCGGATCTCATGACCCTTGCGATATGCCTCAATCGCAAAAGTCAGACCACCGATTCCACCGCCCACTATAAGAATAGAGAGCCCGCTGGGGGGATAGCGGTCCATGATAGTAGATTCAGGCAGACTTCCCATGATTGATTTCTTCCAGGATTCGAGGATTCTTGGATTGGGTTGATGGTACGAATGACCTGGAAAGACGTTCGCCGCCCTTTTATACCCCGACGGAGTGAGAATGCGTTGATCCCATTACTTCAGCTTCACTTACTTCGGAGGGCAGCGGATGAGAAGAGAAACAGCTTCTTCTATTTCATCTTGCGGTCTAGTACATCACCCCACTAGTGTTCCAAGCTGATTCCTAAGTGGATCAATTCGAGTCAAGTGCATAATCACCTCGACTATGCGGCTAGTTCTGGAACGCACATGGTAGATCTGCAGAGTAATAGCTGCTAGACGGAATTGTAATGCAAGCTCTGATCTGTTGGCATCCTTGGGGTGCTGAGATATCTTCCCGACTGCAGAAGAAATCCACACGCTCAAATGCAATTAATATATATAGACTTTATGCTTTCAAACCCACGTTGACCAAATAAGCTTATACATCCCATCTTGCAGAGTGCTACTGGAATACTGGTTCATTCCATAGAGGCGGTCCTATATCGTAATAGAATGGTCCATCAGAGGACTTCCAGCATAACATTCATGGCTTTTATGAAAATGTTAACCCATCACATCATGACCATTGCTTATGAATCACTTTGTCATATCTCCATGTATTCTTGCCAGCAAGCACCCTGGAGTTTTCCCGATGTGGAACTTACCCGTTTGACCCACAACCAGCTAGTTTCGATGGTGACCCTATGCAACTGCAGCCCGGAACACGCATGTTTCTAGTCCGCCTCCTCCGCTGAATAAGCCGCTATGCGTTTTATGCAGCTAATAATACCCAGGGTCCTTCGGGGTAACTGCGAGAAAAGAACATGCATATTTGTCTGGCTCTTCCGCTGAATAAGCCGTAGCCTCGTGGGCTACAGGCCCACGTGTAGTTAACAATAGCCAGGGCACCCCAGATTCTAGAACATGTTCTACTGTATTGGTAGGTCTCACTAGGTAGGTCACTGCTCAAGATGGCATGTCTATTACAAGAGTACGCAAAAAGCCTCCAAAACTGTTCCGTATACTCTAGCCAGACCTGCTTGCATGGCTAGAAGAGAGTCGACTGCGAAAGCCTACATAGATGGCCAAATCGCAAACGAAATCTTCCTCTTTACCTTCCGACAGTTAGAGATATATAGATTCGTTAATGACAACAGTGTACAGAGTCCGCCACGTGGGGAGACCGCACACAGGCACCACCGTACGCCCCATCTATAGAACGTCTGCGCCGGAGTAATAGTCAAGGCATTACTTTGTCCAGATAATTTGAATGCGCCTCAACGGAGGTTTCATGTTTCCTTATTTACTATCTAGGCTAATTAATAGTTGCCGAGGACGCCTCCTTTTACAATTGCCGGCATCGACCTCTGAAGGCTGGACAATGTCCATAAACAAGGAATGGAAAGGTCATTCTTCATCCATTATTGAGCCATAGGAAGATTAGCTGTTTCTGTTTGAATTCACGATGGAGGACCGAAACTGCTGGAGCTATCTGGCACCGTGGTAGGATTTTGCCAGCCACGATGGAGTGATGGGGACGAAAGACCCGAATCAACACCCTGTACCTCGCTCGAAAAGCGCTCATACCCAGGGAACAGGGTATCCGATGCGCCTATGCCAGAGTGTGAAAGAATCTGGTCCATCTTTGCCAGTGGTTCCTTTTCTCGGATTGGAACAGAATCCTCATAGGAGAGCACCGCATAGTCCGAAAAGGGTGGAGGTAGCTGCGGACACCAGCCGCCTAATGTGTGATCGTCTCTAGGGATGCCAAATGAGGAGTCTATGGTAGACGGCACTTCATGGCCTGTTTCGTTCGCTTCACCCGATAAAGTGCGGACAAGGAAGTCCTCGGCAGTTCTCGTCAGTTTCTGAAATATTTCAAACAAAAACAAAGCGAAGGGCGAGCTGCTTGTCAGCAGAGGTCCCGACATTGTGTTTAGCACGATTCGAAGCGAGTCTAGATCTGCGAAGGCGCTAGGATCGTGCGGATTCAGGAGGACATTGATGAAGAGTCTCACAAAGGCACAAAGGGGGTAGTATGATAGGCGCCTTTTTCGAGGCCAGCACTGTTAGCCCCTGCCAACGGAAACGCCGTAGGGGTAAAGGAGAACATACCGCGCCAGGTTATTCCGAAACAATTCACCACCCTCCCGTAAGCTGTCAAGTAGCTTGACTGTATCCCTCGCGGCGGCCAGACATGCCGTGCGCTTGGAAGACCAACGAGGGTCTTCTGGGGAGGAAGATGTTTCAGCGCCGATTTCCAAGCGCCAGAGCATTAACTGGCAATGGTAGAACTCAACGTGCAGGGTAATAGTGGACGGAAGCTGCTCTGGATTCGGGCAATGGAGGACCTGACCGGGCCGCAGCTCTCCGTAAGGCAAGGAATATTGCCAGGCAAGCAGCTTCTGATACAGCTCATCTTCGGCTGCAAGCCTTTCTGAGCGCCGATCTGGCTCCCGAGCGCGGACGGAATACAGCCTGGTATAGATCTCGCTCTCAATTCTCATCAGCCTCACCAAGTGTGCGAATTTGCCGTCTGCTGGCTCGCTAATTTGGATGTCTTCGTCACGGATTGTTGGCGGACGTCCGAGCCGAAAGCTCAGACCTCGGTCTAGGACATACAAAACCCAGAAGACGTTCCGTCGTTCCTCAACTTCACCTGGGGAGGACTCTGAATCGCAATCCCGATTCAAGCCCAATCCAAGTGCAAGTCGTCCTGCCGATCCAATGGCCATGTAACCTGCCTCTGCGTCCAACAGAATCTCGAGGATCATAGCCTATAGCACGATTACCATCAGCTGTAGTCTTTAATGCCTTCTATGGAGCGCACAGACCATTCCAATCAAAGCTTGGACTCCCATAACTTCTCTGCAGCTATATGAGAGCTGGGTGAAGACAGAATAGCAATTCCGCAGACAGCTCAATACATGGCCCCCGCCTTCGGTATTCTGCCTGGGATGTAGCACTGTCGATGACACGCCTATCTCATCTTCCAAGACGAGTGCGCCAATACCAAGTACGGCATTAAGTGAGGCATACCAGGCTACCCCCGTTGGAGGATCGTCTGAGTACTGCGAGTTGAAACGTTCCATAAACCTCCTTTGGTCAAATAAGGGTAAAGTGGAGTTTACGTAGGCAAAGAAGTCTGCACATGTGTCAGCTTAATGATGGGTCGCACAAGCAAGGGCCGACAGGGAAGATCTGACAGTTAACCGCGAGGATGGCGGAACCCTTTGGTGGGAGGGGCGTCTGATCGTCTGGCCTCAGATGTTGCCATGTGCTCATCATCTCCTCCGACCAGCCCAGCATGTATGTCCGCGCTCTGGTGAAAAAAAAGTCCAACAAATCGGTCGAGTGTGTGATGCTGGAAACCCACTGTAGACCACGCGGTGATAAGAGAGCTAATCCGGACGCAGAACCTAACGACACTGTGAATTTTGCTCCCAGTCGTGGAGACGAGATGGAGTCTAGTCTTACCAATAAAACTGGAGAAGCCGATCCGATCCATCAAGCAGTATGATGCATCGTCCTCCTTGACTTCGCCTAACGAGGAGCTGGCGCGGCTATGATCCACTGATGAGGGCTTTCTTGTGAGTAACAGCGACTCCATTCTCTCAAGCCGGTTTTTCATCTCATCGATAGTATCGCTACGTGGACGACCTGGGTATCAGTCCAATAATTCGACGAACAGCAGTTTCGTGCGCTCACCGATGCGGTTTGGGTGGTCCCTTGACGATTCGCTTCCGAGAGGAGGGCGAAAACTCGCATTTCTGCTCTCGCTGCTTGCACCGCGAACAACTGTCACCTTCTCGCTTACATCGCACCTAAGGTAGAATAACACAGTCAGTACGACGACTAAAAAGTCCGAAAGGGACACAGCTTTCTGCATACCTTTGCCTTCCTGCACGGTTCGCAGGATGCGCGCAGCGCAGTTTGCGGATTCATGGCTGACTGCATCGGATCGCAAAGGTTTCCACAATCAGATACATGATCAATTCAGCATCATCATCAGCGTTCGCAAACTCCAAGTTCTTCAAGATTGATCTCCAAGTAAGATAGTAATGAGGGATTAAGACTCGTGATGTCATCCAAGTCCGCATATCACCTGGACTCCCCTGGCTGAGCCCAAACGCGCCCCTTCGTGAACTTGTTCAAAGATGTGGTATTTTAGACTTCAGCCAGTTTGGTTAAGGTTGCGATCCTCTTTCTGTGACTGGCGAACAAGTTTGCCATTTGCGCCCAGGTAAGAGATCCAGCACGGTTCAAGTCTCCACACACTTCCACCAGACGACATCCATGGTTCATCACGACTGGAGACCACGGAAAGATCGCGGCTTACGGCCCATGTTAACGGGCTCCCACATCTGTTTGATAGGTCACCCACATTGCTAGAGGTGGTGTGATGGTATCCTCGTGAATATCCTTTCACATGGTGTCGGTCTCAAAATGCCTAGAGAAACAGTTGCTAGATTTCTGAGATAATGGTGGCTAGACTCTAATTCAGCCACGTCACGGACCACCTAATAATAATATTTTAGCAAGTACTGAAATTTCACAGAGCCTTGAATGAACCTTACGAGATAGAAAAATGCAGATTCGAGGGACAGAAGTGGCAGAGAATGTATGATCTAACAAGGGTATATTCGCTCTCTATCCAAGCAAGAATTTCATAAGAACAAGCAGCATAGCAAATCAAAAGAAAAATTGCCCCCAAAGAATAGAAAAACACGGAGCACTCAGATAAGGAAGGTCGTGCATTTGACGTGATCATCAGCATTGGCAAGCCGGCGATATGAGGGAAAGCTATCCGCCATACCATTGCCTGCTCCTATAAGGAAAAGGTCGCCGGTGAAGTTCATCAGAAGGAAGGCCCCAATCGGGTAAATGGGCTCGAGCGGGTTGCTTGATGTCACTGGACATACTATCGAAGCTGACCGGCTGCGTAATATCTCCCGGGAATTTTCCTTTAACAGACATCAAATTTTCCTTGGCTGCGGCTTTAGGTTCTTCTGCTTCATGCCTCGAGGCAAGCGATATCGACCGGGGACTTTGGCCACACCCACATTGTCCTTCTTGAGACGCCGTCACTTCGGTAGCACCTTCTACCTGATATGGTGGGACATAGATATTTGCCGGGGTAGCCCTGCAGGACAGAATAGTAAAAGGTGCTTCGATTGTCAACTCCACTGGCCGAGCCTTGCTTGAGCCCATACCGTCTTGGTCTGCTGGCGAAAGACACAGAACAATCTGCTTGTGAGTCAGCATATAGGGTCAAGAATATAAACTGTGCTTGCCATCGCATCACAAGAGGACGTCTGGACGTTTCTTACCTGGATCCAATGATTTACCTCAGGGCTACCGCCCTTGATACTGAAGTTAAGCCGTTGTGTTTTTTCTTTGATCTTCATTTCCGGGCACCGAGGCAGCTGTACCTCTAATTTGATGTCAGAGGTTTCCGATTCTTCCCCTAGCAGATTCGTGGTTTGGATGCCGGGGGTTCTTGGTCTGCCCTCGTCTGTCATGATTCGCAGGGTGCTGCCTGGGTACGAGCTGTGACTTGCGAGCCCAGCCTGCTTTTCGAACAGAAGCACCTTTTTCGTGGGTAGCTGCAAAAAGCGACTCGTTTTTCCCTTTGTCCGATGCTGTACGTGCTGAGACACGTATACTCTGATCCAGTGACATCGTACGTTGGCTAACGGAGTCAATTTTACCCTGATTGGTATCTGCGAGCCAAGAGGGAAACACTTTCCGAAAATGCAAACATCGTAGGCGAGCTGCTCACGCCATTTGCGGGAGAAGATGATCGGCTCAATCAGCTCCAGGGAGTTCTCTGCTGGCAGTCGAATGACCGGGATATCAAGCTGAGAAACCACCTTTGAAGAAAATGGACCAGGCGGTTCGATTATAGCTTCCAGGTAGTATCGGGTAGATATCAGGTCGGTATTGATGCTCTCCGGAAGGGAGTTGTGCAGAAGAAATTCAAAGCTATACAGATAGTCACCCACAGGAAATATAGTGCTCTTGCTGGCGGTCCCCAAGATTCTAGGGTGCTGTAAGCTGCCAATGTTATACTCGGGAGGAAGAGATCGACCCCTCCACAACGTCTGAGCAGTCTTTTTGGCGCACTGGTCTCTCTCTGTATCTGCGCAAAATTGGTCCAGTATGTGACATAAGTGCGCTCCATAGACATTTCCTGTTTTGGCTGTCTGCCCGCGGTCGAAATAGGTGATACCGGAAGTGATCAAATCTCTATTTCCCAAAAACTCATCTGGTCCAGTAGAGGAAATATGTCAGCATATGTAAAACTCTTGGCGAGGTTCGACCATACAATGGAACAACGGCGTACATTCTGGTAGCTCTAACTGAATGAGACCTCGAAAGTAGATGCAAATCCGCTTGATTTTGATCGGTTCAGTGACTTTCATATGTAGATACCCCCGGACGACGGCTGCCTTGTCTTTGCAAGTACTGCTACCTGTGCTGTGCCCTTGCAAAAATACCACAGGCTCAAGTAGTCCAAAACTGAGCTGAATCCCTTTTCGAGCCCCAGCAATGTGCCTTCCGGAATGGCAAGGAATGTCTGGGAGGAGTAATGTCTCCATTATACCTCTGTTAAAAGATCATCCTGAATGACGTCAGATATATGCCAGCATACAGGATCAAACACATACACATATGAGATTTGAGGCACAGCGCTTATCAAATTTAGTAGATACACAAGGAAGACGGGATCGTGGGCTTCGCTCCAGAGGCATCTCGCAGGAGTCTTAATATACTGTCACGCTCACTCATCAGCGAGCGATCATCCGCAACGTCTCATGGTTGAGCCCACGATGCGGGAAAGGGACAAGCACACCACCCCCGTAAAGGGCTCCGTGAGCTTCGGCCATCGGAGGACGCATAAACATACGATCTCCGAAGTGCTGGTAGCTTATCTCGACTCTCCATGATTCCCAGATAAGCCCCGCAGGATCACCCGATAAGCTCTGCTAGCCATGGTTCATTCAACGTGGCTCAGCCGTCATCGCGACAGTACCAGAAGACGAGCAAGAGTTCCGTTGCGCTGCGGTGGTCTAGACCAGACTTACCCCGGCCACAACGTGATGTGCCTACAACGTGATGTTAAAGACGCTCAAACATTTTGAGTTCTCGAGAATGCGCCACTTAATCATGATTTTCGGGGCGTCGCAACTAAAGGGCTAGGCGGTCTGTTTATGTCTCATGAGCATACTGAGCAGCGACAGTAGATAAACCGTCGGTGTCTTGTAACTCCGTATTGTTTCCCCGTCTCCTAATAACAACCCCGTATCTGGGGTTGTCTATCGCGGAGCAGCGAATTTTGGATCGGGGGTCCTACTCCGGAAGTGCGTGGTTTAACTTCTTATACTCCGTATCCGCAACAAACAAACCAATGCCACTGATTCCAAGGATGTCTGACAACCAGATTCTCATGTCATTATTCCAGATACAAGATTTCTTAATTAGCCCAGGATATTAGATTCATATACGCTTGAACTGTTGGATATTGAATATTCTCTGTCGACGTCGATTGAAAGGGATGAAGAGTGCTATATATCGACTTTCCGCAGTAACTCTGTGAATATCGTACAGATGGCTAATACTAATATTCTCGCGTCTATATTCAAGCATCATAAATAGCTGTCAGGTATCAAATTTCTGACATTGTAGGCGACCGTATTAGGACTCAGTGTTCTGGTAAGTTTAAGGTACTTCTTAGATGGTGCTTAATCAATATGCGGGCATTATCTACTACTGGCGGGGCCGGGCAAGAAAAGGTAAGTTTCGCACTCAATCACTGGCTAAATAGAAGAAAGGAAACAAGGGCGGCATAGAACAACGTGGATGAATTTTAGGAATATTTTGCATCATCTGCTGAAACTCTAAATGCTATGTGGGACACTGTGATATGCTGGACAACAAAGGTGATCGTCACCCGTCAGTCCAATGGCAGACACTCCACCAGACTTTTAGCAGCTTCAACTAGTTCAGCCCTCGTAGCACAAGCGGCATAGACAAAACGATCATGCCTCACAATCACAAACCTCTTTCCTGGCAAAACCTGCCAGATCTGACGGTCGTTGTAGCCCTGCGGTTCCGGCCGTCCAACGCACAAGTCGGACTGCTGGAACTCTTCTGCAGTGGCAATTCGAAACAGGGAAAGGGATAGATCGGCAAATTCGCTGTACTCATCATCAGGAAGGCACTTCAGAGCGTGAACCAGAAGGGTGGCCTCTTTGGCAGACAAGTGGCCACCGCTAAGGCCGTCAATGCCGTCTAGCTCTTGGGTTGCCGCTACCGCCTGTTCGGGTTTATCTAGCAAGATCACAATCTGGAAGAGCTTTGCCTTCTCTTTGGAAAAGATCACGTCGTCGGTAAACTGAATCCGACTGTGGAGCCTCCCTATCTCAGAGCAATACGTTTGTGGAAAGCAGAGTCCACCATTGAGAGAGGGCAGAAACGGCATACCCGCCGAGTGGATGTACCTAACTGGGCCTTCCCTTCGGGGTCCGAGTTCTAGTTGATGCTTCACGGGAGGTATTAGTTGCATGACCCAGACCGCCCAGTCCCGGATGAAGTTCTGCACTGGGTTGGTGCTATTGACCAACTGTCCGTTTCGCAAGGTTGTGTTGAGGGACTTCTGGAATTGCTGGCTGCGTTCAGAGTACCAACCCTCGAGAACCTGCTCGTAGTCCAACTGAGTCGAGCGTGACCGAGTCAGAATGGCAAGGCGCCAGGCAAGAGCGATGGCATCCCGAAATCCGGAAGCAATTCCTTGGCCGCCGACTACAGAATCCCGAGTCAGCACTGGAGCACACATAGGTGACAAAGGCGAACTTACAAGGGGGAAGACGTGAGCTGCATCGCCGCACAGGATGACTCGTCCCAGAGCCCATTTGTTGCACTTCCTTGCTGCAAAGCGAAATGGGCGAGATCTCAGTACTTTGATGCAATCGGTTGGAAACTCGACGTCTGCGTCTAACCTGCAGAACGCCGTTGTTAGATGAGTACGCTCGCTGGCTCAACCATTTGCTATATTGACCATGGACTTACCCATAGCGGGTCCCAGGATGACGAAGATAAGGGAATACGATCTCGCGAATCTTGTTGGGCTCAGACATCTCTTGCGGATCTTCGCCGGGTTGAACCACGAATTCAAACCTCCAAAGGCGGTCCTTCTTCTGGCCAAATCGGCCGCAGACTGCCGGCCGACGTGGGTTGCATAGGAACCGGAAGTTCTTTGGGAAGAACGAGTCGTACACCTCTTCAGAGGAATACCCCATCCTCCATAGCGGGAAGTCTGGGTGCGTTTCTACTGTTGGCAGGCGGATTTCCCAGTTCAATGCAACCCAGGTTTCTTCGTAACGACATCTGTACGCACGTTAGTCCGAACTGTTTCTCTAAGTTCTCCCTATGCAGGGTATGAGAGTAGGAACACTTACTGTTCGGCCCAGTCCATTGTGATTCCCCGTGGTTCTAAATATTGCTTGCGCACGTAGCCCGTCTTGCCGTCCGCACCGACCAGAAAACGAGCACGGATTTGTCGATTAGTTCCTTCGGAATCCGCGTAGGTTGCATACACCCACTCCTTGTCTTCCTGAATTGACTCCAACGTGCATCTACTCCTCAATTGCGAGTACTGAGACTCTTCGATTACGGAACGGAGGTGTTTTTCAAGCACAGGTTGTTTGTGGCTTATGACGCCAACGTGTCCCGTATATCCTTCGGACTGGATTATTGGCTGGTTAGAGTATGGAAAATCATACCACGAGTCTGAAGGGACACGGTGAGGCTTACCGAAGCAGTCTTAAAGCAGAAGCTTGGCTTCGTATGCAAGCTTTGCTGCTCACCGGGCAAGAATAATACCTTCTCAATACCTATCAATCGTTAGTGAATGCTGCCAATGTAACGATAGTAGAATGCACTGCTCACAAGAGCCAATGGCCGTATAGACATGCTCATAGAGACCTAGACCCTGCAAGTACCGTATGCCATCGTCGTCAAGAACGATTCCCCTGGGGTCCGTCGTGATCTCGGCCTCTCTCTCCAGGACGATATTCCGGACCGCCATACTGTCAAGGTAGCCGGAGAGCATAGCTCCTGTTGGCCCGCAGCCACAGATGAGGACATCTGTGGTCTCCCATGCCTGCTCAGATGACATATTGGCTGCGTGAAGAAAAGCCCTCGATTGAAGCCTAAAGATCGCTCTCTTTCCGCTGTTTATGAATATGTTGGCCTTTGTATGCTGTAGTCCCACCTCAATTTCTTTGTGTACCAAGATGTGGGACCAATTATGTTGGGTGCAGCAGTTGTTCAATACGGGAGTCGGGACAGTCTACGATGGCGGGACATTGTTGCCATACCGGGCCGTCTCACCGCATAATCCCCGCATAGTCCCCGTAAAATGTGCCTTCAGAAAAGCTGGACCTAAGATGCACCAATTATGGCATAGGCCTTTAGATATAGTATTAGATCTTCATAATAATGGTATGGTAGCAGTGGAATACGTCGTCAATATCGTCGTCCTGCAAGTTTTGATAAACTCATCCAATTCGACTTCTCGTATAGCTAACTACATTGTGTACCGCTCCAGTGTATATGGTAGAGCTTGGGGAGAGTTCCATGAAGTTGGGATTTTAAGTCACACGCACGACTATATACCTAATAAACAAATCGGATAAGATATCTCCGCAACTTATTACTTGATGACTACAAAAACAAAATTACCAGAGGATTCCACACAGGCATACTACTGCAGGAATGCCAGCGGAACCTCCGGCCCCCAAATAGCCAAGGACTCATGGCCTGCAGGCAAAATTCCAATGGGGGTATCCTCATTCACGCGATCACCATCGGCGTAGTGCTCGACCATGTTTCCCGCTGGACCCCACCAGTAGTCAAAAATCTGGGATCCCAGAATATGTCTGCCCACCCCCCAGACAGATTGATAGCCCTTCCTAGCCAGCCATTGATGTCCCAAGTGCTGGGTATCATAATCATAGACCTCGAAGGAGCAATGGTGTACATGGGAGCCGGTTTGACTGCCGCCGATAAAGAAAGAGTGGTGGTCTGTATGCTCTTTGCCCAAGTCCAGGTGCATAAATGTCGTCATATACATTCTGTGACCGTCGTGTTCCATGTAAAGCAGGTCGGTTGGAACTATGTTGAAATGGGAGGTATAAAACGATAGGAGCTCCTCGAAGCGTTTCGTGGAATAGCCAAAGTGGCCCAACTAACAGTAGCAAGAATCGTCAGTACGGAGAGAAGAGCGTTTCAAACAGAGAACGGAGGTCGACTGATTTTGTGTACAGCAGCGGGGCCAGGATTGAAGCGATTAAACTGTCGGATCCTCTGCTTCTCGTTCGGGTAGTTGAGTTTCAGCTTCTCTGTAGGGACTGCAGATGTATCTTCTCGTCTTTCTTCTTGGCCAAACATGACATTAAACGAGAAAGCCGTCCGGATCGGCGATGGTCACCATCCGACCTCCTCCTGGGGCTCCGGATAAGTCTTGGACTGGAAATGCTCCGGATATTTTGGTAGCTCTATGAGGGAAGGAATCACATAATATTAGCCTTATCTTCCGGGATCCTGGCAGAGAATTGTTTTACTTCTCAAACTCCTCTTCCGAGTCGAATGCGAATACTCCTCCCAAGAACTTCTTTGGTCCTTTCGTTGCATAGTAGACATACTGGTCGATTCCATAGCCTCGGAACCAGATTTCATTCTCGGTTCTTTTTGCTATCACCATTCCAAAATCTAGAAATTTAGTTTGCATTCGACATAAGACGAGATCCCTGTGACAAACCCAGCATAAAATCCGCTAACGCGTCCAGGTCTGGATGCTGATAACGCATATGAGAGAGCCTGGCCAACCGAACGCGGTCTGCGACCTTGATTCCCCTGGACTGGAGCCATGTAGCTTGAGACATTTGCTCCTGAGACGCACTCGTATCGGGAACAGAGGCCCCGTGGTTGGCCTTGATCGATGATTCCGTGATTGCCATGGTGAGGATGAGGATAGTGCCAGGTTGTCAGTGCGAGAAAACTGAGAAAGCGAAAGGGTGATGTGAACTAATTTTACCTTAAAACAATATGAACTGAACAGTAGATACGACTTGGAACTGTTTATATTCCGTACTCTTAGTAGGCAGCCAGGAAAAGGCCCCGCATCTTCAATATGACGGGCGTGGTGGGACCTATCTTGTGGGCTTGTATCTCGATTTAGGATATAAATTCAATGCCGCGTAGGACACCAGGGTGCTTTCTCAGAGAACATAAAGTCCAGTACTCACTTGCATTTTGTTAAATATTGACTATACTGCCATACACTCACCTTACAATTCAGAATGGCCTTCAAGCGATTGGTTCGGTTCGCCATTGGTGACCGTGTCTCCTTCGGCGATCTACTCAGCGTCAATGGCGGCACATACAATGTTAGAAGATTGACTGGTGATCCATTCACTAAGTTACAGTCTACTGATGATATCGTCCAAGTTGAGAAGGTGGGTTCGCATCCATTGGCAATTCTGAGTCTCATGTTCTGACATGTAACGCTCCGACAGCTTCTATGCCCTATAGAACGGACTCCGCTCATCATACTTGTTGGCCTGAATTACCAGAGCCACGTAAATGAAGCCAAGGTAAGTACTCGGGAAACTTTGAGCAGTCGTACATGACTTGTTGACAGAAAATATCAGCTGAATGTCCCAAAATACCCTCCCATCTTCGTCAAGCCAGCTGATGCACTAGCTGGCCCCTTTGACACCATTGACATTCACCCCGACGCGCGTGAAATGCTGGACTATGAGGGAGAGCTGACCGTAGTTGTGGGACGAGACGCAAAGAACATTTCGGAAGCGGACGCATTAGACTATGTCCTGGGCTATACGGCCGGAAATGATCTGTCCGCACGGAATTTCCAGCTCCCTGAAGCATCCGGAATGCAATTTGGCTATTCCAAATCCTTTGATCAGTTTGGTCCGATTGGACATACCATCGTTGCGGCCAGTGAAATACCCAGATCCCCAGGATCTCCGTCTGGTGACCCGGGTCAATGGGGTGGTCAAGCAGCAGACCAGTACAAGCGATATGATCTGGAGTGTTCGGCAGATTGTCAGCCACCTTTCACGGGGTATGACACTTCGCAAGGGAACAGTGATCATGACTGGTACTCCAGCTGGCGTCGGATTCTTTACCAAGGAGTTTCTGAAGGCTGGAGACGTGGTGGAGGTGGAGATAGAAGGCGTGGCATCAGTCAAAAACGAGATCCGCTACCCTTAGTATTCTACGGACAGCCGTTGTGCTACCACTTGACAAAAAGAGTTGTTTCTGGTTGTTAGATTCTCCGCGGAGGGAAGAGAACATTATCCCGAAAGCAATGTACATAAACGAGCAAAATCAATAGCACGTGCATTATGCGATCGGGGGTCGGAAGTTGCCGCATCTGTAGTCCGCTCCTTTCCGCGACCTGTACGCATCACCTTCGACCATCACTAGCATCATCAATAATCATTCAAACATCTACAGTTGGCTTCTATTCACATAAGTGCATGGTGATAATGCAATCCAGTGCTCACTTCCGACCAGTCGGCCGTCGGCGACCCAAGACGTCCAAGCAAGAACGCGTGTGTCCGATTTGCTCCAAAGAGTTCTCCAAGGCGGAACATTTGGCGAGGCATTATAGGTCCCACACCAAGGAAAAGCCCTTCCGTTGCGTGGATTGCGGGAGGGTCTATACCAGACAGTCAGTGTAGCACTCTTGACACTTGATTAAATAAATGAAGCTTCATTAATTATGACGTTCCTCTACGTTTAGAGACACATTACTTCGCCATACGCGATCCCATTGCCTTAGAGATGAATTGGGCGAAGTGGCGAGTTCACCGGAAGGAAGGGCTTCTGGTTTCGAGGACCTGACTGCGGCAACATCCCAGCCAATTCCAATATCGCCAACGTCTGCAAATATAAGGAGGCCTTCTAATGCCCTTACAGAACGCGTGGATACGGCAACTGTGCCTGTAGAAAGTGACACCAATACCTCTCCGGCGCTGAATTTCCCATCTCATTGTCTCCGAATGCAGCTGCTGACTTCCATGTAAACGGAGGCCTGAATTCGACGGATATACACAGCGTCGAGCTAGAACCGGGGTGGATTTCTTGGCTGATGGGTGCCAACTTTGACTTGGACGCCGTGAACTCATCCTTATTGCAAGCTACTACTGGAGAATTGTTACCTGTTGACCTGATGCCGGACGACCACCCGCTTCCTACTGAATCATTCGGCGTTGGCCCACAGGCAACAGACGCGGGATTGGCGCCGACTGGGAATGCAATCAGGGAGAAATGGCACACCCACTGTGGACAGACCACATCGGGCATTATATCCCCAGACCCAACGAATGACCGCAATCAAATTGATGAGTCTTATCGCCACGAGCTCGCTAATCGTCTTCAGCAGCGCGTGCAAACGGGAATTCTCCCCTCGACCACTTTTCTGGTAAGCCATTTTCCCTTCATGCTGTGTGAACTAGCACGCCGCCTTCGACCCAGCCGCAAAGAGGGATGGACAGAATGTAAGGGCTGACTATATTATGGCGCTTGCGTAGCATCTCTGTCTGCAAGCTTATTTCTCCCATTTCCATCCCACTTTTCCTATCGTCCATGAGCCGTCCTTTCTTCCGTCTAGGCAGAATGCCGTTCTTCTGCTGTCCATTTGCTCTGTGGGTAGTCTCTTCCTCGGCTCTCGGCGAGCAATCGAACACGGGATCAGTATGTTTGAAAGACTTCAAAAAGCGGTTTTATCTTCGGTGCGTTAGATGATCTATGCCGCAAACTCTATCAATCTTGAGTGAAAATGTTAACTGAGAGTTGTACGACGCAGTGGGACATTATGATCGCTCAACGTTCAGATTCAAGTGTCGTGGCCATTCAGTCAGCCTTGTTGGGCCAGACATTTGGTCTTCTTATGGGAGTATGTCCTTTGCCTGTGACACTATCTTCTGGCTCTACCATCTGAACTATGTACTATGTTTGGGAACTAACATATGATTCCTGCTTTCCTTGCCTAGAGGCCTAAAGACCTGGTGGGAATTGAGGCGTTTCATGGAAGTATAATTGCAGTAAGTTTTGGTGAACCAGCTTTTACTCGCCCACAGGCACCTGGAAATGCTGACTGTGGTCAAGTGGGCTCGCAGAGTTCGACTACTTAACCATGCAACACCAGCAGCGTTACCCCAAAATCTTCCGAATCTGACGACCGGCGAATTGCAATCAGCATGGGAGCATTGGATCTTCGCAGAAGAGAGGAAACGGTATCACCTGCCACTTCTTCTCGCTCGGTATAACTTCGCTGATATCCTACAGTACTGCGCTCGGAATCTTCATCCTTGATGCTGAGTTAGCAAAGATTCATCATCATGAACCATATCTACGTCCTGCCACTCCGCGTCTTCCGGCCATCTCCTCAGATGACGCGTTTGCAGCCAGTAATGCAAATGCTTGGAAGGAGATTGTTCATCAACAGAGTCAAAAATCTGGAAGCAGGACCTCATTGCCAACTGAGGTGCAGGAGCGAAGGCCTGCCGGGAAGAGTGACTTCGAACTCTGCGCCATGCTTGAGTCCATTAGTGCTATGGCCTGTGAACGCGAAGAGCCTTTCTCGACCGTCCCTCATCTGACCGAGAAGTGCCAGGAAATGCTTATATCCTGGTACGAGACGCATCTATCTACTGCTGCTCGTGGTCAAATCTCGGCTTATCCACTACGGGTTCTCTGGCACTCGACTTTCATTCTCTTATACTCAAACCTTGACGTTCTTGAGCGAGCCTGCGGTCGAGACGGGCCTGAGGCAGCTCAAGAAGCCATTGGATACGCTCGCACGTGGGCAAATTCCCTAGAGGCGACCAGATCTCTAGTACACGCTGTCTGCGTCAGAAATTACTTCGAGTCAATGCCTATTGGGTCCGAGTGTCCACTACACATTCCCACCTGTCTTTACCATTGCGGGATCATCTGGTTCTGTTTTGGACATTTTGGGGACATCAGCAATAGACTAACCATCGAACGCAACTTCCCTGAACTAGATCTAGTTGGGATGAACGTCGACGAAATTAATGCGACAGAATTGAGGAACTCAAGAGTTCAGCGAAACGCCGCGAATCAGGTCTTCAGGATTGTCGGTCTGCTACAGAGTATACGCCATTGGAAGCTGTCTTTGAGTCTTGCTTCAACGTTGCTCGCGCTTATAGAGGAGCAGGATAATGTGTTTTAGATTTAGTAGCCTTATACATTGACTCAATAAGATGTGAATCCTCCTCCATTTTCCGCGTCTCGCTGTAAAATGCTTATTCCTACAACATATATATTTCGTTACATACTAGTATGTCTTTTTGAGTGATATACGCGTCGTAGCTGGTTAGCATTTCAAACCGGTGCAAAAAATATCCGGAAAAGAAAACCCGGCCAGCCGGAAGTGGTTCGTAGATTTGTCTGATTGCAAGGTTGCAAGCGATCATGAAGGCCGTTGACAAAGACTGGCGCTCCGTCGTCGGTACTACGTCTCAACTCCGCGGGAAACCGATGTGGGGATATCCCCGCAACATATACGATGCGAATGTCCGTAAAGCACCGTCATAATCATATCGTCCAGATTGCAAGTTAGTCTAATGTTGAAGTATTGTAATTAGGAGTCAGTAATCTTACCAAGCGTAGACGTTCCGTATATTCTTTTTTAAAGCTAGGAATACCGGCACAGTCGAGATAGGTCCCACATTCATATCCTCGGAGCAATACAGTAACGAGCCGAGGAGAACGGATTCTACGGAAGGGTATAAGTCTTCTCAGGAGGCCCATCTCCTTCCAAATCATTAGATCCTCGCTTATTCTTAGTATACACTTGCCTGCCATTTTGACCCCGATCAATTGCCACCCCGCAACAATGGCAACTGCACCAATTCCTCGGAAGCTGTGGGAACATCCTTCCCCGGCTTCAACAAACATTGGTCGTTTCCGAGCCTCTCTGGAGAGTCACACTGGAAAAGCCTTCCCTGTAAGTCACAGTGCATCAAGTCCCATTTGCAACAAATTCATTGACGAATTCACAGACCTTCCATGAGCTCCACAACTACTCCATCCAGCACCGGGCTTCGTTCTGGGACTTCTGCTGGAAATATTTCCAGATCATACACGAGGGTTCGTACGAGGAAGTCGTGGATGAAACAGCCCGGATCGACGCCATCCCCACCTGGTTCAATGGTGTGCGGTTGAATTTCGCAGAGAACATACTCTTCTCCACTGACGAACGGGACCGTCTCCGCGGGAAAGAAGACGACAAGGTTGCTGTCGTCGAGGTGCGCGAGGGTGGCGCCGATGGTGCGACCTATGTGACCTGGAAGGATATACGCCAACGAACCGGACGCCTGGTCCAGGCACTGAAGGCTCATGGCGTGAAGCGTGGAGACCGGATCGCAGTCTGTGCGAGCAACAGCCTCGACACGTTGCTTGTCTTCCTGGCGACTACAGCTCTGGGAGCTATTTTCTCTTCGATGGCCACAGATATGGGGACCAAAGGGGTCCTTGACCGGCTGCTGCAGATTAAGCCTGTTTGGCTGTTCATGGATGACTTCGCGGTGTACAGTGGGAAGAAGATTGATTTGCGATTAAAGATTGTGGAAGTTGTTAACGGCCTGGACGCAGTCGCTGAGTTCAAAGGAGTTGTCGCACTGCCCCGGTTCCCTTTCCGCCCTGCCGATCTCAGCGGTGTCCTCAGAGCTTGCACGCTGGACGACTTCCTTGCTGCAGCGCCTCATGAGCGCCTGGAGTTTGAACGGGTGCGATTCCGCGACCCATTCCTCGTGGTGTATTCGTCTGGGACGACCGGGCAACCGAAATGCATCGTCCACTCGGTTGGCGGTGTCCTATTAAACGCTCACAAAGAAGGTAGCCTTCATCAAGAGATGGGCCCAGACAGCGTGATCCTGCAGTATACAACCACAGGTTGGATTATGTACCTGGCCCAGGTCCAGGGTCTTGTATTTGGAGCCCGTATTATCCTGTATGACGGGAATCCATTCGTGCCGCATATTGCAATGTTGATCGAATTGGCTGCAAAGGAGAGGTAAGCCCCGACATACTTCTGAATCCCCTCCCACGAATCAAGCTCCACATCGCTCGAAGCAAGATCCAGGCCAAGCTGATAGTTTCATGAAAGGGTCACGCATCTCGGCATCTCCCCACGATACCTGTACGAACTGCAGCGACGCAAGATCAGCCCCCGAGAATTGGCAGACCTACGCTTCCTGCAGGTGGTGTCCAGCACGGGAATGGTCCTGCCTGACGCCCTTTTCGAATGGTTCTACGATTACGGCTTCCCGTCACATGTTCGTCTGAACAATCTGTCCGGCGGCACGGACATTGCGGGCTCCTTTGCCACCGGGAATTCTCTGGTGCCAGTTCATGTGGGCGGTTGCCCTGGATTAGCCCTTGGCATTCCAGTTGAAGTGTATGATCCGTCCATCGGCAGGGACGGGGGCAAGGGTGTGCCCGTTGCCGATGGTACGCCGGGGGAACTGGTGGCTACTGCTGCCTTCCCCAACATGCCAGTTGGCTTCTGGGGCCAAGACGGTGACAAGCGTTACCACAAAGCTTACTTTGCTGAATTTGACGGTATGATCGAGTCCAGAAGAAGCCCAAATGTCGGATATATGTAGGCTAACTGAAACCGGGTGTCCATCAGGCGTCTGGACACATGGCGACTTTGTCTCCATCCATCCCACCACGAAACAGCTGTTCTTCCATGGCCGCGCGGATGGCGTACTCAATCCGTCCGGCGTACGATTTGGCTCCTCGGAGATCTACCAAGTTATTGAAAGCGACTTTGTCCATGAGGTGGAAGACTCGCTCTGTGTGGGCCAACGGAGGCCCTCTGATAACGACGAAAGGGTAGTATTGTTCCTCAAGCTGAAGCAGGGAGTCACGTTTACTGCGGATCTCGTGAACAGAGTGAGAGCCGCTATTCGGAAACGTCTGAGCGCACGTCATGTTCCATCTTATATTTTTCCTACTCCTGAAATCCCAGTGAGTGCTCCCATCTATCATTGTAATTGCCTTGTTAGGATCTGAGCTGATGCTTCATGAACCAGGTGACTGTCAACTTCAAGAAGGTCGAGCTGCCTGTGAAACAGATTATATCTGGAATACACGTCCAACCATCCAGTACACTTTCAAATCCTGAATGTCTTAAGTATTACTACCAGTTCTTTGACGTTGAGAAGATGGCTACGAGGGACAGCAAACTTTGAATGGTCCAAAGAGCAGTGCTATATTACAATATCTATATAGTCAAACTCTGATAACACGGAGAGAAGGATATCGACTTACCAATACAAGTATCTTCTTTCGTACATGGCGCTGAAGAAGTACGTAAACCATGTTCCGATTAGGAGAACAGTAAATAGAATATCATATAGTAGCCGCTTCCAGTCATTGTTAACTGTCCGCAGTACTAGATATAGAAAGCGTCTACTCCAGCTTGGTGCTCTAGATGATCTAGAGGATATCCATGATTAAAGGCCTTCTGTATATTTGTAGCGTACTCCTTATATTCCCATGACTTAGGGCAGTGTGTTTGACCTTCCACTTTGCTCTCTCTCCAGCCCCTCCCGTAAATGCGAACAGAACCTTTCCGTCACGGACTTGAGCATCCACAGGATTTCCTTCTTCATGTCTATGGTTGGTATGTCGGTGTCTACGAATCCTAGCACAGTTCCTGTATGGCCATAGAGCGTTGCAAGAGAAGTGGTTTCCGACAAGTCACGCCCATCACTTTCAGGATGAAGCAGTGGAAGGATCCTGTCCCACTCGGTGTACAGATCTAGCTGAGTAGTAGACGAACTGTGAAGTATAGATATGAGCTTCCGGATTTCCTCGCCGAGCAAAAGGGAGCGCTGAGCAGCGTGGACGAGCGATTTACCAGACTCCTTTTCATATGCTGAACTGCTTTGTACACCGTTGGGTGGTTGTATGGAGTTTGTGGGTTCTGAGGCACGAGTGTTGCTGTCGTTGGCTATGCCTGGGCCTGGGACTGATTTATTTCTCTCTCTTTCGCGCTGAGCATCGGGGTCCATCCTGCCTAGTCTGGAAGCTTGGAACCTCCAAAGATAGCGCAACAAATAGGTCAACTTCTCGAAGCCCAACTGGGCCATGGCAGTAATAAGGTTAGTCAACACAGGAACAGCTAGGAGCGACCAGAACACGAAAAATGCCTTTCCAAAATTGCTGGTGGGGTAAAGATCTCCGTAGCCGATGGTTGTCAGAGACGTGTATGTGAAATAGAGGGCCTCAAAATAAGTCCACTTCTGGCTTCTCTCCGAACGACGGAAAATAACAGCACTGAGTAGCCAGAGGAAGAACAGTGCTACTCCGGACCAGATCAAAGTCATCCATCGATGTCTCCTGTAGAAGTCTCGCTTGATGCGTTGGAACTTCAAAAGGTCGGCCTTGTTTGGATACCGAGATTCAGCTGGCGTTTCGGGTGCCTGCTTCTCCCTGTCACCGTGACTGTCGCTAGAACACTCGGCGGCACATCGGCGCCCCTGCATGCCGCTGTGCACTTCCTCCATCTTGAATTTGATGTTTAGTTCTCGAATGTTCTCGGTGAATGACATCATCGAGGTGATCACTAGACCTGCATTGAAGATGCCTGCAGAGGCATATGGAAATAGCAAGCTTCGTCCGACGTGAGTCTTCGGGACAATGTTTCCGATCCCGATTGTTAGAAGCGTATAGTCCGCCCAGTACAAGGCATCCATAAACGTCCAGCCTTCAATAGCCGCGTAGACCGCAGCACCCCCGAGCAGAAAGACAAAGAAAGTGGTCGCTCGCAGGATGATGCTTGTGCATTCGACAGTTCGTCTTTCCTCATGAGTCAGATGCACCCAGTGCACACTGCCTGTGTAGATTGCTAACAGCACAGCAATCACTACGTAATGGGCCGCAGCGAATGTCCCGTAGAAGTAGTTTTGCGTATACTGAAGCGTCTGCTGAGGGCCCACCGTTGTGTGTTCCCCAACTATAACACCGATGACACTAAGCAGTGTTGCTGCTGAGGCACACCAGCACAGTATCGTCACAATAAACCCTTTGACTGGATCACTTTTGGATATCATCGTAAGCAGAAGCACGATGTAACCAACAACGGCGAATGCCACCGATAAGGCCTTAAGAACCACAGCCCTGATTTGATTATTAAGTCAATTAGAAGCAGACAAAAGAGCGCTGTACGTACCAGGCCGGCTGATCTATGGTGCTTACGCTTCCGTCGACGTCTACTATCTCTCTCCATCCTTGGGATACAGCGCAAATATTGAACATTACGGCCAACGCACATAAAATTCCCTGGAGGGAACGTCGGTCAGCGAAACCTCTAATCCGGGAGCGTTAGGCGAAATACCACAACAACAGGGAAGCTTGCCATCGCAAGCCACCAGCGCGTGACCATCCTGTCGAGAAAGTGACTCTCCCTTTGCTATCATTCCGTCACTTGGTGCGTAATGGCATGCATCCTTGCATACTGGATAGCCGTCAGTTAGGGCTTCTGCCACATGCCATTTTGCTGAAATAAAGCGTATAGTTGCTATAAATGTATTATTATATTTGACGGGCCACCATTACGCAAGCCGATGGTCGCAGGCTCGGAGAGCTCTCCTTCTTGTTTTAATGTTTTAGTTCGAGTAAAGGCAGTATCTGAGTTCTGCCCTACCCAAGAGGAAACCGGTCACGCCGCTGGCACTGAAAGGAAACTTTTATGCACCCAGGGTCCAGAGTTACGATTTACCCAGACTGTTAAGTCTGTGATGCGTGGAGCATTGTAAGAATATCGGCGAACCCCACAAACGTTAATAATCTGCCGCCACTAAACTTTACCATCAACCACGGAAGGTTTATGGACCCTTTGAGGTCCTGATGTCACCGATATGGCCTATCTGAGAGTCTCGAACGTAACGACCACAAGCCGATCTATCTGGACCAATTAATACACCAATCTCACACGGAACCGTCGAACCACCCTGACATATTGCGAGGATAATTTGTTTTACTGCGCTGTTAAGGTCAAAGAAAAGCCAGGATGAAATTACCTGCTCACCTTTAATGGAAAGGAATTCTCTCGCCTTAGATGATGAAGCACTGTGTATTCTCAGCTAACTCCGATTTTACCTTCATAAGTCACCACCCTGCCTCAGTAGACTCAAATGTTGTTGTTTTCGCAACATATGGCATTTGTTTATACTAAATGACCGCGTGGCGTACAGTTTGTCTTTATTCGATATTCATCATGACATGACGTTTATACTTTACTAGAAGAATAACTTCACCAGAAATTGAAATAGCTGCCTTTAACCCACCCCAAAGCCTCACTCACTGGTTTGACCACTTTGACAAAGTAGTCCCCAATGTACATTTTATAATGGAGACAATCCGCGACTCAGCATTCGGCAAGTTAGTTCGTTTCTTTAGCGGCTACAGGCTTTTTCTCTACCCGGAAGAAATTGATGATTCCGCTTGGCGGAAATACCTAGAAAGACCCGAGGCCTACCGGGTAGAATCCATGGCGACTGGTAGCGAAGAGTTTTACGAGCAGAATGCCTTGTACACGGTCATGTCGCAAGCCTCTCGTCGCGGGCGAGAAAGGCCCCCTCTGAAAAGTGTCTTGGCAGGTCCATGGCGTGGGATAGGCGATGGAACGCCCGAGGTAATCGGCTGGAGTGACGCCAGTGATAGTGAGGTAGGACACCATTAAGAAAATGCTTGACCAGTTTTCTGGCCGACAAGTTGGGGTTTTTGGCTGATATATGTAGAATCCGCAAAATTGGAGTGTTCGCAAAAAGATCTTCGTCACCTTACTTATCTGCCTTCTTACGTTCTCTATCTACATTGGTTCCGCTATCTACACACCCGGAATCCCGGGTGTGGCTAAGCAGTTTGGCGTGAGTAACGAGGTTGGGCTCCTTGGTCTGACACTATTTGTGCTCGGATACGGACTGGGTGAGCTGCATTGCTTCCAAAAAGATTCGCATCGACCTTAGCCGATACTAAGTGAATATCATCAGGACCCATGGTCTGGGCACCAATATCAGAGATCCCCGCAATCGGACGAAGTCCAGTATATGTTTTAACACTAGTAGTTTTTGTTTTCTTTCAGTTCGCTGTTATCTACGCGAAGAACATTGGGATGCTTCTAGCATTTCGATTCATAACCGGCTTCATGGGCTCGCCCGTCCTCGCGACAGGGGGAGCCTCGATAGGGGATATGTGGGACCCCAGAACCCGAGACTATATGATTGCGGTCTGGGCAAGCTTCGCCATTGCAGCTCCCGTGCTGGGACCCCTCGTGGGAGGTTTCGCCGCCCCCGTAAAGGGATGGACGTGGACTATCTGGGAGCTGCTTTGGGTATCAGGTTTTGCCCTTGTGTTTCTCTTCTTCTTCCTACCCGAGACATTTGCCCCCAATATCCTCAGTCGCCGAGCACGGCGTATTCGCCGGATTACAGGCGATCAGAGATATGCGTCCGAGCCCGAGATTGAGATTGCCCGGGTGGCTCCCAGGGTAAGACTGCATGGAAAAGCTTTCGCTAGCATGTGATAACTGACAGATCGGAATAGGATGTCCTCTTTGAAGCGCTGGTCCGTCCATTTGTGCTTTGCTTCCTCGAACCCATTATCCTTCTGATGAACMTCTACATTGCCCTTATCTACGGAATTCTGTATATCTGGTTCGAAGCCTTTCCAATTGTTTTTGAAGAAAAACATGGCTTTACTCCAGGAGAAAACGGCCTGGCATTCCTTGGTATCATGATAGGAGCAGTGTTCTTTGCTCTTCCAGTCTACGTCTATTGGAAAAAGCGCTGGCAATCCAAACACATCACCCCAGACGGCCACCTTAAACCGGAGGAACACCTCCCTCCAGCATGCCTTGGGGCGGTCTGTCTCCCAATATCCCTTTTCTGGTTTGGGTGGACCGGAAACTTCTCCAGCGTCCACTGGATTGTGCCTATTATTTCTTCCGTGCTCTTTTCCTTTGGGGGATACCTTATCTTCAATAGCATTTTCTGCTACGAGGCAGGGGCATATCCGAGATATGCAGCCTCGGTCCTTGCAGGAAATGACTTCTTACGATCATCTTTCGGCGGCGCATTCCCCCTATTTGCGACGCAAATGTTCCATAATCTCGGTGTTGGTTGGGCTTGTACATTGTTGGGTTGCTTGACCGTGCTATTCACACCATATCCCTTCTTATTGTATATATACGGGGAACGCATTCGGGCGAAGAGCAGATATGCCCAGCATGGTGAGTAGGGAGGACGATATAAGGAGAGAGATTCCGCGGATGGGAGGGGAACAAGGAAGAACATATGGACATTACCCCTGGTACCCCTGTTTCTTTCTTCTAACTGAGCTGCATTTACTATGACATCCTTGACATCGAGAAAAATGCTTTAGGCCAAGTGTTAGTCTCCTGTGAGGATGCGGTTAAGACACGTTCGATAGCCATGTTTTTGCATATCGTCTCACAGATGAATAATATAATGTCTATTTATCTTCTTAGCTCAGTAGCATTGAGACGGACTAACTATAGGCATTGCGGGCCGGAGTCCGAATGCATCAGGAATACCCCAGGTTTTTGGCTCCGCATGTCCGCGGTATGTGTCTGTAGCGATGCCTAGTGATTCTCCATACATTTATTGTATGTCTTTGGAAAAAATATGGATCCACTCCTAGATACAATGCTGCATGCACTTTCACAAGGGGTCCCCTGTCTCACTGCCGAATTATCGGATTCTTTCTGCAATATCATCACCCTATAGGACCAATATATCTTTCCGCAATTCCCCGCATCGGTAAATTGTTATACCCCTTGTTCTGGGGTGCATTCTTCCATTAATCTGTTTCTTCCTCCAATCGCAATTCGATCATTTCGGAATTGTAACCTGCACTCAGCGCCACCACCACAAGATGGCTCATCCTCATTGTGCAGATGACCATCCACGGCCCTCTAATCACGCCGGAAATCTACCGAGTAGAATTAAGGCAGGGGCCTTGCCAGTGTTCACGCGGTTTATGTGGACATTTGCCGGACTCCACATAGTCATCATTCTGCAAGTGAATTGTGGGGTGCATCGCGGGGTGGACATGCATCGGAAGGGCATCCGTGATAAATCTGTCACTGTTCCATTTAAGCAATGCATCTTGTTCCTGAAGGTCGACGGTTGCTCGGCCCCTTGCGCCGAGACGACCTGCTCTCCCACTCCTGGAACCATCACATGGGCCACTATCGATCTGGGTGGAAGCATATGCAGAAAACCTGACAGGTATCACCCGTGTTCAATACGCGCGGATCGTGATGAACCTTCTCAGAGTCCGCCGAATTGGAGCTGAATGCATATCATGTCCAAATGCAGATGTTCCATCGGCAGACACCCCCGTACTCTGACGTGGAGGGGATATATTGCTTTAGAATCGGATTGGACAGGAGCGGAGACACTTCCGTGCAGATGAGACATACTTAAATCCCCGTAAACAGCTCTTCTCCGGCCCCTACTATCGTCAAGCCTTGCGTGCTTCCACTGCCAATATGATGCAACCCCTAAGCGTGGTCTTGCTGGCTATTGGCCTCTTGTTTGATGCAGCCCACGGAGCAGCATCACAAGCTTACACCTGGAATAATGTGGTTACTGGGGGCAAGTAAACTGTATACTGCCTGGTTGGTCTTCTCGCTGACGGCACTATCCAGGGGGTGGAGGTTTCGTTCCAGGAATCGTTTTCAATCCATCAGCCAAGGAAGTAGCGTACGCTCGAACTGACATTGGGGGCGCTTACCGTCTCAACTCGGACGACACATGGACGCCTCTCCTGGACTCTGTGGGGAACAGTAACTGGTATGCACAATTTGAATCTATCAGCGAGGGTAACTGACGGTTTAGGCATGACTGGGGTATCGATGCACTCGCTACCGATCCCATTGACACCAGTCGCTTGTACCTGGCGGTCGGGATGTACACGAACGAATGGGATCCCAACATCGGCTCAATTCTGCGCTCGACCGATAAGGGAAATACTTGGTCAGAGACAAAACTACCGTTTAAAGTGGGAGGAAACATGCCGGGTCGCGGTATGGGCGAGGTGAGTAACTTACGCTCTGCGTTGCTTTATTCCCCGGTTAATACCATGTAGCGTCTTGCTGTAGACCCGAACGAAAACAGCGTCCTCTACTTTGGCGCGAGGAGTGGCCATGGCCTCTGGAAGAGTACTGACTACGGAGCGACCTGGTCCAATGTCACTTCTTTTACTTGGACTGGTAAGGCATAATACCGATAATTCCATATGACGGGACGCTGACCGGGAATAGGAACATATTTCCAGAATGCCAGTTCTACATATACGTCCGACCCCGTTGGCATTGCTTGGGTAACATTCGATTCCACGTCTGGTTCAAAAGGCTCTCCCACTCCACGCATCTTTGTTGGTACGTTTTGATAGTAGGAAATCTCGAACTACGGTCTAATCCTTTCTAGGGGTTGGGGACACTGGCAAATCAGTGTTTGTGTCTGAAGACGCCGGATCGACGTGTAGGTTCTTGCATATATTCGATTTTGATGCCCCCATTGACTGAAACCTAGGGTCCTGGGTTACAGGAGAGCCACAGTACGGCTTTCTACCACATAAAGGAGTTCTGTCTCCAGCTGAGAAGACTCTTTACATCTCTTATTCCAACGGAGCCGGGCCGTATGATGGCACCAATGGAACGGTACATAAGTATAACATCACCAGTAAAGTGTGGACTGACATCAGCCCTACTTCCATGGCAAGCACATACTATGGCTATGGTGGTTTATCCGTTGACCTGCAAGACCCTGGGACATTGATGGTAGCTGCATTGAATTGTTGGTGGCCCGACGAGCTGATCTTCAGGAGTGTGGATTCCGGAGCGACATGGTCCCCCATCTGGGCCTGGAACGGATATCCTAACCTGAACTACTATTATAGCTACGATATCTCCAATGCCCCCTGGCTGCAAGACAACACCTCAACAGCTCAATTTCCCGTTCGTGTCGGCTGGATGGTGGAGGCTCTCGCCATTGACCCATTCGATTCTAACCACTGGTTGTACGGTACCGGCGCGACAATCTATGGCGGCCATGACCTTCAGAAGTGGGACTCCGTGCATAATGTCACTTTGAAATCTCTCGCCGTCGGAATTGAAGAGATGGCTGTTCTTGGACTAATTGCTCCTCCAGGCGGACCACCACTGCTGTCTGCTGTTGGCGACGTTGGAGGATTCTACCATTCAGATCTCGGCGTAGCACCTGCTCAATCCTTCCATAACCCAACATATGGCACTACCAACGGCATTGATTACGCTGGTAACAAACCATCCAATATTGTTCGCTCGGGAGCCAGCAGCACGAATCCTACCGTTGCTACGTCTACGGACTTTGGCAAGACCTGGTCGGCAGACTACGCAGCCTCTTCCACCACACCTAGCGGGCAGGTTGCTCTCTCCGCGGATGCCGATACTGTCCTACTCATGAACTCCAATGGAGCCATGGTGTCGAAGTATAGCAGCACATTCAGCGCCGTCTCGTCTCTACCCTCCGGTGCGGCCCTTGCGTCTGACAAGTCCAACAATACCGTCTTCTACGGCGGATCGGCCGGCTCCTTTTACGTTTCCACCAACAGCGCCAGCTCTTTCACCAAGACTACTGCCCTTGGCTCCAGCACTGCTGTCAACGCCATCCGCGCTCATCCCTCTATTGCTGGTGATGTCTGGGCAACTACGGATACGGGACTCTGGCACTCGACAGACTACGGTAAGACCTTCACCCATATTGGGAGTGGATGCACAGCAGGCTGGAGCTTCGGACTCGGCAAGGCTTCGTCGACCGGCTCTTACGCCGTCATCTATGGCTTCTTCACAGTTGACGGAACAACTGCACTCTTCAAGACCGAGGACATGGGCACGAATTGGCAGATGATTTCCGATTCTACTCATGGCTTCGGCGCTGTGTCTGCTAATGTGGTAAATGGAGACATGTCAAACTATGGACGTGTATTTGTGGGTACTAATGGAAGGGGTATTTTCTATGGCGAGCCGAGTGGAAGTGTCCCGTCTCCGACAGCTACGGCGACTACGACCCAGAAGACCTCGACGAGCACAAGCACGTCTGGTACCACGACTTCGACAACGCTGAGCACGACCACTAAGGCGTCGACGACAACGTCTACGACCACGAGTACTTCCAAGACCACGACATCAGCAACCTCTACGGGGACTAGTACACCGTACGGACAGTGTGGTGGGACTGGGTATACGGGGCCAACTGTCTGCCCGAGTGGATGGACGTGCACTTATCAGAATGCATATTACTCCCAATGTAAGTTCTGAAACCATACCTCTATGAAATGGAACAATCTTCAGACATGATGCTGACAGAATATCAGGCCTGCAATAACGGTTGAACAGTCCAAGGCGAATTATTCAAAGGGAGGGGCTATATGTCGGGCATAACATGTAGTCGTTATTAGCATCTAGTCATCAAATAACAAAGTGGGCTTCCTCGCTTAACGTATTCTTTATAGAGATACTCTGGTGATGCCTTTAAAGATAAGACGGCTTCGTCCGCCCTCCGTAAATGCAGCATACTCAGAATAAGCTGAGCGTCCCAGCGCGATTCTCTAAGTAGCATAATGGACATCAACTTTTCTCGGATGAAGATAACATGTCTGAGCTGTTCCATCCGCTATCAGTGATAGAATTGTCCTGCTCTCTTGATCAGCTGAGGAAAGAAAATATAGAAAGGCTCGAAAGTCTCTATCGCGGAATAAGAGTAGCTAGCATGTGGGCGTACCAATAAGCGCTGCGACTAAATGAAGTTTCATCTGGGCGTCTAGAGGAGCCTTCTAGCAATATATCCCCTCATCTCTCGGCGAATAGGGTACCCAAATCAAGTGAGCCTATAACAATTGGACGGCGCTTATGGGGTGCGGAGACGGTTGTACACGTTCTGAGGTGGCACTACTAATCCTGCAATGGCGCATATTTGGAACATTGGGCGTCTCATATTTCCAGAAGATTAAATAAGAATAGGAGATTTTGCGCGCAATTGCCACTGTGCTATAGTATTTTTATATGACTGTCCTCGTCGTCCGGGAGTTGTACAGAATGATCATGTCAATTAGAAAGAACAGATAATGATGAGCGAGATCCCTCGACCGACGAGCCGCGACCAGTTCCGAATCGCAATCCTCTGTGCTCTACGAGTCGAATCCGAGGCAGTAGAAACCATCTTTGATGAGCTTTATGAGGAGAATGACAACAGGTTCGGCCAAGACCCATCCGATGAAAACATTTACAGGAACGGGAGAATCGGCCACAACTATGTAGTTCTCGTCTATATGGCAGGGATCGGGAAGTGCAAGGCGATGACTACAACGCTGCACTTGAAACTGAGTTACCCCCAAATCCAGCTGGCATTGGTTGTCGGTGTTTGCGGTGGCCTCCCATACGGCAACGATGGGCGGGACATTTTCCTAGGGGATGTCCTTGTTAGCGATCGTCTCGTTCAATGGGATATTGGGACTTTGCTTCCTAACGCATTCGTCCACAAAGACGGGCCTCAGTATGTCCAAGGCCGACCGTGCCGTCGTATGGAAACCTTTCTTGCCATAGTTAAAACTCCGGATGAAAGGCGTCGGCTGGAGTCTCTGATGGCGGAACAGCTGGAGATGGTTCAGCAATCCCTCGGCGAGCAGAGCACAACATACCCTGGTGAAGACAAGGACCGTCTCTATCCTCCCGACCATCTCCATCAGCATCGTAACCTGCGTTCCTGTGGCAAGTGTCGCTCTTGTGGTGAGTGCGAGGAGGGCAATATATGTCGCAAAGCACTCATATCTACCTGCGACGAGCTAGGCTGCTCCGATCATGCACAAAGCTGCAGGTACCGACCGCCTGGGAAGACTTATTCGACTCCAAAACCAGCCCTTCATCTGGGTCCTATTGCCTCTGGTGACACTGTCTTGATGTCAGGAGACGCCCGTGATCAACTTGCCGCCGAGACCGGCGTGATTGGGATAGAAATGGAGGGTATCGGACTATGGGAAGAGACATCGTGCGTTGTGATCAAAGGAGTCGCTGACTATGCGGATTGCCATAAGACCAAGCAATGGCAGAGATATGCAGCGGCTAGTGCTGCCTCGTGCACGAAGGCCCTCCTCCTACAGTACACAATGGAGCCTCCACGAATCAACTCGACAGGGAAAACACCCGTTCTCCATCGGAATGTGCAGGCTGGTCTCAGTCGTTTCCGATTTCCGGTTCATTCAGTGCTTGATCCATTTGCAAAGGTCGCCAGAGTCTCAAGGTTGTCTAGTATCTCGGATACTATCAAAATGGTTGATGCGTTCCATACCTCATCCAGTCTGTGGACTAAGGTTTTTATTGTGGTATTGGCGTTCCTGGTTGGATACTTGTACGCCTCTGTTGGGGCTGCTCCTGACGAGGGCTATAGCCACCAGTTGTGGCCTTAATAACCGGCCTACGCATCTTAGCATTGAGTACACCCATGTACATCCTCGTCATGTCTACTGTTACGGGTCCTATATAATTTTATGCTTGATAAAGCTGTAGGGCAATGTGAACTCATCAGACTTCCCGATGTTCCGTCATTGAACCATGATGGTATTGAGACCAGCCTCTGCAACATCGTTACTATAGAGTATTTGGGCTGTTTCTGAGGTGACAGCATGGAAGAAGCTAAGACACGGACATTCTCTGTCCCTAAACCAAATCACCTCGTCGCAGTGTCGATTAGTTCATTCCACCCATCGGAAGCTTCCTTGTTCTAGACGGTCCCATGGCCTATCACGGGACAGCCAGCCGCAGCATCCACTGCAGCCTTGCTCTCACCCTCAACTTTCTCCTCGCGCGCAATCTGGCGGAACATATCCATAGGATCAAACCAAACGTCAATCTTTTCAAGCTGCAGCGAACTGTTGACCTTGGCAATGACGATGCCTTGAATATCAATCAGACCACCATCCGCTTTGACAGTGACCTTTTCTCCTCGACTAGTGCAGCGTAAGTATCCATCCCTATTTTATTGGGGAATGTAGATGCATACTTGTTATACCCAACGTAATCATTCGCCATGTACCCCCAATGCCTCCACTTGAAGATCACAACTGGAGGCCCGCTATACACCTCCAAGACCTCCCACGCAAACGTCGGCATCATCCGCTTAAACGCCTTGTGGCTCGTCGAGAAATCATTATGCTCAGGGTCGTAGTACGAGCTGGATGTAAGTAAGGCGTTGTAGGTGCCCACGCGGAGCATATGGTCGCCTGTCTGGGCTGGTCCACCGTTCAGCGAAAAGGTGTATTTGCTGTGATCGATTGTGCGCCAGTCGTCGAGAGAGGTCTTGAAGGATGCTTCGATCTCCCAATTCTTGACGAGGTTGGAGACGAGATCGGGGAGGCTGCCTGCTTGGTGGTTCATTTGTTTTGCTGGAAAGAGTACGGTTAGTCTTTTACAGGCATCCGTGAGTTGAACTTTGGGAGTTTGCGTACTTTCTTCGTAGAATGCCCTTGTTTTTGAGTAATCAGGGGGTGCGCCATGTCGCCAGGCAGCGTCTTTGTCGTTCAAGACGGCGTTGGGGTCAAGGACATAATCTGGAAGAGCGTCTGCGTCACCCATTTTGATGATATGTGTAGTATCTATCTCTGTGAATAAAAAGAATTTGGAGAAATCAAGACACTTGCAGAGAGGCACAGGGGGGTTTAATAAAACCCCCGCCCCTCGTCTGGAATCCCTGCCGGCCTTGGGTGCAGCATGGAGTCAAACATAAGCGAGACATACACAGAATCAACAGGGATTAGAAGGACAGATTTCTCGGTATGGTATAACCCTGTCGACCGTTAGCTAATCCCTGTCGCTTTAAATTGAGTGTGTCTGGGCGCCGGCCGAAACAATTCCCCGACATACCATGACACCTAATTGGACAATAACTCTTACAGCCAATGAAGTTCTCCGTGTTTCATTATCAATAGAATTGTTTGTTGTACAAGGTAAATGAATATAGATTAATAATGATTGCTAGCATGTGTCCAGCATGCATATGTCCCGCACTCAGACAGTGTCAGCCTCGGCTGCGCCTCATCATCAATAAGACACTCTCATCGACAACAGCAAACGCGCAGTTCGACAGATTTTCCGTAGTGGTTGACATCATCTGTTTAAATGGCTTTCGTTGTATAAGAGTAGGCTTGTTGAATCTGCGAGACTGAGTCAAAGTAGGTGCCCTGGTTCAGGAAGAGTCAGAAGGGAATTTGGCGGTTGGGGACTAAGCCGACGCCAGTAAAGATAGCTAGACCGCAACCAGACGGAGGTATCTGAGGTATGATTGGCTGCTATTCTCCGGAAATCTGAACTATTTTCTTAGGAAGTAAGATCTTGTGGGGCGGACAATATATCATTGGATGGTGATTACCAGGCAATCTATCCCTTTCCTCGGCTTTCAAGCCAAATTGGCGAACCGAGCAGCAATTCCACTCGATGAGATCAGATTGCGAAGGATGGTCCGCCTGTAATGTCAAAAACGTTTAAAGCAAAGCGCAAGACGCCTCCAGCAGAAGAATGGTGGTTGTTAAAAAATCAACTTTGAGGACGGCTATGCGTTTAATCGACGTTGGCGAGTCATTCTGCGGACCCCGCTTACACCCTAGCAGGGGTTCCATAGGCCACGAAACAGCAACAAACAGCCTTATTGGTCCACAATGGCATGCACATTCCGTTTCTAATCATTGCAGTTCTAGCCCCAAGGAATCCAAACAGACCTTCTCTTCTTTAAGTTTTTTTTGTTTAGTAATCTTTATCTTAATTTCTATAGTTAGCTCTAGTACTAGCCTAGCATTCTGGCCGTTCAACTGTGTGCGATCCGTCTTTCATAGTATTATGTGAACTGCACAGTAGTGATCTACCAGCTGGCCGATACTTTACGGCTATCACTTTGGCACATAAATATCGCATGCTACTCCAGAGGCACGCAAGTCCAGCAAGAATTCTTTTGGCATGACTTCTCCAATTAACGGCTTTCATCAGCCGCTTGCACTTATTCAGCTTGAGGTTCATTAGCGCGAAATGCTATCCATCATTTGGGTAATTTTAGGCTTAGCTGCTGGGTCGTTTGCAGCGGCAATTTTTCCTACCAATTCAGCTAGACCAAAAGCATCCTTTGATGGCCGGCACCAAGTTAACCCAGTACCTAGTCCGGGTAATGGGGCAGTGGAATGGTGGTGGTTCCAAATCGCCGGAGACAAAGATCCTAAGACGGGTATTATACCTACCTTTGAGGCAATTTACTATTTGGGTACGTTCGTAAGCCAATGATCAAAGTGCCGAAATACTAATGGAAGAGCAATCAGGCTTCCCTTTCACGAGAACACCCGAGACTCCTGAATATCAAGTCGATGTTTCGGGAGTATTCCCAAATGGGACTACGTTCTTCGTTACTGCCACCGCCGAGACATTGCCAAGAATCGTTAGCGGTCTGGATGGGCAAGCAGTATCAGGGCTATGGGGGAGCGAAGCTGGTTTTGAGGTCACTAGAGATCTCAATAAAGTAGCCCTTGCATTCAATCAGAAACCGGCAGGTGTTAGAGGAGGTGCGATATTCGAACGGGACCGCACCCCGGCACATGTTGCATGTGAGGCAACCACTTCCGGATCTTTCTATTTTGATTCTGTGGCACGAGCTCCTTTGAGCCCTTCGCAGCATTTGCTTTACGATGAAACTGGATGGGCTATTGCCATGAGGCGGGCAAATGCGTCAGTAAGCGTCGATATCGGAGGAACGTGGTTTAATTTAACTGGCAGAGGTTATCATGACCACAACTGGGCTCCAGAATCTCTTGATACTTACATTTACACTTGGCTATTCGGGGCGGGCTCCTGTGGTCCGTTTGATCTAGGATATGTTGAAGTTCAACCTCTGAACTCGACTCGGAAAGATGATGTTGTTCAAGGAACTCTGGCCTACGAAGGACAGATTCTGCAAACTGAATGCAACCTTTACGGGACTCGGTCAAGCTCAATCGTCACGGTTGAGCTCGTTGGCAAGGCACTTGATCCTATAACGGGCCAAACAGTGCCAACAGGGGTCAACCTTGAATATATTCTTGGAAATGGCACGCACTATCAGTTCAACCTGACAAACACTGTGACGAATCCGGACCAGGTGCCATACAAGCGATGGAGATATGGCGGCTCTGGTGGTCAACTTGATGGGCCTCAGTACGAGTGCTCTGTAATCGCAGATTGGCTCAATCCTGGTTTGGCAGAATATACCCCTGGGGAAAACATATTTGCAAAAGGAAACGTTGGAGTATGACTGTGGACAGCGCGATTCCTTTCATATTGGTTTTTCTTCAGGGAACCGGGCTGCAATTATTTTCGTCCAAACTCGATCAATACAAGCTCTCTATAAGTTGGGCCTGAGCGGCGTATATTTTGAACTGTATCCCACATAACGTGTCAGAGAGCGTACTGCATAGAGATGTTCATCTTTTGCACACATATGAAAGGCATAACTACCTTGGGTATATCTGTACCTTTATCCGGATATTGCATCGATAAGACGTATCAGAGCCGCGGTTAATCTAGGTCAGGGCCATTTGCGAAGGAACTGGAGACAAAGGACCGGACATGGTTCCTGGGTACAGTATGACACTGAGCATTAACGGCTGACTAGTACTATATGTTGTATATTATTAATAAGACGCTTCAAATCGTATGGTGGAGACTGCACGGGGCCGGAGTTGTCGAATATCCTTCTCTGAAGGAACTTCTGGGAAACCAGGAAAGTTGTAATCGGAACATGATGATGGAATCGTTAAGGTGCGGCTAAAGTGTACTCATTTCGGTGAAAGCGTCAACCTGAACAGAGATCAACTGGCAACCAATAGCCCTTCTGCAGATATCGTGCAAATATATATATGCAAGCCGAGCCACATATCAGCACTTGTACTAGCATAAAGGTACGGCAAGGTCCCGACAGACGAGCGATCCGGTTGAAGTTGAGTCTAAAATCATCGTGTATTGACTTTGTGTTTTACATTCCTCTACGAGTTGTAATCATGTCGGCATACAATCATCTGCATCCTTGTAGTAGTGATTGAGGTGATGGAGAGTGTGGAGCGATCTTTGCAGATCCTGATCAGCGCTGATCAGCGAACCGATCACTTGGATTCGCGATCTCTGGATTCTGGGGCCGTAGGACTCAACAGAACATAAATATAAACATTCTCCCCAAAATTCTATACGGATATGGCGCTGACTAGGAGAAAACCATAGAGCACGTTAAAGATCGGCAAGTCCATTCACTCACTAACTTAAAATTTCCGCTAGGGAACATTTTCCCAATAGGAATCAAGGTCTACTCGGCTCACAGATTATAGGGCAAGGTATAACTACTTAACATCGCTCAAACTCTCCTAGTCTAAACCTTGACATTCGGATCAAACCACGGCCGAATGTCGAGGCCAGCATTTGACTGAGAGGTGAAAGATTTTCGGACGACTCCACTCCAGGACAGATAATACCAAAGGCTACGCTAGCGGACAACAACAATACAATAATACACGGCTTTGACAGATCCTGATAACCGCTAGGTTGGCTCCATTCTCAGGCGGCCGTATGATGATTGGCTGAAAAACGTCAGCTCCGTGATCATCGGGACGACTGCTTCTTCTGGATTAGTGTTGGGGTAAGCCCACCTTGTCACTCCATGAGTTAAGAAACGCTCATCGTGATTGACGGGAAATATCTATCCTTTGAGCATCAAACCGTCAATAAAGCAGTCTGTTGAGCAATCCAGACTGCTCCGGGAACTGAAAGTATGGGTGCCACGTGGTCCGGTAGCTCCCGGATTCAATGCTCCTGAAGTTTGTTGGGAACCGACACGGACCACTGCGTTGCTGGCCCTCTGACTGAGCTGGAAGTACAACGAGCCACTGGAAAGGTGCTGTGCTGGGACTATTTCCATGAGCCGGCCACAGTCTAGATCCCACCAGACTATGAAGTACTTGGTGGGTTCGTCTTCGATCAGTGTAGCATCGTTCCCTCTACGGGTTCCGGGACAATGTCCGATATCTCGCTCGGCCGACCATGGAATTCCTTCGCTCGGGTGACATACGCGGACCCTTAAATTGACTCGTGTGCGACCGCTGCCGGATGGAAGCAGTGGTCGTCGAGTACTCTAAACACTGATGGGGCGGTATTCGGCGAGTACGGCAACTATGGGCCTGCAGCGTTGACTTCTCAACGTGCCTCTTTTTTTGCAACTCAGCCGGGTAACCGCAGCTTTTCTCAGTTCCAGCTGTCAAGCTTCTTTGCCGTTACATCTTGGATAACTTCACCCATGTCAGTGGAAGTCCGTTCGTTCCTGGAATTGCAATCAGCACAAGTGCGGCTGGGAGCTCAGCCACGCCGACTTCGAGCGTCGTCGTTACACCCTCGACCGTGACAACTACAATGGCCGTCACGGATCAGGGGACTGTATACATGATTTTGACTTCTATTGATAAGGCTTCCACGACCAAGTATACCGTCACCGAAGATGTGGGTACAGCTTTGACGGCGGCCGAGTCTTTCAAGACAACGACGCAGCAGACTACCATCACGGACACGGTGATTGGCACTCAGTCAACAGTGACAAGCACGAAAAAGGTTGTCTTTACCAGTGATATTGGTCTCACCACCACACAGGCTCCAAGATCGAGTACGAGCACGCTAAAGGAAACTACCACAGTCATTGCAACAACTACCCAGTCGCCGTCTACTGTCACCCTCAAGAGCACATTGACCATCACCGTCCTGTCGACCGTGACGAAGGGCACGACCAGCACCATCCCAGCGGTAACCAGGTATGTCACGCAAACCAGTATCTCCACCATCGGAAAGACCACCACCCTCAGGCATCTACCACCACGGTGACTGTTACTTCGCTCGCAATTAAGACATCAACTACTACAGTGGCGGGCGCAACTCAGACCGTCACCAGCCTCAAGACAACGGCAATCAAAATCGACCGTATCGCTTCCTCGGAGCAAGCTCACTGTTCGACGGTCTATTCAACGGTCAGGCTCGACACTCCTACCACAATTGTGAAGACGACAACATAGAGGCGTACCCCTTCAGCTACAGTTACTTCCCCGTACACGAGCACCAAGACGACAACGATAAAGGCTACGGTCACGCAGGCGGAGACAGCGACTAAAACATCCAAGGGGGCTGGAACCTGTCCTACAGACTAATTGATCTTACCCCTTTTGAGTTACTTTGTCAAATGTTCGTCCTCTCAGTGTTTCAATTGCATTTAAATATACACACAATTACTCCTATAACTCATAAACAAACAACTTCACAACTCCAGCTGCCCATTCCAAGCTACCGAACTAAAAATCAAGAAGTTCAAGGAGGCAACTGACTCTTCGACTCCTCAGGGAACTTCCGAAACAAATCCGCCAGATGATCAATCGGCGCAGCCAACAACCCGGCCACAGTCTCAAACGGCGGCTTGTCAGGCGCACTGGGATGGCTTCTCGTCGGGATAAACTTCTTCGTGCGCATGAACTTCTTCGTCTGGCTCTCCGAGTCGCCCTGGTCGAGCGTCCTCTCCAACGAAGGCAGATCCTCAGTCTCTTCTTCCTTGATGTGTTGGCTCAGATTAGACCAGAGGGACTTGAGCGTGGGCTCGAACTCGGGGTCCTCGGCGGAGAGGCCCTGGAATTTGTAGAGGTGTTCTTTGACCTGTTTCTCGTTAACACCAACACTCATATTGAAATGAAGGGAGGGAAGGAGGGGACGGCATACAGTCTGATGGTCCGCGCGGTCCTTATCGGCCATCGCCTTCCCGTTGGGGAGGTTCTTCTCCATGAGCGGGTAGACGATCAGCTCCTCGCCGATGGAGTGGCGGGCAAGTTCCCATGTGAACTGGTTCTGCCAGCGGGTTTTTTCATCGGAGGTCTTGGCGGAGAGGATCTTGTTGTAGCCCTCTTCGAGCTCGCGGTGGTCGTCTTTGATGGCGTCTGCGAGGCGAGTCATGGTGGGCGCGGTGAGTGCAAAGGTGCGGTTCTGGATGAGTTTGGATGTGATGGGTGTGACTGTGGAGGGTCTGAGGGTGAGTGTTCTGGAGGGGATGCAGCGGGGGAACATGGTTATAGATATGTTGTAGGCTGTGCTAAGATGAGGGGTTGAGTCTGTTGTAGAGGTACTTTTATATACTTTGTGTTGGTTGTGAGTGGTATACTTCGTCAGATCGCTTGGGGGAGATCATCTCCACATGCCCCACAATTTCGGGGTGACCAATCACGCAACGAAAATTACCAAGTAATTGATGCCAATCAATGTCATGTTCACGTCATGTTCTAGACTTGTCGCTATAAGGTTGCATTCATTTCTTGAATTATCCTGGCATTAATACAACGGATCTAGACTGTGGTGTTCACAGTGACGTACGTACATCTCTGCATGTTCCAACTACTTCCTTGAAACCATGAATAGAAATCAAGGAGCATCTCGAGTCCTTGGAATCAGCGCTGGTATGAGCTTTTCCAACAAATAGAAATGTGTCCGGAAAACTCTCCATGTCATTGACATAGCTTACCCTGTTGCTAATACATGTCATCTGATTCGAGCATTCTGCAATTGGGTGGCAGGGTACTATATGACCACCTCGTGATGCAAACAACAGGACAGAATCAAGATATTCTCGGCATTTGATCGAGATCGAGATCGAGATCGAGGTCTCATACGTGCACAATCAGGCAATTGTTGGATGTACAACGACTCAGATCATACGACCAAGGCGACAAAATTCCAATTTGGATCTCTACTGTTCAATTTACCCCGGGGTTTGGCGTTGTCAGGTTACCATCCCTACAAAGAGAAGCAGATACCTCTATTGTGCTTCAAAGAACGTCCAATGGATCAATGGTGCCAAGCCACATTGCATTAGACTCTTTGGTAGGTACAGAGCCTAGACTGGATAGTCCCATGTATCGTCACAATTCATTGCACATTAATGCACCGTTTTGGCACCTCCATATGTTTGGGCGTATTTAGCCGAGGACGGTGACAATGGTAGAAGCGCGATAAGCAGGCTGGCGGTATTGACGCCTAATAACATTGCTTTCTTAGAGCAATGGGCTCTCAGACAAAACTGTAGATAAGACCTAATAAGGGTCGGTGGAGATGCACGAGCGTCCAGGAAACATGTAGTTCCTTTGATCGATCTACGGGGTATATTCGCTATTGATTAGCGGAGTTGTCATTGAAATATCCCCGGCCGGAAGATAAACTGCGCAGGATAAATATTCTCTCATGGCAAAGCTTAAGACAAAGGCCAGAATAGGCAGGTGGTATCAGGCTAAGAGCACTGGCCCCCTTTCTGGCTAAGCTTTGCCTATTTAAGATGTTTTGTTTCAAAGAACCAAATAATCCGGCTAAATGAAGCTTAAACCCCTAAAGGAAGCAAACGGTGTTTCTGCGCTTGCGACGCTATATAGAACCTCAGAGAAATGTTCAAAGAGATACAAGGATGACATAACAGCAGTACATTGTCTAAGGTTAGTGCCACTGAGCTGCAGCTCTATGCGGAAGCTATGGAAACTGCTGGAAATACTTAGACCTCACGATAAATTAATGTCCCACCAGAGCCTGATGCTCAGGCGCGTACCTGTTCCCATGAGGCTTCGCCACGTCAATGATTCTCCGCATCTCCTGCTTTTCCTCCTCGGTCAACTCAATCTCCCTGGACGCCCAGTTCTCCTCTAGTCGACTAGCCTTGGTCGTACCGGGAATAGCAATGAACCCCTGCGCCGCCACCCAGGCCAGTGCTATCTGACTGGTCGTGCAATTCTTCCTAGCAGCAAGCTTCTTGATCTCCTCCACGATTGCCTTGTTCTTGTAGAAGTTCTCCCCTTGGAATTTGGGGCCTGGATCATCAGCATTAGCAAAGGTTTATATTGTCCATTATCTCCTGGGAGCATAACATACTTTTCCGGCGGAAATCATCCGGGGCAAAGTCATCAGGAGTCTTGTACTGGAAGTCGTCGACGAGCCAGCCATGTCCCAGCGGACTGTACGCGACATAAGCGACTCCTAGCTCTCTACATGCGTCAATGAGACCATCTGTCTCATGGATAGTCTCGAATGCAGAATACTCCGCTTGCACGGCATCGATCTTAGCGACTGCCATCTGTTAGTAAGATACGACGAGAACGGAAAGAAAATCTCACTTGAGTTGGCCTTGCGCAGTGTCGCAGCCGAACACTCTGAGAGACCAATATACTTGGTCTTGCCCGCCTTGCGGATTTCATCGAGGGCAGGGATCGACTCCTCGAGGGGTGTTTCTGACCTCATTAGTATATAGCAGGTTTGAAGCCTGGGCAAAACGTACTAGGATCGATCCGGTGCAAGTAATAGAGGTCAGGCGCGAAGCCAAGTCGCTCGATGGTACCATCGATGTACTCCTTGATGTGAGCAGCGGAATTGGTGACGGAACGGTCGCCAAAGACGTCAAAACCGCATTTTGACGCAACTAGCGGCTCTGTTAGCTTATGCCAGAATAGATAGACGATAGGAATGACTCACTGAAGACTTTATCTCGGACATTGTGTTTCCGGATGAAGTCCCCGAGAAGTTTTTCGTTCACGCCAGCTTGGTAGACGACCTTTTCTTGAAGTGTTAGGCTCTGTGTCCGGGATGCCGGGGGTACTGATAACTCACAGCTGTGTCCCAGAATGTACATCCTAGTTCAATCGCTTTCATAAGGACGGGCTCCGCTTCTTCGAAAGTGAGATTGGTACCCAGGCCGAAGCTTAAGCCCATGGCACCAAAGCCAGGTGAAGGCACTTGGATATCGCCAAAGGGAAGTGTTTTGACCATCTTTGCTCCTAAATAAAAAATTTCTTGCTTCTGAGAGAAATGGTATAAGGTGCTACAGTTGATTCACGATTTTGATCTACTTGCTTTCTCTTGATGTCGGTTGCGGCGATACACGAATATTTATACTTTGCTGAGAAGGGCTCATCATTGCGGTGTACAAAGATCAGCGTATTGGTAGAATAGCTATGATATCATACAATCAGGTTACAGGTCAGCCGACCCTTCGGAAAAGTTCGGATAAACTAAAAGTAGGTCGGAAAAACTAATAGTAGGTCAGCCGACCTACACTAAATAAATAGATAAATATCCCACATCTTAATAATAATTTCATGTTCTGTAATAGTTTTTGAACTTTTACATACCTTATTATCTTAACTAGTTACCAACTAGTTCAGGATGTCTTCATCAAATAACTTCTATAATCTTGAGAATGATCCAACATTAATTAATTCTCTTCTTGATTTATCTTTACTTACACCTGAATCAGAGTTTAATGAATTATCTAATGAGGTAGATGAAGATATTTTACATAATCGCAATACTGCAACTGGTGTTGTGGAAGAAGCGGTAAGAATAAATATATATATCTACCTAAGTATAACTAGTTACTAACTAGTTAATAGCCAATACCTATTATCCCTATTACACATGGAGGGAAAAAGCCTGGAATTACTGCTCGATCTATTGAGTATAGTGATCATTTACCAGAATATCCAAAGTCTGATGAAAATGGCTATGCTTATATTATTAAAAGTTATGGCCGCAACCGGGAAACCTTCGAGAAAGCATTACATGATGTAAGTGCTAGTTACTAACTAGTTGCTGACTAGTTACTAACTAGTTTAGATACAATATGCTTATCAGAGGGTTGGCACTCCTCGAATGACCTTCTCACCACTCCTAGCATGCAATGTTAAAAAATATGTTTATCATTGTACTGGGGTTAAAGCATGTGAATATTTATCACCAGAACTAAATATTCATCATACTTCTGTTTCACCATCACTTCTAGAGAGAATATCAGAGATACGCTCTAGAATTAGGGATTCTGAATTATCATTAGGKGAGCAAGCTGCACAAGGGTAAGGATTAGTTACTAACTAGTTCAGGACTAGTTGCTAACTAGTTAATAGGATATTCTATAGCATCAAACGGCGTTTTGATGCTAATACAGCCTGCTCTCAGCAAATATCAACATGTAGGCCAGTCTTACAACTCAGTGATACCCAGGTAAGTTTATAGTATTAATTTAACTAGTTATTAACTAGTTACTAACTAGTATAGTCGATTACCCAAACCCAAATGCCTTATCTCATCTGTTCAAATGCA